GATTTCAAAGTACATCAAGCAGAATCCGGATGGGTCGATTTCAAAGTACAAAGCGAGACTGGTGGCTAAAGGATATAATCAGCGTCCAGGAGTAGATTTCGATGAAACATTCAGTCCAGTTTCAAAGCCTGCCACAATTCGAATAATTTTGGCCCTTGCAGTCTCGAACAATTGGAGCATTTGTCAATTGGACGTTAATAATGCGTTCCTTCATGGACCTCTGCAAGAAACGATATTTATAAAACAACCCTCTGGCTTTGTTAATCCTGAAAAACCTACTTATGTATGCAAACTGGTGAAGGACTTGTATGGGCTTCATCAAGCTCCACGAGCCTGGTATCAAGCTTTGAAAGAATGTGCAATTCATTTTGGTTTTGAGCAGTCAAAGAGTGATAATTCTCTGTTTATTTTTCGAGGAGGGAAAGATATTTGTTATATTTTGGTTTATGTGGATGATTTGTTGTTAACTGGAAATTGCTCCAAGGTCAGGAGGGAAAGATATTTGTTATATTTTGGTTTATGTGGATGATTTGTTGTTAACTGGAAATTGCTCCAAGGTCATCCAGTTGTTTATTCAGAAATTGGCTATGCGATTCTCATTGAAGGAACCGCAGCAGTTAAGTTTGTTCTTGGGAATTGATATTCAGAAAACATCAGCTGGGTTGTTCCTTTCTCAGCACCATTATATCCGCAAGTTATTAACAGAAGCAAACATGGAAGGTTCCAAGCCAATATCCACACCGTTTGCAACTTCAACTGTTTTGTCCAAAAATACTTCCAAATCTCAGGAGGTCAATCCATCTGAATACAGAAAGGTGATAGGAGCTCTACAATATTTAACTTGGACAAGACCGGATATTTGCTTCTGTGTTAATCGTTTGTCTCAGTTCATGCAAAGTCCAACTGAACATCACTGGGATGCTCTTAAGAGGTTGTTACGTTATCTCAAAGCTACATTCGATTATGGAATATTAATAAGGCCTCAGTCTTCATTTGTATTTCATGCCTTCTCCGATGCGGATTGGGCTGGTGATTCCTCTGATAGGATCTCAACAACAGGTTACATATTATACCTTGGAACAGTCCCAATTTCGTGGACTTCTAGGAAGCAAAAAGCAGTAGCTCGCTCGTCGACGGAAGCTGAATATCGAGCTGTTGCATCCGCCGCTTCAGAGGTAATTTGGACTAGTTCGTTATTGTCTGAGATGGGAATTAATGTTCCACAGCCAGTGCTTTATTGTGATAATATATCAACTACGTATGCTTGTCATAATCCTGTTTATCACTCTCGGATGAAGCATATTGAGATTGATTTACATTTTGTCAGAGATCTTGTGCAAAAGAAACTCTGACTTTTTCACATTCTTGTCAGAGATCTTGTGCAAAAGAACATGTTACGATTTAATGTCTTTGTTTATTCGTGCGAAAGGATTCTGTTTTATGAACTGAATCTTTGCTGATAACAACGTTTATGCCAGCTATAACTGTATTGTGGTCAATGATAAACCGGTTCTAAGAGAATAATGGTTTTTTTTTGCGTAACATGACACATCTTCCCCCCTCATATCGGAGAGTACGTGTATAAGGACTAGAAACTGTATGATGAGAGAATAAAGCATCAGTAGTCATTGTATTATCTCTCGCTCAATTATTGTTATTATATATTATTCTGCCTATTGCGATTTAAGCCCTTAGTGCTTCATTGATTATCAATCTTTAGCTCTATAACAGAATATATAGAGAAGGAATTAGTGTATGTGATCGTCTAAATTACTCTAAGCACATATTATTTAGGAATTATCAAGGTATCAAATTAAGATTATCTTATTAATTGTCTTCCTATTCTTTGTCTCTCAACATCTTCTTTACTAATAATCTCACTATTAATAAGTAAAATAACAAGGCGACGATCTATTGATATAAAGTTAGTGTAATTATATCTCTTCAAACTTTGAGTATATACTAAGATTTGTGAAATCAGCAAAATTTACTTAAAATTATGTTTATAAGATATAATATTGTGTACACCAAAAATTAGATTCATTAAACATAATTTGTTCAATATTAATGCCATTATATTTTTCTGATATGTATTATTTAAAAATAAGTTAATTACAAGGACAATTGATCTCCCTAGTCATTTGCTAATGTTCCAAAATTCGCTTTCATAAAACAAATTTTAAGTGATATACACATTATTGAACACAACTGAATTAATTGAGTTTATAATAAATCATCAATCTTATATAGTTACTCATTCAAATATAATACTATCATATAATAAAATAATATTAATAGTTAATTAACAACTATTATTTTAGCACACTATTAAAATGTTTTAGAAGAGAATAACAACTTGTATTAATTTCGTATAATTTCCCACATTGCGAGCAATAAATAAAACAAACTCAACACTTCTCATAAATAAAATAACATTTATTATGATCGTTTATAATGATAAGTAAAGACAAGAATACCCTTCGAGTCATATAGTCGCTCTGGCGCTGTATAACGGGCTCTGTGTAGTTTTTATCTACTAGAGAGGTTCTTTATTGTGATAATATATCAACTACGTATGCTTGTCATAATCCTGTTTATCACTCTCGGATGAAGCATATTGAGATTGATTTACATTTTGTCAGAGATCTTGTGCAAAAGAAACAGTTACGAATTGCTCATGTTTCGTCAAAAGATCAGTTAGCTGATCTTCTGATAAAACCTTTATCCAAGACTGTATTTGTCAAAAACCGGTTCAAGATTGGTGTTTGTAATCGAACCCCAATCTTGCGGGGGAGTAATAAGCCAACTGTATAGATAAGGCTTAGTAGTTGCATTTTGTTATAATTTGATATGTATTTAGCTGTGCTTTCATTTATCTCTTGCAACAGAATTATAGAGAGATAGTTGTGTATAAATATTAAACATAATGGAACAGTAAAGTATCTTTCTGCTTCCTATCTTTGTGCCACACTTTTATATACTAAAAAAAAGGATTATGATATATATTTTTCTCAACTGAATAAGAGAATCCGAAATTTATAAAATATGTAAATTTTATGGCCCAAATTGTTTTACATAATTCATTACTTATATTTCTTTTACATAAATAATTAATTACATGACTCTGTATTGCTATTCAAATTCGTTTTCATAAACAATTAATATTATTATTGAAACCAAATATGATATTAAATATTATAATAATATACTCTATTAATTAAAGTTATACACATTTGATTTAATGTTGGAGTAGTGGGTAATCCCACATCGGATAAATACAACTAAATAAAAAAGACGTATAATGTGAAGGGCGAACCAATCAAAATGGCTTAGGCCATTTTATATTAAAAGGAAAGCTCAGCTCATTATAAACCCAATATTAAATATATAATTGAATTTGATTTGATTAATGCCCTCTTAGGGCCCAAATTTTCAATATGATATGAAAGCTTGGGACCAGAATCTGCATGAGGGAAGTTTCAGTGTTGGGTCGTACCCTGATGGACCGTGTTGGGCCATCATATGCTTGTCTGAAGTTTCCGTGTTGGGTCGCACCCTGTTGGGCCATCATATGCTTGTGTGGAGGGGAGTGTTGGAGTATGTGGGTGTATGTGGGTAATCCCATGCCGGATAAATAAAAATAGCATATAATGTGAAGGTTGAACCAACCAAAATGGTTTAGGTCATTTTGTATCAAAAGGAAACCACAATTCATTATAAGTCTAATATTAAATATATAATTAAATTTGATTTGATTAATTTGTTCATGGCCGCAAATTCTTAACATTTAAACTTTTTTATTTCTGTCATTTGTCAATACTTGAAATACATGATCCTGTTAGATTATTAATTATTTTAAATTTAGTTTGGTAATATTTGGTTGGTTTTTTCATTATTTTGGAAAAGAAGAGGTTTTATTTATTTACCCGCTAAACCTCTCAATGACATAAATAAATGATTTATATAAATATAATATTATTTTACTTATTTACCTGTTTGTTTTTCAGATTTTAATTTTTTTAAAGTAAAAATTCATTATTTCTATCATTCAAAATAAATAAAGTATAGAATTTTAAATTTTATTTTCAAAATTGACAAAGTGTTAGTCAAGGGTAAATAATTTTGACTTCTGTCAAAATAAAAATAGAAGTTTAATTTCTGTTAAACACATTAAAATTTAAAAAACTGATATATTTTTAAAGAGGTGATCTAAAATACTTAATTCTATCGGTAGTAAACCAATTCTAGAACCTAATATGCTATCTTCCTTCTTTTTTTTAAGAAAAAAATTTGAAAAATTATCTAATGTGCTATTTGTAGTCCTAGTAACGAATAAATTAATAATAATATTATTATTATTTGTTGGATAAGACAGGAATATTACAGTTCACATATAGAAATATAAAAAAGTAAAAAAAAAAATACTACCGCAGATAAATATAATCCTAATTTATTTTTAAAATATTATTATTTTTAAAAAATAATTATTTTATAATTATTATTATTATTAATTCTTAAATATACTGTACGAATTAATAATTATTATTATTATTTAATTTCTTAATATACTTCGAATTCAATTTGCATCCTTATCCAATACGCATCCTTATCCTACTTGTATATATGTTACTTTCGCCATAATATTTATCTTATTTAAAAAAAGAATTTGTTTTAAAATATTTATTACTTTTTTAAAGAATAATAATTTTTTTTCACGTTTACTCTTCGTATATAATCAATAATTATGATCTTAATTTAATAATTTTTTTAAAAATTAATATTAAATTAAGAGTAATATAAGTAATTTAATTGATAATTTATTTTAAATGACAAATTGAATAATTTTTTTAAAAGAAGTGAAGTTTCAATAAAATAAAAATAATATTATTTATTACAGAAAAAATATTTTTATAAAAATTAAATAAAAAATATAATTTAACAGTATTAATTAGTTTTTCTTAATCCTTCTATAACTCGAACTAATCTTGCATATATGGGACTCGGGGACTGCTAAGGAAAAAACAAAAGTGATCGTCTCTTCTAAATTCCTTACAGTTACCTCAAGTTGTCAACTAACCTCTCCTTCTCCATCTGAGCTACCATGTTCCTTCCCTAAACCCTCACTTTCCTTTTGTTTCCCGAGAAAACTATCCAAATTCGTCTCATCTACTCCTCTTATTCATTTATCCAATTTAATTTAGTTTAACAATCTATCTTCCATGGCGACTTCTAATAAGCCCCAGAGGTCTCTCGAAGAAATCGAAGACATAATTCTTCGCAAAATCCTGCTAATTTCCCTAACTGATTCTATGGTAACTGATTCTCGAATCGTCTACTTGGAGATGACTGCAGCTGAGATCCTTAGCGAAGGCAAAGACTTGAAGCTCAATCGCGACCTGGTGGAACGCGTGTTGATTGATCGGTTATCCGGTCAATTTCCCGGTGGCGAGCCTCCTTTTCAGTATCTCCTTGGCTGCTACTGCCGTGCGACGGAAGAGGAGAAGAAAATCGCTAATATGAAGGACAAAAATGTCAAATTGGAGCTGGATGTTTCAATCAAACAGGCGAAGAAGTTATTCGTTTCGTATTGTAGAATTCATTTAGGGAATCCAGATATGTTTCCTTTTAATTCTGATCCTAGAAAGTCTAATGTTTCACCGCTTTTGCCTCTCATTTTTGCGGCGGTGGATGAATTTAATAGCGGTGGAACCCAGCCGCCGCCTCGGAGGTTTTGGGATGATTTGTTTCTGGATGGAGATTATGATAGCTTGGACCCAATATTCAAAGGGCTTTTTGAGGATTTGAGAGGGAATGTCATAAAGGTGTCGGCTTTAGGGAATTTTCAACAGCCATTAAGGGCTTTGGCTTTTTTGCTTCGTTTTCCTGCGGGAGTTAAGGCTCTTGTCAGTCATCCATGGTGGATTCCTAAAGGGGCTTACTTGAATGGAAGAGTTATTGAAATGACTAGTATTTTGGGACCCTTTTTTCATGTTAGTGCTTTGCCTGATCACACTATTTTCAAGAGTGAACCAGACGTTGGGTGAGTACAATATTGATTTTTTTTTTTTTGATTCCTAAAGGGGCTTACTTGAATGGAAGAGTTATTGAAATGACTAGTATTTTGGGACCCTTTTTTCATGTTAGTGCTTTGCCTGATCACACTATTTTCAAGAGTGAACCAGACGTTGGGTGAGTACAATATTGATTTTTTTTTTTTTTCCTTTTTCTTTTTCTTTTGTGTAAGTTGTTTTTATATGTTTATGTTCATGCTTTTATGGGGGTTGCTTGATATTGAGTTAATTTAGGCTGTTGAGAAGTTGATATAGCATTATTTGGGAACTAAAGACAGGGAACACAGGAGAGAAGGATCTAATGAGATAGTAGTTTGTAACTCAAAAAAAAAAAAAAGTTTCTTCTTACAATTCAAGTTAATAAACCAATGATCTTGGCGATGCGCTTAGGTCTATCATTTCGAACATTTGAAGTTCTCTCCCCCTCCCTCTCTCCTGTTCTCTCTCAGCATTACAAGTTCAGATATAGAGGAGATTCTGATGTTGGGCACTTTTCTTGTGCTATTTCGAATCAATGTAACCTCAAAATTTTTGAGGTTTCTCAAGGGGTTGGAAAGAGGATCTTTTTTAGTCCTTAGATATATCTAATTAAGGCTTACAGCACATTGCTTCGGGCGTTCTTTAGCGCATAGTTTGAAGTTCTGTACTTCTGTTATTTGTTTCATCAGTTACTTTTTTTAGCTAAAGGGAATTTCTTAATAATCCTTTTCCAGGCAGCAGTGCTTCTCTGAAGCATCAACTCGTCGCCAATCTGATTTGTTATCTTCATTCACCACAATCAAGACTCTTATGAATAACTTATATGACGATCTAGAACAAGTTATTCTTACTCTCCTTAAAAACAGTGACGCCCGTGAAATTGTTCTTCAGTATCTTGCTGAGGTGATCAATAGAAACTCATCAAGAGCTCATATCCAGGTAGTTTACTCCCCAAATTCATGGAATTATTTATCTTGGTCAATAACAATACATATGAATTAACGTGATCTTGCTTTTTTTTTCTTTTCCTTTTGTGGTTTGGGGCTGGGGCCATCGGGGCAATTCTTCTGTAAAGGAAAAACTGGAGTATGCATAATGGTGCTCGGATTAACCATGTTCTGTCAAATTACTACAAATTATCTTTTTAAAATTTTTTCCCACCCACGGTGACATGTCTTCCATTATCCATTTGTTACAGGTTGATCCTATATCTTGTGCAAGTTCTGGCATGTTTGTTAATCTAAGTGCTGTCATGCTTCGACTCTGCGAACCTTTTTTAGATGCAAGTTTGACGAAAAGGGATAAAATTGATGCAAAATATGTGTTCTACAGTAACCGTTTGGAACTAAGGTGATGGATCACAAACATAGTTTAATTATTGTTTCTATGTTATTATTAATTATCTGGCTGTCCTAATCATTAATTTCCACTGATTTCCTACTGTAGGGGGTTGACAGCCTTACATGCATCATCAGAAGAAGTTTCTGAGTGGATTGATAAAGAGCATGGACAAATAGATGTCTCTATGCAATCGGGCAATAGTGAAAATCGCTTGCTTCAATCTCAAGAAGCCACCAGTTCTGGTAGCACTGCTGACAAGCCTACATCAAGTAGTGGTAAAAAGGTCAAATACACATTTATTTGTGAATGCTTCTTTATGACTGCAAGAGTGCTCAACTTAGGTCTGTTAAAAGCATTTTCAGACTTCAAGCATCTGGTCCAGGTAATCCGTGCTCTTTTATACCTGGGTAGACTTATACCACATCTGTGCTGTGTGTGCTTGTTATTTGTTTATGTTAGTTGATCCTCTCTCTGTCTTTCTCTGTGTGTGTGTGTGTGTGTGTGTGTGTGTGTGTGTGTAGACTAATGAATAATCATTACAGGACATTTCAAGATGTGAAGATACCCTCTCCACGCTAAGGGCCATGCAAGAGCAGGCACCTGCTCAACAACTGGAGTCGGATATCGCTCGCCTTGAGAAAGATTTAGAGTTGTATTCACAGGAAAAACTTTGCTACGAAGCTCAGATTTTAAGGGTAAATAATCTGCTTTCTCCAACACACACCCTCCTCCCCTCCTCTTTCTTCATTTTCTTTCCTTTTCTTCCCCCATGTCTACCCATTTATACATTCACACAGCATGTGCAAGGTTATGACTTCTTTAAATACTCTGTTCATTTTTAGTGCTTCTCACATGTGAAGTGGTAGTAGTTTTTGATCATGTCATCACAGAAGAGTATGGCATCAGTCGATCACTGTGTGATCAGTTGGCAGTGTGTGTATATTGCTTTCACCAACTTTGCAGAGATCAGATGGATGTTGCTACTTGATGGACTTACCTTCTTTCAGGAAATCATTGTTTTATGCGAACTCTTAAGCACTAACCGGAACTTTTTACAGGATGTTTGCCGTCCTTGTGCTTTGTCATTCTTTATCCTTGCTTTCATCCAAGCCCAAATTCTAGAATACTTCCACCCAAGATATTTTTACAAAAAGTCTACCTAACTCTAGAATTTTCCTTGTAATCTAGACCGTCCATTTTTGTAGGCAAATCTTAGCCGTACATTGAGGAGGTGGAAATGGCTATAAATCCTAACTCTAGAATTTTCCTCTGTAATCTAGACCGTCCATTTTTGTAGGGGGCAAATCTTTAGCCGTACATTGAGGAGGTTGGAAATGTATAAATACCACCCCTCACCTCATTTGTAAAGCACCAAGGCAAATACCAAAGCAATACCAAGCAATAACAACTTGAATATTAAACTAAATCTAGACCGTCCATTTTTGTAGGCAAATCTTAGCCGTACATTGAGGAGGTGGAAATGGCTATAAATACCACCCCTCACCTCATTTGTAAGCACCAAGCAATACCAAGCAATACCAAGCAATAACAACTTGAATATTAACTATACATTGTAGCTTTGTTACTTTTACCAACTTGAAATGTCAAGTTTAAATGGTTAATTTTTCTTTCTCATTTTGTTGATATTTACTTTCTTTCATTTCTAAAAGGATGAAGCATTTATTCAGCGTGCCCTTTCTTTCTACCGTTTACTGGTGGTTTGGTTGGTGGGTCTGGTTGGTGGATTTAAAATGCCCTTGCCACCAACATGCCCTATGGAATTTGCATCCTTGCCTGAACATTTTGTGGAAGATGCCATGGAATTGCTTATATTTGCTTCCCGGATTCCGAGAGCTTTGGATGGAGTCTTGTTGGTAGGTATTGTTCTAAAATACTTCATTGTGAATTACCCTACATACTTCTTCATATTGTTGATGTGTGTTCTTTTCCTATTATCTTTGCTTGGCAGGATGATTTTATGAATTTCATTATCATGTTCATGGCCAGTCCAACATATATTAGGAACCCTTATTTAAGAGCAAAGATGGTTGAAGTATTGAACTGCTGGATGCCTCGTAGAAGGTGATATGATTTCTGCATAATTGTTGCAAAATTTTCTTTGAATTTGGAAAACTGCCAGCATAGTTTATTCACTGCATCTGGTCATTGCATCTACAGTGGTTCATCAGCTACAGCTACATTGTTTGAAGGGCACCAATTGTCCCTTGAGTATCTTGTGAGGAACCTCTTGAAGCTTTATGTTGACATTGAGTTCACAGGTTCTCATACCCAGGTGATTTCCATAACATTTGAATTTCTGAGAGTTGATAGTTTGCAACATTAGGCTGGATGTGTACAGGTTTAATCCTTTGCAACTGGTTGACTGAATGAATTTTCTTAATGATATTGTTAAGCATTTACTCTATAAGTATTTTAATCCCAGATCAGGCACTTCATTTGTTGACTATTGTCTTGACAAATTAGCTAGAGAGTTGATGGTCATAGGGACTAGTTCACTTGATTTTTTCTTGCATAGCCATATGGACATGGTTTTATATTCTTTCATGAATATATGCTAAATAGATACTTTTTCTTGTCAACATCATATATTCATATGTACTTTTCCAATGTTTTGAGATTTTTAATTTTTTGTTTTTAAATTATGAAAATTATAAATAGTGTTATTTCTCAAGAAATAATAATTTGATGAAATTGAATTGCCTTCTGTTTATCCATTCATGAGGTTATTGATATGAATATTTGAGACCTTACTATTGAATGAGAGGCGAGGAGTGTCAGTTATAAACTTTTCCAAAATGATTGCTAAATGAGAAGTAGGAATTTTCTGTTGCTTTTACAACATCAATAGCTGGGTGTTTCATGCAGCTAAAAGCTAACCTGTCCGGATTTTCTTCCTTTGATCATGCTGCAGTTTAGGCTTTGTGAATCTGGAACATAGCTTTACCTTCTGGTATCCCTTGGTTTAGTAAATTGAGAATTTTGGAACCTTGGATGCAATGATCTGCTAGCCCTCATGATGAGCCTCTATTTTTGGTTCCTCAATTCATCCTTTTCTAACTGAACTATCAACTAATGCTTTGATCTGTATTCAATGCCAAAAATATTGGAAGTTTTCGGATTCGGTCTCTTTGGATTATAATGAGCCGTTTGTTTTGCATCTGTGCAGTTTTATGACAAGTTCAACATCCGACATAACATTGCTGAACTTCTCGAATACCTATGGCAGGTCCCAAGTCATCGAAATGCTTGGAGACAGGTAGAGTTACAAAGACTGAAAGCATCTACTTCATGTCTCTTTAGTAAACTGAAACATCTGCTCTCATTCCCTCCTCTTTCTCTCTCATATATTATTTTATGTCATTCCAGATTGCAAAGGAAGAGGAAAAGGGTGTCTATCTGAATTTCTTAAACTTCCTGATCAATGATAGCATCTATCTTCTTGATGAAAGTCTGAACAAAATTCTTGAACTTAAAGAGTTGGAAGCTGAGATGTCGAACACAGCAGAATGGGAGAGAAGACCAGCTCAAGAGAGGCAGGAGAGAACCCGTCTTTTCCACTCCCAAGAGAATGTCTGTATATGATCTCATAGAATTAATTTCTACTTTACATACAAATCTTTTAATAGTTGAAGTGTTAACTGCATAGCATTTATGGGTGGTTTAGATCATTCGGATTGATATGAAACTGGCAAATGAAGATGTGAGCATGCTAGCTTTTACATCAGAGCAAATTACAGCACCTTTCTTACTTCCTGAGATGGTACATGTTTTTTGGCTTCCAGCTTGCCTATATATGCTTGTTAGTAATCAGTGATTAAGTGGCTAAAATGTTATTTTCCTTTTCTGAACTTTTGCTGAATGTGTATAGCCTCTTCTTTACAGGTTGACAGAGTAGCCAGCATGCTCAATTACTTTTTGTTACAACTTGTGGGTCCCCAAAGAAAATCTCTAAGTCTTAAAGATCCTGAGAAGTATGAATTTCGTCCAAAGCAGTTGCTTAAGCAGGTTAGCATGAAGCTTTCACGTTCACTATTGAATATGCTGCTGATGCCGTTGTTCTGTGTGTGTGTGTGTGTGTGTGTGTGCATGCTTGCATACATGTTTATGCGCCAAAACAATTTCTTAAGCATTTTGGCATGTGGAAGCTCAAATTCATCAGCATGTTTGTATGTGAAGATCAAATTTATCGCAGTTGAGCTCTCCTCCATCTTTCATCAGATTCATTGTTGAGTGAAACAATTACAGTCACGTATCTTTTAATATCTTGTGTCAGTATGCAAGGGCAAGTGACTTTTTTATCTGGGTCAACTGAATTTTCTAAGGATTGGAATTCTAATTCTTATCAGCCTAACATTTTCAGTTTGCTATCTTTATCTCTCAAAGTAGATCACAATTATTTCAGAGCAGATTCTCATGTACATAAATAATGACGTGAAATCCTCTGTGAAGATGGTATCTTACTTTTTCTTTACTGATTTGAAGATTGTCGACATATATGTTCATCTAGCGAAGGGTGATACAGAAAACATTTTCCCATCTGCCATCTCAAAGGATGGCCGGTCATACAATGAGCAGGTAACCTAACTTGTTGCGACTCTTCTGCAAACTTCTTATTATATATATATATATATATTCCCATCTGCCATCTCAAAGGATTGCCGGTCATTACAATTGAGCAGGTAACCTAACTTGTTGCGGGACTCTTCTGCAAACCTTCTATTATATATATATATATAATATATATATATTATTTAAATCTGGAATGCAGTGTTCATGAGAGTTATGTAGGTATGATTAAAACCATTGTTCTGGACACTACTTTCGTCTTCTCTAGTTATTTAACTTGCTGCAGCTGATGTCTTTAAAGAAGGATATTGGGGAAGATGGGGAGGGTTCACACATTGAATTCATTGAGCTCGCGTAAAAGAGCCAAAAGTTTGCAGCGTCAGATGGCCAATGGACACTGGAAGCTGCGCTTGGGAAAGGAGATACCAGATGAATTCCTTGACCCCATTCAAGTACGTGTAGTGTGCTAACTTTTTATCATTTTTATTCTGAAAAGCATATTGTAAATAAGCTTGCTTTGGGGGAAATGAAACCGAAGTTATTATAATTAATACCAATTAATTGATGTCATTGTTTTTATTTTTATTTTTTTCTTTTCTTTTGCAGTTACCACTTCTAATGAAGGATTCCGTTCTATATATATATATATATATATATTTAATTGGAATGCAGTGTTCATGAGAGTATGTAGGTATTGATTAAACATTGTCTGACACTATTTGTCTTCTCTAGTTATTTAATGCTGCAGCTGATGTCTTAAGAAGGATTGGGGAAGATGGGAGGGTTACACATGAATTCATTGAGCTCGGTAAAAGAGCCAAAGTTGCAGCGTCAGAGGCAATGGACACTGAAGCTGCGCTTGGAGAGATACCAGATGAATTCCTTGACCCCATTCAAGTATGTAGTGTGCTACTTTTTATCATTTTTATTTCTGAAAAGCATTATTGTAAATAGCTTGCTTTGGGGGAAATGAACCGAGTTATTATAATAATACCAATAATGATGTCATGTTTATTATTTTTATTTTTTTCTTTTCTTTTGCAGTACACTCTAATGAAGGATCCGGTCATCTTACCTTCTTCAAGAATAACAGTTGACAGGCCTGTAATTCAAAGGCATCTTCTCAGTGATGCGGTGTGTTTTCTACTTTTTCCATTATGTAATTTTATCAAACCCTACATTTTTGTTTGAAATTTCTAATTGATATAAGCTGAACTACAGACTGATCCATTCAATCGATCCCATCTCACTGCGGACATGTTGATTCCAAATATCGAGTTAAAGGCAAGAATTGACGAGTTCATTAGGTCCCAAGAATTAAAAAGGCACGGGGATGACTTCAGTATGCAAAGCTCTAAAGCAACAATTCAAAGAACAACTGGGGAAATGTTAATTGATTAGGGCAGTAGGCATTGCTGTAGATTCTTGGATTCGTGATGGCGAAATGTGTTCTTATATTTTGGGAAAGACCGGGAAGATTTACAGAATCAAATTGTGGCAAGTTGGTTGTAGCTGTGACCGCTTGTGCATTTATTATCTTATTGTAAGAATTATAGGCAAGAAATTCCATTTATATTTTATTATCTGATTGTAACAATTATAGGAAAGAAACTCCACTCCATTTACATTATTTATACAAGTTCACGACAGCTTTGACTTTGATGTCTTCCCGTTTCTGCTTCAAAATGTAAAAAAATGCATAAACAATGTGTCCAGATGGGAACTTCAAATTGCATTACCATCACTAAGACCTAACTTCGAAGAACTCTTCGCTATGAACCTTACAAAGATATGAACAATTAAAGTTAGATAAAATGCATAAATTCATCCATATTTTACCGAAAAAAGCAATTATTATGTTCCTAAAATTATTTATTTTAGTAACATTAATTTCTTTTCACATTAACAATAATAGTTTGACTTTTATATGTAAAGTACTAATTTGATTTGTGGTCATAAAATAATAAAATTGATATTTTTTAACGATTCCGTAAGTGGCTAATCAATATAATTTTATAAGTTAAATTATTTAATATAGTAATTTTTCAAATTGAAATGTTTAATAAAAGTATTTTTATAAATTAAAAGTGATTAGTAATTCAACATAAAAATTAAGAATACTACAAGACTTTTTAAACAAATTACAAGGTTAAATTTATGCATCTAACCGTTGAAAGTAAATACATTCTAAATACAAATTAATCGGACCATGCACTTAAAATGAATTTATTAATCAATCCAAACATGAAATTTCATTTAGAAATAGATGTCCACTGAAATTCATTGCAAATGAATATAGCCCAAGTAAGGTGCCTAATTCCAAATAACTTTACGGCTGACTTGACCCAAGTACAAAGAAAACAAGTCTTCTTTCTCCTATTTAGTAACAAAATCAGAATATAACATAACTAAGACTTAATTTCAAAGTAGTTGATTATATGAATCCTTAATCTCCATTGTGCTCTGTCCAAACTTAGAATATTAGAAAAAAGTATATTTAAAACACAGGCTATTGACTCTGAAGTTGTTATCTCATAACCTATATTACCAGCCCGATGTACATCTTTGCTTCGGCCGTTGCTTGCCACAAAGTGAGCCACCTTGTTCACCTTCTCTATTGACTGATTTTGCAGCAATCATTTTCCTCAGTGTAAAAATCCCAATTGAAGCTTTGATTTGACTTAAATGGATTGCCAATGGCATTCACAACAATTGTATAATTGTTGGAAGCAGTAAAACGGAAAGAATCTAACTTTATGTAGTTCGAGTCTCTATCAAAGCTTGGGCATAGGCATAGCTGCCTTTCGCTTTGCATACTCATGAGCAATGCTAATAGCACTCTGGCTATGACGCAGTGAAAACTCTGCTAGTAGGATCTGACTTTCTTCTGGCATCAAATCACCATGACAGCCCTGCAAATGACGAATGTAAAATTTCTATGGTTCTTGTTTAATTTAAAAATAACATTACAACGTCTAACAGGAAATTTGGGCCTAAAAGAGGACTCAGTAATGTCAATCTCAATTATCTTAATCATAAACAATTGGATCTGTGAATACTTGAATTGATGATAACCACTTGAGATATCAGGGACAAAGGGACATCATATTTCTAACACTAGAGATATCAGGGACACAGGGACATCATATTTCTAACATGTATTAAAGATACAGATGATATTTAAGTCAAGTGAACTCGTCAACATATTGAACTGGAGAAAATTATGGTCCTTCCCCATCAAAGACCCAGGTCTCCTTTTTCATAAGCATATGAATTTGCTCCAAGAAAGAAAGCATCTGATCACCCTCATGTTGGGGATGAATATGAACTTGATTAAATTTCGAAGAATTTAATTTGTTGTCTCAAAGAAACAAGACCAAATGAGTGAACCACAGAATCACAAACTGAAGATGGAGGCATGTCAACAACATAGGATTTGAACAGATAGGAGTAAACAACAGACTTGTATATGAGAGCTTGTGCACATACACACATAGGCACATTGATAACTATACATTTTGGCAATTAGGCACAACCGTGAATGTGAATCAGTTTTTTCAGTTTTATCCCAGCATCAGCTTTCTATAACTTTTGACCACAATGTTGGATGCATGAGGATATTAACTTGATTCTCTACATAACTCAATCGCAAACTCACTAATGAAGTTTTGAGGTTGGGATCTAGGAATGAATATGGCTCCTCAAAGAGCTCTGAAAATTGGACCAAAACTTTCACCCCGGTTTACGTAGATGAATGAGGCTATTAATTGATTCAACTTAAAGACAGAAATTTTAACATCTGGAAATGAGACATCTCATTCATAGATGAAAAAAAAATTTATTCTTGTAACTGTTTCCAGAATAAAGTTCAGTTTAATTTCTTTCATCTGCACAGTTAATAGAGTATCCATCATTACCAGGCGAGAAGTTCTGTCACAAACAGCATGGTGCATGAGGATGCCTGCTGCAACTGATACATTGAAAGAGTCTACCATGCCTTTCATTGGAATACTACAGTGTAAATCCGACAGTTCCAAGGCTGCATCACTTACCCCCCTGCAATAAGGGACTCAAAAACCTTGATATTTGAAAAGAAATTACTTATAATTTTATAGTTCACAATCTACAGATATTCTTCAGCACTAACACTAATGAAGTTGAGCAGAATTGTAAGATCAAAGAATTGGAACTAGTAAATACTATTACAATCAGGATAGTTTACCAAAATGGAGTTTTCAGAGAAGATAATGCAAGAACAACCTTTTGAAGGTTTCTCTTCTTCCCTTTTGAACTGTAATTTTTAAGTCTCAAACATTGACATCTATCTATATCCATAACAGCACTGCTTGAAACACGATGAAATATTCACTTTAAATTCCGGAAAAGAGGGTAAAATTTGAAAAATAGTTACCTACTTTCATTTCCGACTACTATTGCAGTTGGGCATGACCAGTCCATGTCATAAATGGATACCTGAACACGGCATGAGGAAGAATCAAATATTATATCTAAACCAAGGATGTTTCAACTAGCAAAGGAAACCTCATAGTTCAAGCATTGGTTGTATTGCTAACTCAGTAACTGAGATTATAAAGTATAAATTGCATTCCCATAGAAAACTACCCTATTAATTATGTGTAATAAATGCCAAAAAATTTTCCTAAAACAGAGAAAATATATCATTACTGCATCCATTCCCACATGCGTTGTGGCTATTTGATAACCACGAGATTTTAGAACTTTAAAGCACTCTTGAACAGAGTCCCAAAGTTCAATGTCCAACCATTTCTCTGCACCCATGCTAACATGACGATTTTCTCGGTACCTGCAATGCAAAAACAAATTTTGTTAGTAAAGCAAAATTGATCATCTGCCCAAGCCGTTGCTAATCAGAAACAACTAAAAGAAATTAAATAGAAACCAAATTATAACATAATAACCATCGTAGCAAGAGTTATGCACCAGTTACTGAAACAAAACAAGGCACCAATTTTAGCCAAGGAAATGCCCTCACTCTAAATAAGATGTTTTCACGCCCAATATAATTCGAGTATAATATCCTATTGATCTCGTACAAAAATATTTAATTAACAGAAAATAAACACAGTTAATCCTGTGTGGCAACCTATACAAGCAAATACCCTATCAACCAACGTATGTCGTAAAACAGGCAGCCACTAAAGCACCAACTTTTGACAAAATCTAAAATTAAAAAGAATATAGAAAAACGGAATCAATCAACCCATTTCACCTCAAGTTGCGATGCACCTTTTCGAGCTGTCACACGAGGCCACATGAACTGATTGGAATCCAAGCGCATCAGCAGACCGAAATGTAGCCGAAACGTTTCCAAAATCACTCAATCCTTCCACCACCAGACAAACCGAGTAGCTCCGGTTCTTCACTGCACTTCTAAACCTCTCCTTCCTCTCCTCCATTATATACGGCTCCATCGCCTCCAACACTTCCCCGCTACTCAAATACAAACCACTCCCACACTCGAACCGGTCCAAGTAAGGAAACCACCGCTTCTCCTGTTGCGCTTGTTCAACTTCATTGTCGACAACCAACAGCGACCTTCTTCTCTCCATTTTCATAAGCCTCGAAACATCGTCGCGGTTGTTCAGCAAGTGCTCAACGGTGTCATTTTTCTCACAGTTATTTTGCAAGTCATCTGCTGGTAATTCTGTTGATTCTAATGACATTGCTCCGTCCATAGACCCATAAGACCTTGTGCGGATTCTACACGGACTGATTCCTGCACCCAGAGACACCAATCAATGAAACAAAACAAGACATTAATTATAAAAGATAAAACTTGAAACGCAAATATATAGCACATGTGTATATTTGGTAGAGCGCACCTGCACGGAAATGAGAGAGGGGATGGAAATTGAGAGAGAGGGAAGAGAGAGGGCGAAGAGATAGAGAAAACATGGGCTTGGAATTGAAGAAATTTGGTTTGGATTTTTCAAAGGAACGGAGAGATGCGCATACTAGGGTTAGGGATTTGCAGGATCTCATTTTTCTGTATTGGCGCCAAAGAGTAGCAAAGAGAATTGGATAAGGGTTTATGAATACCGTTCGCGGGCGGGTGTAGAAGATGAAGTCTGTTTAAAACAGCGTCGTTTTAATGGGTTCCCATGCGCTGTCGTTTCCTTGGTGCAATCTTACTTTACTTAAAAAAAACAATCCTTCAAATTAATTTCTTTTTTCTCTTCAGAAAAATTATTTTCTCGAATATGGTAATTCAATATTCAAAAATAAGAGTATCTATAATGGATGAAAATAATTAAATATCTTTCAAATATAATAAAAAAATTAAAATCTCGAAAAGAAAAAAAAAACTCTCAAATAAATAGGACATCATATCTCAAAACATATAAAGAGATTGAATTAACTATATAATTGGTGTTCAAATATTTGTCAATTTAGTGTCTAAAGTTTATTATTTTATTAATTAATAAATGTCTAAATAGATAAATTTTTTCAATTAATTGCATTTAATCAGAATATTTTATCGAAAAACTAAGTATCAGACTTTTAATTTTATTTAAAAGATGAGAATAATCGAACCACTCATTCTAATGGGTGATTTTATATATATATATATTTTGATTGTTAAAAATTGAAAATAATGGACATATATTCGGTTTAAATATTTTTTTAATATTAAAAGAAAAAAGAGTTAAAGGCCCACGCAAACGCAATGAAAGGAAAGGATGCAATTAAATTATACTCAACTGAATTTGCAAGGTTGTGCACATGAGATAGATCCATTGTTTTATGCAACAAAAGAAAAAAAATAAAAAGAAAAATAAAAGAAACCTAGCTTTGGTCCAATCAGGCAATCACTGACCAAACCCAAAGGACCATGAGAAAACCAATACTACAGAGAATCAGAGCCGTTCGCTATACCTACCACGGTGAATCTATACCATTCATCTTACCTACCACCCCAAATCAAACCTAACCGCCAAGAACAAATCATATTATTAATAAATAATCTGATACACAATTTTTTTTTTTTTATAATCAGCAGCGTTTGGTACAAAGGTTTTTTTTTTTTTTGGTACATTCAGGCGTAGGTCTTGCTTGCACCGTTAGATCATTTATGGGATAAAGTATTTCAAGCCGAGTATTGTCCAATCTGTGAGGAGATCCACTGTAGGGTAAAACGCTTTTAACTAGTATTGCTCCATTGGTATCCAACTCTACTACTAAAACCGTTTAATCAGGCTCTAGTCTTAGTCAGCAGTTAAGGCTCTTTGCCCTTTTCTGTAGATGTGTTTAGTGGAAACTGAATCTAAAAACTCTTCTCACATGCTTAATCTGCGTTGCCAATTAAGTCTAAATCATTAAATTTATTTTCCAAATAAATTAACACATAAATTTAGTAGCAACTATTAAAATAAAATTAATTAAATCTTAACTATTTGATGCAAAATCGAGTCTTCTACAGTCTCCAACGTGATTGTTTGTGGGGCAGATTTCATGATGCTGTCAGCAAATAAAGAGGTAGCTGGTCATCCACGGAGGACTTCTTGTCTTCTCTACAACAAATGATAATAAATAAGGGTAACAACTTTTACAATGACCATAACCTAAGGCTAAGAGCCTCCAAAAACTCAGAAGAAGAAGAAGAAAAAAAAAAAAAATCAAACACCTGCTTACAGAGTCAACCGCATGGATCCTTCTCATACACCAAAGAAGCCTCACATAGCTCTCATCCCCTCCGCCGGAATGGGTCATCTAACACCCTTTCTCCGGATAGCTTCTCTTCTATTGTCAAGAAACTGTATTATTACTCTTTTTACTCCAAAATCCACCATTTCTAATGCAGAATCTGATCATATATCTTTCTTTTTAACTAAATACCCTCAAGTCAAGCATCTTGAATTTGATATAATTCCGGTTCAAGCTTCTGGAAATCAAGATCCTTTCTTTGTTCAGTATAAAGCTATCAGTCGCTCTTCTCATCTTCTCCGTCCTTTATTATCTTCCTCACCATATCCATTCTCTGCTATATTTTGTGATTTGCTTACAGCTAGAAGCATAGCTGCAATTTCTGCAGATCTTAGCATTCCTTATTACGTTTTAATATCTACTTCTGCTAAGTTTCTGTCTTTCATGTTATATCTACCCTTTCTTGTCTCCAATCCTGATAAATTTAGTATCAATTCTACTGAAGTACAAATCCCAGGCTTGACTCCATTGCCTATGAAAAGTATTCCTTTGCCTTTCGTGAACCCAAATCATCTTCTTGCTTCAAGTATAATAGAAAATGTTGGATCTATTCCAGAAGCTAAAGGAATTCTGGTGAATTCATTTAAACAGTTTGAAGCAGAAACATTTTCTGCTCTAAATAATTGTAAAGTTTTGAACAACCTTCCTCAGGTTCTTCCTATTGGACCATTACAAGCTTATGACATTGAAAATGATGAGAGCCAGTGTCTGTCGTGGCTCGACAACCAACCGGAGAAATCTGTGGTATATGTGAACTTTGGAAGTAGAACAGCAATGTCTAATGACCAAATAAAAGAATTGGGACATGGGTTAGATAGAAGTGGCTGTAGATTTTTATGGGTAGTTAAGACTAGTACAGTTGATAAAGAAGATAAAGAAGGTTTAGAAGAGCTACTAGGCAACTCATTTTTAGAAAGAGTGAAAAGTAAAGCTATGGTGGTGAAGAGTTGGGTTAATCAGGAGAAAATTCTTGAACATTCAGCTACTGGAGGGTTTATTAGCCATTGTGGATGGAACTCAGTGACTGAAGCAGCCGCAAGAGGCATGCCAGTATTGGCCTGGCCAATTCATGGAGACCAAAGGGTAAATGCAGAAGTTTTGCAGGAAGCAGGATTGGGAATATTGGAGAAGACATGGGGTATGGGAAATGAAAGATTGGTTAAGCAGGAAGAGATAGCTAAAAGGGTTTCAGAGTTTATGAATGATGTAGAGTTGAGGAATAGAGCTATGAAGGTTGGGGAGGAAGCTAGAAAGGCTATTGAACATGGTGGGAGTTCTGATAAGGCTATTATGGAAATTATTGAAAAACTAAGTTGAAACTTTTCATGCTTTTCTTATTTCTTAAGTTGAAAAATCAATGTATCACCTACCCTACTTTCCCTAGTTTTTCAATAAAAAATAAACTAACAATATGTCAAGTCATGATATCTTCGTTGAATTGAACACTAATCCATAGAGGTTATTCTCTAAACGCAGACTTGTGTCTTACCATTTGAGTTGCTTTTCATAGGTGGTGTACTTTAGAATTTAGTAATTATAATATTCAGCACAACATGTTGTCAAAAAAACAATTACTTTGATTAAATATTACTCCATACTGGTTATTAATGTCATTACATATAGCAATTAATTAATAAACTTAACAAAATCCTACAAAATATATAATTAAAACATTTGGAAGCTATGTAATTACCTTCTTGTTAGGATGAATTTAATCCCCATATCCCTGAAAGGATAAATATAATCAGAATTTCTTGTCATGCCATATTTGACTCTGGTTTCTTGTACACATATATGATATATGATAAATCTTATAAATCTTTGAGCTATTTCTCCCACCAATTCAAGAAAACTAAAAATGTCAAGTTCTAGTAATCACAACCTTGCTCACACAGCTCTCCTCCCAAGTTCAGGCATGGGTCATCTTACACCCTTCTTTAGACTTGCTGCTTTACTCACAAACAACAATGTCAAGATAACTTTCATAACCCCAGATTCAACGGTTTTTATGGCTGAGTCACAAACCTTATCTCATTTCTTTGCTTCTTTGCCTCATATCAACCAAAAGCAATTTCATCTCCTTCCTCTCGAAAAAATTCCCAACAACACAGAAGACCCTTTCCATTACCATATGGATTGTGTTCATAAATCCTCTCACCTTCTTTCTTCTATACGCGCTTCGCTATCCCCACCTCTGTCTGCTGTTATCACTGACATGAGCTTGGCTACTTCTTATATTCCAATCGCTCAAGCTCTTAATCTACCCAATTATGTTCTTTTCACATCTTCTGCTAAAATGTTAACACTTTTTTATCCTACCATGCCATTACCAGTTCGAAAACCATAACGGTATTGGATGACATCGATGTGTTCAAGATTCCAGGCCTAAAAGAAGTAATACCCAGATCATGGATTCCCCCACCACTTTTAGAAAACACAAACAATTTCTTCAAGACAAATTTCTTGGAGATTGGCAAGAAAATGGCAGAGTCAAGTGGGATTCTGGTAAACACATTTGACAGTATTGAGCAAGAAACAGTCAGAAAGCTGAATGATAAAGAAGTACTAGCAAGGGTACCACCAGTTATTACAATTGGACCACTTGCGCCATGTGAATTTGAAAAGAGCAAGCCTTTAGCTTGGCTTGATGGCCAACTGGATAGGTCAGTGATGTATGTTAGCTTTGGTAGTAGGACTGCTATGTCAAGAGAGCAAATACGAGAATTGGGCGAGGGATTGGTAAAAAGTGGTACTAGATTTTAAGGATGGTGAAGGATAAGAAAGTTGATAGAGAAGATGAAGAAGACTGGAATAAAATAATTGGAAGTTGGTTAATGGAAAGATTGAAAAGAAAGGGGCTTTTAAATAAGAACTGGCTAAACCTAGAAGGCATACTAAGGCATCCAGCAGTTGGTGGTTTTATCAGTCATTGTGGGTGGAATTCAGTCACAGAGGCTATACGGCACGGTGTGCCTATTTTAGCATGGCCTCATAATGAAGACCAGAAGATCAACGCTGATACTGTAGAGAGGATTGGATTAGAGAATTGGGTGAAGAGTTGGGATTGGGGTGGAGAGATTGTAGTGGATGGGACAGAAATTACAGAAAAGATTAAGGAGGTGATGGAGAGTGAAGTGCTAAGAGCTCAGGCAATGCACATCAGAAAAGAGGCTAGGAGAGCAGTGGCAGTGGGTGGCAGCTCGTCCAACGGGCTGATAGAACTCCTTGAAACATGGAAGAAGCTTTGAGATTACCTGAAGTTTATGGATTAAGCTATAAACTTTTTTTAAATAACTACAAACGTGTAATAAAGTCAAGCTTGTGGATCGTGCAAGGAAAATTTCATAGGGAAAAAAAAAATATTCATGCAAGTCATAAGGTCATAGTAGAAAATAACCAGTTTCCATTTTTCTTTGGATTTTCAGAACAAAATGCTGGAAACAGATGATTTGGTGAGCCAAGACCTCCCTATGAATAAAAAAATATTTATATAAATAGCAAATTGTTAATAGAAAACGTGAAGTGAAATTCTATCTAAGAGAGTTTTTTTATTTTCTTGTCGCTACATCAGCATTCAGCAGGCTTGGTAGAAAATTAAAAATATTTTTGGATGCCATATTTGACTTTGGTTTCTTGCAAGGCACACATACACGTATAATAATAAGCTTATAGTCTTTGAGCGATTTCTCCCACCAATTCAAGAAACTAAAAATGTCAAGTTCTAGTGACCAAAAACTTGGTCACATAGCTCTCCTCCCAAGTTCAGGCATGGGTCATCTTACACCCTTCTTTAGACTTGCTGCTTTACTCTCAAGCAACAACGTCAAGATAACCTTCATAACCCCAAATTCAACGGTTTCTATGGCCGAATCACAAACCCTAACTCATTTCTTTGCTTCTTTGCCTCATATCAATCAAAAGCAATTTCATCTCCTTCCTCTTGAAAAGACTCCGAACAACACGAAAGACCCTTTCTATTGCCATATGGACTGTATTCGTCAATCAGCTCACTTTCTTTCTCCTACACTCGCTTCGCTATCCCCTCCTCTCTCTGCGGTTATCACTGACATGAGCTTGGCTGCTGCTTTTATTCCAATCACTCAAGCTCTTAATCTTCCCAATTATGTTCTTTTCACATCTTCTGCTAAAATGTTAACACTTTTTTTATCCTACCATACTATGATCAGTTCGAAAACCGTAACCGATTTGAATGAATTCCATATGTTCAAGATTCCAGGCCTAGAAGAAGCAATACCCAGATCATGGATTCCCCCACCACTTTTAGAAAACACAAATAATTCCTTTAAGACTTACTTCGTGGAGAATGGAAAGAAAATGGTAGAGTCAAGTGGGATTCTAGTAAACACATTCGACAGTATTGAGCAAGAAGCAATCAGAAAGCTAAATGATAAAGTAGAAAGGCTACCACCTGTTGTCGCAATTGGACCACTTGCAGCATGTGAATTTGAAAAGGGCAAACTCTTAGCGTGGCTTGATGGCCAACCAGATAGGTCAGTGATGTATGTTAGCTTTGGTAGTAGGACTGCTATGTCAAGAGAGCAAATAAGAGAATTGAGTGAAGGATTGGTGGAAAGTGGTGCTAGATTTCTATGGATTGTGAAGGATAAGAAAGTTGATTTAGAAGATGGAGAAGACTTGAATAAAGTGATTGGAAGTTGGTTAACGGATAGATTGAAAGAAAAGGGATTGGTGGTTAAAGCTTGGCTAAAACAAGAAGATATACTAAGGCATCCAGCAGTTGGTGGTTTCATGAGTCACTGTGGCTGGAATTCAGTGACAGAAGCTGTAAGGCATGGTGTGCCTATATTAGCTTGGCCTCAACATGGAGACCAGAAGATCAACGCCAGCATCGTAGAGAGGATTGGTTTAGGGAATTGGGTGAAGAGTTGGGGTTGGGGTGGAGAGATTATAGTGGATGGGACAGAAATTGCAGAAAAGGTTAAGGAGGTCATGGAGAGTGAAGTGCTGAGAGCTCAGGCAATGAATATCAGAGAAGAGGCTAAGAGAGCTGTGGCAGTTGGTGGTAGCTCATCCAACAGGCTGATAGAACTCATGCAAACATGGAAGAAGCTTTGAAATTACATGAATTTTTTTCATATAATATATTTGTCCCGAGAAAATTGTTCAATTGACTACAATGTGTGTTTGTGTTTGTGCCAAGTAAAAGAAGCACATCTCTTAGTTGAGACTTGAGAATATTAAATGAGCATTGCTCTGCCTAGTTTATGGACTAAGCTATACAGTCTGTTTAAATAACTACAAACATGTAATACAAACAGTTGAAGATTGAGGAGCACACAGAGGAAATTGAAGAGGAAAACAACAGATTCATATGAAGTCATGATCTCATAGCAGAAAACAACAAATTTCTGTCATTTCTTCAGATTTTTTGGAACAAAATAGAGCAAACAGAGGATTTTGAATTCATTAAGTCGATATTTTTCTATTTCCTAGAGCTTCAAACAAGCCAGCAGTATCTAAGCATTCAGAGTTTTCTTTGAAATGATATCAAAAGATATACCATTTAGTAGGAGTCTTTCTTGCAGATCTGTGGGGCCAAATACGATCCCTGGAGGTAAAACTCCTCCCTTTGGTAGTGTGTTGCGTTCGCTCAGAAGGATAAGAGCACATTGAACTAAGATGATTGGGGTGGTCAAATAGCCGATCTCAGGTCCCGTCACTCTTGTTACTATTTCCATGTCAGGTTTCGTGGTTGTCTGTAAAACTTGATTTATATCGCTAAAACCACGTCCAACAAACCACATCTTAAATGTAGCACTTCTGACCTGATCCTCAGAGGGACCCTTTTTCTTGAACCATCCAAGGCTAAAAACAGAAGGAAATTTTAAGAGAAGCCACCTCCCAATGGCATTTCTACCCAATAGCCCAATGAAAATGCCAACTGTTATGTACCGAAAGACACCAAATACAGTTTTAGCGCCTAGCTTCACCCCAAAATGAGCAGGCTTTACCATTGACCAGAATGCCTCTCTCTTTTCAATCTGTTCAGCACTCTCATTAACCCCAGGAAGACCATGGGGGTTTTCTGTCAGAGTTGCAAGGGTTCTTCGAACAACAACAGAATCTGCTGAAGGTAGTTTTACAGCCCAAAGGCCAAGCTCCTTTTGGTGTTCGATTGTTGGTCCTTTGGGAGGAAAGGGACCAGGAATCTGAAAAGATGCATATAAAATTAACATCGTTAACTTCATGGTCTAACTAAGAAGAAAAAGAAACATCTTAAGAAAATGCCTGTTCATCTATATGGCAGCAACATATTTAGGTCCTTGTAATAATAATGATAATAAATGAAAGTTTTCTTTCTCAAATAGAGCTGCCAACACACTGTAGAGCTACAAATATATTTGAGAAACCAAAGTTTGACAGCTTTTGAGGCTTTATATAAAAAACCAGTCTTTCTTTGCAGTTAGCCATCTTGATTAGGAGACAGACTGATGTAATAGTTTTAAGAGTAAAATCAGTTCCATTTTTGAGAAGTTTTAGTGGGCAGCAAGACAGAAAGCTGTGTAATATAATAAATTGCAAGTAGTATCCTAATAAAAAATTTTATCGCCCACATGCAACAATTTCAAAAAAAAAAATTTGAATGCTGTGTTCATCGTGGTATTACAAACTTGGTTTTTCAAATAATGATGGCAATAAGAGAATTGGCATGATACTGCTGCTATGACTGTCACCAGCATATGTAGCACCTTTTCTTGCGTTAATTTGTTAGCAACACATCACAGCTATAGCTACTGCATCTACATTAAATGCAAATTCCACTGTCTCTTTTCTTTTTTGTTTTTTGGCTGTATGGTGGCACCAAGAAACTAGCTGCTACTTAATAAAGGTCTTCACATCTTAAACAATAGGCATTGCATTTACGCATAGCCATTTATGATTTAGATCAAGCCTAGTTTCTCAAAACACTTGATTACCTCAGATGACTCGCACATACCTTGTGGGAAGCAACAAAGCAAACTTTTCTTCTATGTGATTGGAAAAGAAAATGAAGGCATCCCCAGGAAAAGGAAGAGATTATAGTATTTCAAATAAAATTTCCAATGGCTGATATAAATTGGACTGTATATAGTTGTCATTGAAAAATAAATTCTAATAAGTAAAAATAGAGATGTTTCACACAAACAAGGAAGGAAAAAAAAAAAAAAAAAATTCCCTCTGTCTCCATGCCCATAAAATGACTACTAAAAATTCATATCAATAAACCAAAGAGAACCTTCACTTTTTTGTTTGTTATTTGCACTCAAAGCATTTCAAATAATTCAATTTAATACTTAAAAAATCTCCTTTAAACACTATCAAAGTACAATGCAATCTAAGCGTAATTAAATTAATCAGGAGCAAGGATGCCTGTATTCTTCATCAAATGATGCTATTCCTCCTAACAGGAGCATAAACTAATATGCTCTCTTAGTTAAAAATAGAACAAAGAAAAATAAACAATTTAGGCAAATTAACAAGAAATATTTAAGTACTCATGTTATACAGTATCACAATGAAATCCCAGCCTAAAGTGCAAATATTAGCATGATCTATATTGGGATTAAGGCTTAATTGAGTTTGCCTTGTTTGTTCAAAAAGCAACGTGAACTGGCCAGTGCCAACTAGGCTACTAATATAATTCACAAAAAACAAAAATATCATGAAATGATCATGGACAAGCAACCAACTTATATAATTGCTAATTCCAGACTAGCATTCCCATTAAATCCCACAAGTTAAAATAGAAAAACTCCTTACCGTTGGCCTTGCTCTTTTAGGTCTTGACCGCCTCAATTCCTGCAACTTATCCGCATTGGCCACTCCCAAAACCGCAGATTCATATGTCCCAAAGTTGCCAACAATCTTTTTCTCTGACTCCAAGCTTAAATAGGCTTCAATTTGATTTGGCACAGCCGGAGCCACCCATTGCCTGGAATTAAAAATCCAACCCAGTTCAGCAGGAACTGAATCATACCCACATGCAGAAACCACTAAAGAGCCGGTCTCCATTGCCTTCTCATGATATTTGACCTCCATTCTCTCCATAAACTCGGGCTCCCCACAAATATCCAAGTAATCACACCTAAACACCCCCCCACACTTAATCCGCATTGCCACTTCCCAAAACCGCAGAATTCATATGTCCCACTATTTGCGCAAAACCACACACAATTTTGTGTGACGTGCTGACGATATAGCCCTCAAAATTTTGATTTGAGGCACAAACTCTGGAGCAATGTTGGCTCTGCTACCCACATATAACCACACACATCTAAGAACTGAATCATACCCACATGCAGAAACCACTAAAAGAGCAAGGTCTTCTCTATTGCCTTCTCAAATGGATAAAGCTGACTCTTCTTGGCAATATCGTTCATCTCCATTAAACTTTTCGCGGCGTCGCGCACCCACTATCAAACACCTGACGCCGAGATGGAGCACACACTTAAACACCCCCGCGGGCGCGCACACACACACACCATAAAAAACGAGAGATAGAGAGTGATATATAAATAAAATATTATATCCAGAATCAATTAATAGTACGAACTTTACAAAAAACCAATTGATAAGCACTACACGCCAATAAAAAAAAAATTAAAAAACAATTAAGAACCAATTAGATTGGGATTAAAGTTAAGAACTTCAAAAATAGAGTTATAACCATACCATACAGTCTCAGCACAAGCAGCCAACAACAGGGAATCGCCATAGAGGCGAAGGGCCAACACAGTTGAGGATGAGCTTTGGTATTGGGTGCCAAAGGGTGGCGAATTGAAGCTAGGGTAAGGTAGGTAATGCAGCAAGTGAGTTAAAAACTATGAATTGTTGAAGGAAGGGATTTAGGATGGGCAGCCCAATTTAAAGGGCTTCGGATGACGTTTAGCCAGGATTGCCGGCCAGCCTAAAGCTAGGGTTTTTAGGGGAGAAGAAAGGAGAATGAGGAACTTGAGAGCTTCACTGACTGGACTACATTATTTGCCTGTGAAGCCTGAAGCAAAAAAAAAAAAATAAAATAAAATAAAAAAAAATAAAAAAAATATATATACAGAATCAATAAAGTTACGAACTTTAACAAAACCAAGTTGATAAGCACTACCCAATAAAAAAAAATTAAAAAACCAATTAGACCAATTAGATTGGATAAAGTTAAGAACTTCAAAAATAGAGTTAATAACCATACCCAGTCTCAGCACAAGCAGCAACAACAGGATCGCCATAGAGGCGAAAGGGGCCAACACAGTTGAGGATGAGCTTGGTTTGGGTGCAAAGGTGGCGAATTGAAGCAGGGTTAGTGGTATCAGCAGTGAGTATAGGAATTTGAGGAGGTGATTTAGGATGGGCAGCCCAATTTAGGGCTTGGGATAGTTTAGCAGGATTGCGGCCAGCTAAAGCTAGGGTTTTTAGGGGAGAAGAAGGAGAATTGAGGAACTTGAGAGCTTCTCTGACTACATATTTGCCTGTGAAGCCTGAGGCTCCAAGGATTATCAGGTCATAAGGAGGAGATTGAGATCGAGGGTTTTGGTCTTCCATGTTTGAATAATGAAATGGTGGAATTTAGACTGTGGAGAGTAGAGAGTTGGATTTGGGACTTTTCATGAAGTTCTGAATTTGATTGTACGTTTACAAATTTGTGCCAGCTGTTGGCGAATTTGGCGTTTGATGTAAGTCTCAACTACACTGTCCTGTAAGTACTTGTCTCAGTAGTATGAAAAACTATTATCCGGTAGTGTCTCACCGAGGTGATGAACCGGTGGTAAATACGTTTATGGTCTGCATGTTTAATAAGTTTATCACATGCTTGCTTGATCCAGGTTTATCATCAGCTTGCTTTATCCTTCAAGAGAGTATCCTTTAGGCATGATGTCTGAATCTGATTAATATATTTAATAATTCTTTTTTTTAATAAAATTTTTCAAACACTCCAATTTGAAAATTTATTTATGATCATTTATTGAACAGTTGAAAAATGTATAAAATTATTATTTTAAACTTATACTAAGCAAGTATCAATTTATTATTTTGTACAAAAAATTAGCAATTAGCACGGATAGATATACAACATTACCAAAATTCACAATTTCAAATGTATAATAGAAGGGTGAATTTATATATTTGGCTAATAATCAATTAAAATTTCTACATGATATCTCTAGTTATTTACATTATCACATTATTTATTTCTTAAGATAAAAACTCTAAATTTTCTATTTTACAAGTTATGAAATTTGCGGGATTGAACCTCCAACCGGAGTTAAATTAACATATCAAAAAAATGATATTAGAAAATGAATGCTCCAACTGTAAATTTAAGAAATCTATATCTAATTTATTATCTTCACGTCTTTCACATCTTTAAATTCTTATTTAGCTCAATTAGACTGTATCCATGAATCCTTCTCAGACCTTTCTCCTTAGTCATGGATCTTATTTTGACGACATCATCCCATTTTCCACTTTCTGCATACAAGTTTGACATCAAAGTATAAGCACTAGCATTCTCAGGTTCTAAATCCAAGAGGTGCTTCCCTATAACCTCCCCCATCTCTGTATTTCCATATACTTGACAGGCAGCAAGCAAAGCACCCAATGCCTGAGCTCTTTGTCTTGATGGCAGAAATTTAACTAAACCATAAGCTTCTTCAAGCTGCCCAGCTCTGCTTAATAAATCCACCAAACAGCCATAATGTTCTTCGCATGGAATTATAGAAAACTCTTCAGTCATCGACCTAAACACGTTTAGACCATCTTCTACAAAGCCCGAGTGGCTGCAGGCAGTAAGAAGTGAAGTGAAGGTTACCTCATCAGGTTCAATATTCTTTCCCTTCATGCTGTCAAATAATTTGAGAGCATCCAAACAATTCCCATGCATTCCATACGCTGCGATCATTGCATTCCATGATGTTGTACATTTTTCGGTTGCATTCTCAAAAAGATTTCTAGCCATATTCAATTTTCCACATTTTGCATATAGTGTAATCAAAGAATTGATAACAGGGATATCTCTCTTGTCATGAGCTCGATATAAATGACAATGAACTTCCTTTGCCAGGCTTAGATGTCCAAGCTGGCAAAATGCCTGAAGCAGAATTGTCAGAGCAACTGAGTCATGGTCAATCTGTTCGCTTCGCATCAGTCGAAACAAGTCAATGGATTCATTAGCTTGCCCATGTTGAATATAACCTGTCATCATTGACGTCCATGACACCAAGTCCTTATTTCTTAACCTGCTGAAGACTTGCCTTGCATAGTATATACAACCGCAATATGCATACATGAAGATGACTTGATTGGCAACTTCTACACTCAAGTGAAACTCTTGTCTTAATACATATCCATGGACACACTTTCCTAGTTTCAAGTCTTTTAGATCGCATGATGCAGAAAGTAAATTCAGGATAGAACCTATATTTGGCTTGATACATGTTCTAACCATTTCAGAGAAAATCTTCACAGCTTCACAAGCAAATTCATTATGAAGATAACCTGCCATCATCACATTGCACAAAATATTATCTCTTGTTTCTATTTTATCAAATAATTTCCTGGCTTGAATTATACACTTGCACTTCGAATACATATCAACAAGAGCAGTAATAGCCACTAAATCAAGACGGAATCCTATTCGAATGATATAGCAATGGATGCTCTTGCCTTCTCGTAAATGCTTCAAATCAGCACAACACAAAATCCCATTTGCTAATATAATCAGATCAGGCATAATATTTTCTTGCATCATGAGGTAGAAAAGATTCCAAGCATCAAATGATTGCCCTATTTTCTGATAACCGGCAACCATTGCATTCCAAGAACCTATATTTCTTATCTTGATTTTTCCAAAAATACAGTCGGCATTTCTCGGTGCACCACATTTGATATACATGTCCATCAGAGTAGTTTCAAAAACCTCATCTGAACAACCAATTCCTCGTCTAACAGCATAGCCATGGACCGAACGACCTTCTCGTAGAACTTCCAACTGTGCTGACGTTTGAAGTAAGCTCACTAGAGTGACCCTATTAGGATCCAGCTTTTCTTGCTGCATATTGCAGGCAAACTTAAAAGCCTCATAAGCACGGTGATCACGGAGTCGCGCATACTCTGTTATAATTGATGTATATACAACAACATCTCTTTGCGTTATTTCATCAAATACTTTAGATGCATCAATAATATCACCACACTTACCATACAATCCAATTAGGGAAGAACCCACAAAGCAATTTGTATTTAACCCAAACTTGAAAGCATCTGCATGAACTCCTTTTCCAAAATTTAAACAACCTAATTCAATACAACTCTTCAAACAAAACATACTCATTGAACTGTCCAAAAATATCTTTCTTTGCCTCAAATTCAAATATCGCCATTGAACTTCTTTGTACTGACCAGCTCTAAAATACCCAACTAGAACTGAACTCCAGAGGGACAAACTGTTATTGACGATTCTATCAAATACCCATCTCGATTCAGTTAAAAAATCAAACTTTGCATAGCAAGTTACAAGCTTAGAGCCCAAAAAAGTGACATCTCCAAGTCCATGAACGAAAATGGAGGCATGCAGCTTCTTCAAAAAGAGAATATCTGAACAATTCTCTAAGCAAGAATCGAATTTCTCTGATATGGATATGGCGCTGAAGGTAGAGAGAAACCGTTTACGTGATCTGATAGGCACAATATTTAAGTATGCATTCATGTTTTCAACCGCAGCATTTGATGAGAAGATTCATTTTTTTCTTAATTGAGATGATAGATTTCAGACGGGAAATAAAGTCAGATTAAAAAGATCAAACCTTTTCTTTTTCTACAATCTCAAAAAGTTAGGCTGATTTCAAAAATTGGTATGCTTTGTGATTATATTGCTGATAGCTCTAGCAACTGCCTTCTGAAATTTACCGCTAAAAAGCACAGTTGGATCTCCAACGAAAACAAACCAAAATAAAATGAACGACAAAGCGTTTTAGTTTCGGGAAAACAGGAGAGTGGCGTTGTCGTACTGAAGACACAGAGGCTTCCTTGGCCAAATACACAACCGACGGGAAGTGTAAATCAGGCAGCGATGATTCTCTGCCAAGTCAAACGACAGTCTTTTCCCCTTTTTCTTTTTCTTTTCAAACAAAGGACGACAAAGCATTTGAGGGCTAAATACTAATAGCAAACAAAATGTTATTGTAAATTTTTAAAAATATTTTATTTCAATATGACCTAAAGAAATTAAATTAAGTTTGAAAATTTGACATCAAATCCCAAATTAAGTATATGTATATATTGTGTTTTGAAATATAGGAAAATGAAAAATAAAACTAATATGTAAAATTTTCAAATAAAAAAAAAATAGTTAGGGCCTAATGTAGTAATGATATTGCAAGAAACAAATTTGATGTAGTCTACTTAACCCACTATAATTTTTTATGGGTTGAAAACTGACTGTCAACTTTGAGATTGAACATCACTTATTAATTAACTTTAGATGGAAACTTTGATATCATTTGTAAATTAAATTTTAGGAGCTAGCTTCCAAAATCAATTGCTAGATTGTAGACAGAGAAAAAGGAATAATATAATTGGAAAGGATTGAGGTAAATAGGGGGAAATTATTAGGTAGATTTTGTCTACCATGTCAGTTATAGACCCGTCCAATGAAATAAAATCACGTCAACAACTTGTGACGTGGTAGACCAAGTCTCCCCAAAATTATTTTTAGTCCACATAACACAGAAATCTCTATACAACTTACCAATCGGAGTCCAAAATATGTTGATATCCTTTACTTCTAAAGCGGTTGTTTAAGTAGTTTTGGGGCATCTATCTCCAATAAAACAAGTTCTATTTGATACAAGCTATAAGCTTGTCTTTTTCTTGTTCTTGGTTAATTTCCAAGTGAGAGTTCAAACTCACAATTTCATAGCCCTAGATATAACTCGTACAACCTAGCAAAAATACAACAAAAAAGTATAAAAGCTATGTCTTTGATACAAACTACAAGCAGAACTTTGAAGATAAGACATAAAATACCTATGCAAGCTCGAAAGTGGCACACCCATCAACTCTTGAGTTTAGGGAATGTCATGTTCCCCAACTTCAAACAATGCCTAACTTATATTACACACTGAGTTGGAATAAAATATCATTTAAGGGAAAAAAATCAGTTTTATGTCAATAAAGACCAATACCACTTATTCTCTACTCAGAAAAACAAGCTCACTTGATGAAAATTGAAAGAATCCAAACAAGGATTAACAAAGAAATTAATGTACAATGTAAATATTCCTGGCCTGAAAAATTTGACAGGCAAAGCTTTGAGAAGCCTCCAATTTCCTTTGTAGCTCTCTACTCATTGTATTGTTAAAGTAGGATGATTAATGGGACATCTATGCCTTGGCAGGCGCCTTGTCCTCTTTCCCCATCCTGTTAATCCAGTTTCTTCAAGTCCCAGCTCAGCACATTTAGGTTGCTGAGTCTGCAGTGAGCAAACTGTGTTTTCTGTAGGAGAAGTAGCAGAAGCTGCTGCACTCCTTCTTCCTCTGCCTCTTTTGCCCTTGGGAGAGTTCCTCTGTGACAAACTTGACTGCCAAATGCCACCAGTTGCTCTAATAAGTCCTTCGATGGTCTGAAGATCATTAGCCACATCATTCCTGGAGAGAGAGGAAAGGCTGGGAAGTATATCTCTCTGAAAGTCCTTCCGCTGCCTTCCTCTCCGGGCCTGACCTCTCCGCGGCCGTCTTAACAATGTGACTTCATCTTTTGTGTTATCTATAACTTCAGATTCATAATGGTATTCTTTTAACTTTGTTTCTGTCAAATTTAAGGTCATATACTCAAAATAATCGATCCCATTTGGTATGGTATCTTGACAATCTGTACTGTCCTTACCAACTGAAGCTGACATGCCATTGTTCTCTATTTCAACGTTGTAAGAAGTAATTATCTCTGCAAACCAATGAAGGGAATCACTCAATGAAGCTTCCACTTGATGACAAGTGGCATCATCTTGAATATTATGTATACCAGATGATGAGATGGCAATTAGAGCCTCAGCTGCAACCTTCATAAAGCCTTCATGAAAGATCCCAGACTCATTGTTTAATGAATCAACTGGCTCTTTAAGTTCGCTTTCTACAAATTCACCTCCAGAACTGATATCTATTTCATTGCCGAGAACTACTGGTGCCTCTAAATCTATCTCAATTGCAACCTTCACCTCAGTTCTAGGATAAACATGTGTTGATTGAGCCTCCTCTTCAGCCACACACACATTCAAATCAAAGCAATCTCTTAAACTAGCATCTCCTTCGTTTACACACTTCAAATGTTGTATCTCTCCAGATTCAGATGGAATAGGATAATGATTTAGATCAGTAAGAAGTATCCCAGGTTTAACATAGTTAGCACCATCAATTTCAGAAGCAAAACTGGGATTGGAGGCAAAGGTTGAAGAAGGCAAGTCTTTGGACATCTGCTTTTCACAAATGGGAATTCCAAGAACCTTTAAATTGCTTGAACAGTCAGCTCCTTCAGTTTTCTTGTCCTTGGCATCTTGGGCATCGGAATTTATCATCAACAAGGAATTCTGAGTAAAGCTTTGGAAGGGGCTCTTCATTGTTTCAGTTTTTATGGTAAATTGCTCAGAATGGTTCTGGAAGAAATCCAAATTTACGTTATGATAACCATTACTTTCTTTGAAATATTTTCCATTACAAAATGAAATATCTCTAAGCCAAGAGAAACCTCCTTTGGGATTTTCTTCCTTTGGACCATCAACAGAAACTGCTTCATTCTTGCAGCTTTTTGGAAGAGCAGGATTTGCTTCCTCTATAGACTTTGAAATCCCTAATATGCCCGAACTCCTGAAGTTATTTGCAGGACTATGTTGAGGAACTTTTTCAGAAGTAGAATTACTGTCACTGATGCCATTAATGCAGCTAAAACCATGGCAAACCTGCGATTCCTTGGACTCCAACTGAGAAAGAAGGCGAGGGCTATTTTGGCAGGATGTTTCTGCTTTCAAACTTGGAAATGATCTTACATTGTTATTTATAAGCAGCCCATCAACTTCTGACTTGGGAAAAGTGTTCAAACAAGGATTTCCTTGAAAAAATATCAGATTCGGTCTCCAGCCAGCTGGAGGATTCTTCCAAGATGAAATGGAGGACGACTCAGAATTGGCAACATTAGATTGAGGAACAAGTGGCTGTGAAGTACGTGTACTTGAAGGTATAACTGATGTGTCATGATTTCTTACAGAGATTTCTACACCAAAAATTGTCTTCCTTGTTGATACCTCCCTTCTGTTCTGATTAAGCTCATGCGGTTTCTGGTATCCAACTTGTGATGATTCACATATTGCAGGCAAATATTCACACTGAAAACCTCCAGTCTGAAAATTTATGTTGCTTGTAGTTTGGCCTGCAAAGGGAACCAAATCAACAGAGCATATGGTGGCTCTAAAGAACAACAAATAACAAAGGATTTGATTATTCTACATGGAACTAGAAGTAAACTTTTGGTTGCTCTATAATTATGCATAGATGTAGATGCATGCACGCAGTGCACATACTGATTAGAAAGTAAAACTTTTAGTTGCCCTAGTAAAAATCCAGCATTTTAAAAACAAAACATCCACTTGTAAATGATCTATTCATGAAAATAAGAAAATGAACTACACTACAGATGTAAACAGAAAATAAGAAGATATTTCAGAAAATATTGCTAAATGAGTCCTTACCTGAGTTACAAGGAGAAGGTAACCATCTTCTTTGTCTCTTTTCATTCTCTGAATGCAGACTACATACACCTCCCTCATCTTTTACTTTAAGGGGGGTTCGAGAAGCTTCCTTAGCCAAAAAACCAGAACAGTTACTTGCAGAAAGATCTATATTTCGAAGACCCTCTCTAGAGCAGGTAATATTCCCTAGAATATCGACAGAATCAGTACCAGATGCTTCCCCAACCTGGACAGGTTCATTCAGATCAGTAATGGTCATCTTCCTCTTTAAATTCATATTGGAACTTGAAGCATCCCCATTGCACATAGAGTATGCACAACTGCGAGTTGACAAGTTGCCATTTTTCTCACAAGCAAGCTCGCAGTTCCTATGAGGAGGGCAATTTTCCATCCCTGACCCTCCAGATGCTCCTTGGCCTTCATCTTCACCATTTATGTATTCCTCAGCTGGACGCTCAAGGTCAAACAATCTTCTCTGGAGTTTCTTACATTTGAATTCCAGAGATTCACATTCCTTAGACCTTGATCCATTGAGGGTAGAACCATAACCAGATTGCATGATCTTCACATCCATGGAACTGAAGTGTGATTGGATGCTATCAGCACCTGATGGAGATTGCATACGATGACTGAAATCAACCAATGGCAAACTAGAACTGTAACACCTGCTTTTGTCATCTACGGATGGAAAGGCAAAAAAGCTTGACTGTGATGTTTCCATGGGTTTGAAGTGCTTGTGGGGTTCTCTTTTTGTCACTTCATTCATCATGTCTGCTTGTTTCTTGTAAAGACGATGCAGTTCATGGAGCTGGATTATCAAATTATATAAAAATAAATAACAGGGGAGAGTGACATCCTCTGCTTAAATTTCAAAGCTTTCATGCTAAAAAGGCCTTAATATCAACATAGACTATCATACCTGCTGCCGGAATACAGTTTCATGCTTCATTATGGTTTGCCGCAATTGTTCCTTTTCATTAGCTATATATCCATCTGTAGCTGGCTTTGCAGACAAGAGGCCATAACATTGCCCAAAGGTTTTGTTTTCATGATGGGAAGGCCAGTTACCATTTCCGTTACTGTCATTTAAATCCTTCATAGGATAATATCCTGACAGATACATCTTGTGCTGCACTTTAGTTCCCATTCCTGCAAATAACTCAAGAAATCTCTAAATTAACTTGAAGACGACAGTTCACAAAATATGAGAGAATATAAAGGATAACAACCAAGATGAGTTCCTAACATGTCACTTCATAGAATCTCGAAAGTAAATGTTATACCATAATTAAAAGCAAAATTAAGGATATGCAGTCATAAAACTCCCATAGATTCCAATATTAAAAGTACATTATCATTATAATTGGCAACGAGTTTGCTTCTGTTCATATGCAGCTACCTTTAGAAAAGCTGACCTTACAGCAATTCCTTTAACCTCAGTTTATTCCAACAATCATTAATGTTAAACACAACTGAATAGATAAAATAAATTCACTAGCTAATTAGATACTTTTGTCACTTAAAGAATTCATCAAGTATGACATTTAAAGAACCTATACTACTAAAATGTCCTTTGTTCAAGAGACAGATAACAATACTTAGAAAAAACAATTAATGAATAAATCTGGGCAAAGCCAGTTCATAGAATCACTTAGGGAGATTCCCCATATAATGTAGCTATATATACTTTAATGAGATGTACCTACAAATTTGTTTACAATCATAGCAGAATTCAATTTCTCTAAAGATTCAAATTACAGAGGACTCGAACGAGCTTCAAAATAAAATAAAAGCAAAGAAAAAAATTGCATCAAACCCCAAATACACAAATACCCATCAGTAAAAACAATAATGATTAATTCATAAAAAGGGAAAAGATGCATAAAAACAGTTACCCAAGTCAAACAACACACTAACACTAAATCAAAAGGCAAAATTGACACAAAGATAGAACAATAAACCAAAACCCAAGTAGTAAAAGTTAAATATAACACCAGTCATCCATGGAAAATAAAGAAAGAACTCACCTTTATAACATCATCCACAAATTCTAAGAAATTCAACTAGCTCCATGAAATTCCCCAGTAAAAGCAAAGAAAAATTCCATAAAGACACCGAGAACCAAAAAAATAGGGTGGGTGACTCTGAACTGATGATAAAGAATCTTGAATCATCGCCAAACAAAAGAGAAACACAGATCTATTGGGCCAGTATCTGATATGTTAAGGTAGAAAGATCCCTTCTACAATCCCAAATAAGAGATCTTTCCTCTTAACACAAAGTCTCCTCTCAAAGAAAGAAACAATGACTTCAATTTTGTCAACTTGTGGTCTCTCATTATTCTAATATGCTTTTTCCTTTGCTTCACCAATAGCTCTTGTTCAATGATTTTCCTTCTGCCTTCAGTTTCTTTTCTTCTTTTTTTTTTTTTTTTAATTTTAAGGGTTTTTAGGATGTGAAAGATATGGGACAATTGTTTTCACATTTTCTAGATTCTCTCTACCTTCCATGCTTTTTGGGTACACATAATATTATAAGTACTTATAGAAAAAATGCAGACACCTGGGTTCACTCTAACAACTACTCAACAGTTTCCAAAAGTAGCTGACCCCTCTTCAATGGGATCTTTCTGCAAGTGTCACTCCCCACTCTCAGACAAAGCTCGTGAGACACACTCCCATAAAATAAAACATGGGTTTTTGGGCATGGTCATTCACTTCTCACAAGGAGAGTGGTTTGAGATTTTTGTCTTCCATAAGTGGGTAGGATGCTTGAGGTTTTATTGTAATTTTGTAACAGGAATGGACTGTTGGATTATTGCTTTTGTCTGTTTGTCTATGCTTGATTGGTTCTTTTATTCCTTAATATCTTGCAGCAACTATTATTCTAAATCCTGCAACACCCAATTATATATTATTATATATTTTATATATATAATATAATTTCCAAGTATTTTCAACCAATTATACTAAGTCAATGTCAATGACTCTGGATAGCCTTTCACTGTTGTATTGATTGTGCTTTCCTTGTTGGAAAGGGTACAATAGGGATTAATTAAGCAAATAAATTGTGTTTTAATTTGTAACTTTAGGTTGTATTTGTTTTTCAGAAAATAACTTATTTTCAAAAATATTTCTTAAAAAAATATTTTCTTCTAAAAATATTTATTAAATATTTTATTTTCCATTATTTAGTTTTAATATTAAAAACTTTTAACTTATAAGACCATAAAAATATTTATAATTATTAATAATTTTTCGTTGACTAATTTTCCTAAGCACTTTAAATATTGAAAATCTAAAAAATATTTTCTAAACAAGTTATTTTTCAACACCAAATAGAGTTGTAAACTAGAATTTCTACTATTTAATGAATTTAATTTGTATTTGTATTCATAATTGTACTTTTTCCTTTGTATTAGTTGCATGAAAAAAGATAAATCAACATATTTTTCCAAATTTAAAAATTTACATCATTATAATATTTATTTTTGGGGGGCAAATAATAATTATTTGTAATAAGAATGATCTATAATTTTTGAAGCTCTATCCAGATTTATGTACTTGAAATCTATTTCAATTTAGATATCTGCATAATAATCAATTCAACACAAAAAAAAAAAAAAGGGATTAATCAAGAGATTAATTATTTACAAGTTAGTTTAGAATCAATGATGTGATTGATATGAAGATTTCTACAAAGTGATTAGGTAGGAGAGAAATTTCTTGATGACAAAGAAAAAGTCTATTTTGGACCCACAGAAATAAAGAAAATGCAAAAAGAAGATCAAGTCCTTTGGGATGTCAATTCATGATTGCAATACAACATGAGATCCCTTAATGTAGTTCAAAAGCCTTATAATTAGCATTCTTAATTTAAATCACACATTGTTAATTATAGATTGAACTTAATTAAATCAATATTAACATAAATATATCATTTGGAAAATAACTTAAATTACAGAAATTGAGAAAATAATACAAGTAAATTTTTATATTAACTTAATAGTATGATGAACTTCTATTATTGAATTAAAATCATTTTTCATCTAAACTGACATTGCGGTTGAATTTTCATTATCGAAAAATAAAGAAATAGTTAATATATTCAAGATAATTATATATTTACAAAATACCACTTCAATTCATCCTATTTCATTAGATTCGGGATGTGATATTGTTCTGAAGGATGAACTGGATATAGACAATTTCAAGAACTGAATTTGGTCCACGAGCAGCATATATTGGGTCTAAGCAAGTCGAATTTAATTTAAAAAAAAAAAGATTTTTTTTTTGGTCAAGTATTCTTTTTAAAAAAGTTTTAGTAATAATAATGATGGCACAATCCTCATCCTTTCTAAGATATGCTTTATTTTAAAATTATATACCCAATTTAGGGTTGTGTGCAATTGCATTAAGGTGGCAGATCATGTGAAATCTTGCAACTTGAAAACTTTCAAGAAATAGCAAAAATTTGAAAGAATAAGCAAAGTAACTTTTATAAGTATTGCAATATGAGTAAAATGATCTAAAGATGTCCCAAAAGGAGAATAAAGAACAAAAAAGGTATCAAAAGTATGTCACTAACAATATTACTAGACATTATTCTAATTCAATTTTCAATCTCATATATGACCTAGCTTTGGGACCAAATCTTGTGGGCTCAAAGATTTGAATGTGATTTGATAAGAATGGGGTCCTATTTACCTCTATTTTCCTCTTTTTCTATAATACTTGAAACCAGGTTGAGTGTGGTGAATTTTTTTTTTTTTTTTTCTAAGGGAATAACAAAGATCTTTCATTAACCCCTTTCAAAAAAAAAAAAAGATCTTTCATTAACATTCAAAAAAAAAAAAAAGAGAGTGTCACTATTTGCAATTATATCCCTAGTATGAAATCAGCAATACCAAAACTATAAAAATATTTTTCAAGGGCATTACAATTTCTTTTATCTTATTTGCACTGTAATTGTGTCTGTCACAAGTTGTGTCAAAAATGTTTTTCCACCAAAAAATATATGTATTTTGTATAATAAAAATTTTCTGCCAAAAAATATTAAAATAAAAAACTTAACTTAAATTATTCTACCAATTTGATTTAAATTAATTATTTTTGAACAATATATGTTAGAATAGCCCTCCACTTGACTCATCAAACTGGTGAAAATAACTGTGGTTGAGAGAATTCAAACTCAAAACCTCTCACTCCTTACATGAATGAAAAGACCAACTAGATTGCCGTCTGGTTCACACTATAGATGTTAGATTTGTAATCCAAAAACCTCAAACATTAAATTATCCACCTAATTTTTGTAGGTTACATATTTAAGTCTAGAGCTTTTACTTAATAATTAATATGTTTTAAAATATAATTAAAGTGGTATTATAAAGTTTTTTTTATATATTTTTCAAATTTTATTAGTTGAAGACAAATCATGTTTGAATTCTATGTATATACATATTCTCTTGTGGAATAAAATCTATAAGTCAATTATGGTATCTGTGGACAATAAATTATCTTAATGTTTATCATAATATGTAAATTGACCCATTAGCTTAATTAAATAGTTGCTCTTATCAATTCTTAACAAATTGCATATTACCTGTTAAATCAAAGTTGGTCTTATCAACATCCTAATAAATACATTTCAGACTTTAGAAATGAGAAAGAACAAACAAATTGGTGAGGCTTGGATATGGAAAATAAAATATCAGAAGAAAGATAAATATAAATTTTATAAAATTGACAACTAGATTCTTTTTTTTTTTCCAATTATAATTAAAGAAATTAGAATCACATTGGCATTTATAAATCGATCTACAAATTCCATAGTCTTTTGATTTTTTTTTTTTTTCTTTTACATATGTGTTTTTACGCGTAGATCGAGAGTGATATCTAGATAAAGCAATAACGCAATTTACAAACTTGTCCTTCTTGCCCTATTTATGCTCTAACCTAAACATAGCAACTTAATTGCCTATCAATTTAATAATGAAAGTCTAAATTTCACGATACCTTTTTTGGGCCCATGAGCCCAATTATCTCCTCCCACAGCCCGCAAGTGCCTACACTATGCAGCCCAATTACACTTGGGCTACAAGCTGCTACTGTCCAGTAGCCAGCACTTATTTCTTCTCTTAATTGCTCTTTCTCCCATCCACAATACCCATCGAAGAACCTAAAATCCCCAATACCAACTACATTTCTCTTCACCATTTCAGCTGCACAACCTGCACTCTCTTTGGTACCATAATACATTCCCTTCATTACTTCTTCAAAAACCCCACTTTTGGCTACCTTATCACTATCATAACCCCTTTTTGGGCTCACTAAAAATAACCCTTCCTCCAATGGCCCACCGAAATATAAGGGCTTAGCTGAAAACATCCCGGCCGCATCTAGAACCGTTGATCTCATCTCTTTGATCGACATAAGCGACGGTCGATTGAGTATGATCCCATATGGACCCACAGGCCCAACCGATAATAGGAGGATCACCGTTCGTTCGAAAATGTGGACCCCATCGAGCTTTTCTGTGGCAATTAGTAGACAACCCTTTTCAGGCTCATGGATTGGATGGGCCCATTTATCCCCAGCTGTGACTTGCATTGGATGATCCAATTCTACTACAGTATCTTGATCCACCATTGAAGAGGCCTCATTGGGTCTAAATGCTTGCTCATTGGCAACTAGTCTTGCTCTAAATGACCTCCAATCAGATTCAAGATATGGCTGGCTGTCATCACCAGCTGGTGAGGAAGATGATGAAGACAAATGGCAACCTATTTTTTTTTAACAAATAAATATTTTAAGCCATAATCCATGTCAAACTCAATTGTAACAAATAATACTGAGAACTAGCAAATTAAATGTGATCTGATCGAATATATAAGTGAGATATCTCAAATTTAATTTGTTTCGATCACAAATGTTTTCACCAATTGGTGAGTTCAATTTAACCTATTGGGCCTCTTAATGAATAAAAAGAAACAAAAAGAAAAAGAGCTTACAAGTTACGGAGGAAGAGAGACCAACTCTTCTGAACTGAAACTGAGTAGAAGCTCTCTTGGGATAGGAGAGTAGTCTAGCTTTGGTGGAGGGAAAAATTTCTGTTGTCTTAGTGAAGGAATTTGAGGAGAGAAAGCAAGTTTCCATTATCTTCTTTAGCTTTCAAAATGTACCAAATGGATGTGTAGAAATGGATACCAAAGGCACAAAATATATGGCAAATGTGAGGATTAACGAGCACCACAAGCTAGTGCTTCCCAAGCCCATACTCTCCCATCCAAGTTGGAAAAACAAAGTTGACTATGGCCAATGGATATGACTTACACATGTCACAATGGGAGAGAATATCAAATATCATATTACACACTTTTTGTGCTTAGTGGACCTTATTGTAGCTTTTTGGGTGATGTGTCATTCTTGTAGCCAGTTATTTCATTTTTATTTTTATTTTTAATATTTAATTGAACGAATGAAGCACCAAAGTTTGTGGTTGCTGATGAATATTGAGTAGTTGTATTCTAAAAGTTTGAGACAAAGAAGTATAGGTGCACATTTGCATCTACCCTTCATTCCATGTGGCATTATGTTATTGGCTACTCAGAAGAAGGATTGGCTGGCATTTTGCTATATTTGGATTTTAGGATAAACATTATCTTTTCATGGATTTTATATATGAAAAGAATACGATCTTAACCGTCTATAGAATTATAGTTTTTTTTGGGCGAAATTCATAAATTCACTTTTTATACTTTTAGCAAATAATTGTACTGTATTAAAAATATTTTTAAAATGTCTATTATGTGTTTAAAGTTGTAGTACAATAATATTATATACGTCTCTACACTAATAATTTTTTTAGATTTTTAATTTTTAAGTGGGAACTATCAATTAAATGTGTAAATAGTGTAACTTTTTTTTAAATAATAATTTCATATTTTTAACTATTCAAACTGTCTAATTAATTTAATTGATTAGATATAATTTTATAAGTTAAAATGTTTAATTTGTTAAAATAAGAGTTTGATGAATTTATCTTTTTTTTTATATTAAAACCTAAAAAATAAAACTACACAGAAATTTACCGAATTGTGTAAGGTCCTAACTAAAACTAAAATTTTAATTATAATTTTAAAAGATAAATATCAGATATTTTCCTGCTTTATGAAAAATATTGCATTTAATGGTCCATATATTCAAGGTCAGCACTGAAAATGAAAGCATAAAAATAGGTACTAACATTTTATTTTGGAGGAAGGAATGAAAATTAGTATTTACCTTTGAATTTTTAACTGGCAATTAACGATATTTGATAAATCAAATAATTGAAAATTATAATTAAAAATAATTATGTATCTCTGCATTGCGCGTATATCAATTTTATTATTATTAGGATTTAAATAATATTATATAATTTCACTATTTTTCTTTTTATAATTGTATTCTTAGATTTTGAGACAATTTTTTAATATCTTATGCATTATTAATTGAATTCTAATATTGGTAAAAATCTATAGCTTCACTTAGCAACCTCATTTACTACAATGTTGAAATGAGTAAATACTTATATTTTATTATGTTGATGTGAAACTAAAGTTGAATATAAATATTAAAATATATAAAAAAAAGCACTGAAAATTTAAAAACATAATATTTATATAGTATCAAAAGAAAATAAAATTGAAAAAATTTGCTATTAATAATGATAATGATGTTACTCTCTCTATCGTAAAAAAATAGTTTATCTCATTTTTTCACACACATTAAAAAATAAGAGTTATTATGGCTAGTAGATAAGTTTTTTATTATAACCTTCCTATTGTAACAGTTTTAAATAATACATGAGTTATTATTATATTGAAATAATAAATTTGATATTGATAATTGATAATGTAAAATGAAAAGTATAAATTGCAATTAATGAAAGTGACCAACATTGACGACTTTTTAAATTCAAGAGGAAAAAAAAAAAGGAAGAATAAATTCATCAAATAAAATATGAATTTGAAGTAGGACTGATATGTGAATACTGTATAATATAATAAGTAATTAATGAGAATTATTGAAATAAAATAATTTAAAAATTAATTATAATATAAAAAATAATAAGTTGACTATATTTCGGGACAAAATAAAATAGAAAAATACATTGTCTTTTTGGGATTGGGGAGTATTAAATTATACTATAAATTTCTTTAATTTTTATGAGAAAATTTTATATATATCAGCAAAATCATAAATACGAAAAAAATAAAATAAAATAAATAATACCAAGTTAGATGTCAAGTCAACACTGTGTCACCTTCCATACTTCCATCTTTATATATATAAGATAAAAATGTATAGATATAGATATAGATAGATGCCGAATTTTACCATTAATAGCCAATTAACAGCTAGTGCTACTATAAACTATCACATCGATTTTTAATCTTTAATTTTGTATAGATATAAATATAAACATAAATATAGATATTGATATTATATAGATAAAAAGATAATGTTGAAAATATCTATAGATATCATTATAGAAATTTAAAAAAGGAAATTGAATAACAATTTAACTATTATGCTCCATTTAGTGAATAATTTTAAAAATACCTTAAGAGTGAATAGTTTTGGATGTAATAATTTTTAAAAATTAAAAGAAAAAATAGTTTTGTTATAAAATTTTAAATTGTTTAAATTTGTGGAATTCGTTTGGAAATTTCATATTTTATAGTAAAATATAATTTTATAGAATTTGATTCTTAATTTTTTTATACTAAGGATTTATTACAAATAAGGTGTTAATCTCATTTAATTATACATTCATCGTTATTGCTTATTTTCTTTATATCTAATTTGCCCTTGGATTCCAATTATTGTCATGTCAAAGTTGACTATTTTATAATGTAAAAATGAAAGTTAAATAAAATTTTCTAGCTTCAATTATAAATTATCATTATGAATAACTTCTAATTCTTAATTCTACTTAAAAAATGATATTTTTTAATTAGAGCATAAGGTTAAATGATTATTTTATTTCATCAAATATTATTTATATATCCACCCATCAACTATTAAATATAAAAAGTTTAGGATTATTACAAAAAAAAAACATTAAATCTATATTTGGATGGAGGCAAAACATATTTACATTATTTTTGAAAATAACTTCAAAATTCATTTTGAAAAATAGTTTTTTACATTATTTTCTTCAAAATTCGTTTTGGAAAATAGTTTTTCAGAGAAAGCTATTTTTGTCACAATCCCTATTCTGCTTTCCTTTGTTTTTGTCCCCAATCACAGCGTAAATTGCTCCCACCAAATTGTTTAGACGCGCAGGCAACGACTCAGTGGAGGCTGACAAGCATCGTCTTACCTACCGTCAAGAAAAAGCCAAAAAAAAAAAAAAAAAAAAAAAATGACAAAGATCGTCTTACCTAACCGTCCAAGAAAAAGGCCAAAAAAAAAAAAAAAAAAAAAAAGGAAAAAAAAAAAAAAAAAAAAAAAAAGGAACGAGACTTGTCACCTAACAAACCCACCGAACACCGGTCCAGCGGTCCTCCTCCTTCTTTCTCTCGGCTTTTCTTTTGCGATATAAGTTCTCTTTCTTCTCTCTATCTCTGCAAGTGAAGTGTGATTTGTTCTTTGCACTTCAAGTTTTCTCTCGCCCTTTGTAATGGAGGCAACGCTATTGAAAGCTTCTTCCCCTCCATTATTGCCTTCTCATGTATCGGACTTTCAGAGTACAAGTTGCTTCTTTGTTCCCAAAACAAGGGGAAATCTTTCTACATTAAGACCATTCTCCACAAGCTTTGCAAATAGACGCATTTTATCTGTAGAAGCATCTGCCTCTTCTATTGGGTATGGGAATATAGATTCTTTAGCGTTAAATTTTTAAATTCTTGCAATTAAGCTTGTAATTCTTGATGGGTATATTTCCTGTTTACGCCCTGCTTTTCTTTTTCTTCATTTTCTCCTCATTCATGTTTGTTTGTATGTTTTCCCTGTTTTTTTCTGATATGAGAATGTTTATTTGGCTAATCCTTTAAATTAGTTTCTTTTTGATGTGTCGATTGTGTGTTTTGCAATTTCTCACATGTTGACATTGTATTTCTTGTTGGATGATTTTGGTATTTTTCTTTGTGCAATAGAAATTGGGTTTCTTTGCTTTTGTTATGATTTGTAATTCTTATGAAAAGGTTGGTATTGAAATTTCAATCGGCACTAATTAATCTTTTGTTTATAAAATCTTACCTTGAACTTTTTATTATTTCGTTCCGTTGGCAAAATTGCAACACGCACTTGTGAATTTGATTTCTTATTTTAGTTTGTTTATGTGGGTACGGTCAAATCAAATTAGGCTAAAAATGTAGATGCTTGCACTAGTGGTGGTTGCTGGACAAACGAATTCAATCTAAGATTTGAAGTGCCGTATAAACATTGGTGATACAATGAGTCTAATCTCACAAGTGTGACCCGAGTGGTAATTTTAGATTTTCCTTTCCATTGTGAATGTTCGGATTGTATAGTTATTTCCCAATTTATAAAAACATTTGATACATGCTTCAATATTAGGAAATGTCTTATGTCATGTTCATATATGCAAGTTATAGTGATTTGCTCCCTGCAACAACATGGAGGTTGGATATCTGATTTGGAAGTCAGTAATCTGTGCACGTGCATAGACTTGTAGGGTAAAATCTGTTTGGAATTCAATTAAAGAAGTAGCTTCAGCAATCATAATGAGCTTCTTTCTTCAAATTCAATTTAGCAAATTAGAAGTTCTGTACCTGTTTTAACTTTCATGCTAATGTGCATAAACTGATCACTAAGCACCTTCTTGATAACTCAGTGATGTGTTGCTAGCAATGCAAATTATGGAATACCTAGTTTGGTCCTCTTTTGTGCTTGTTTAACAGTAATATTTGAGTAAAAACATTTCATTCAATCCTTAGTCTTTCATGGGAGTGCTTAAGTGTTCTCAAACTTCAGATTTTTGTTTTCAAATGTTTCTGAACCTCAAATTGTTATTGTACTTGAATGTATATAGTTTCATTCTATCTGTGGTTTTTTGAGAAGTTGAATGTTAAATGGTCATGATTCTGCAAGTTTTAGAAGTGGAACGTTTCTATGTAGGTTGGAGAAAAAGAAAAGGGTGGATGAGAGTGAAAATTTGACCCTCGAACATATAAGACGTTCCTTGATTCGACAAGAGGATAGCATAATATTTAGCCTTTTAGAGAGGTCCCAATATTGTTACAATGCTGATACCTATGATCCTGATGCTTTTTCCATGGATGGCTTCCATGGTTCATTGGTAGAGTACATGCTCAGAGAAATTGAAAAACTTCATGCTCAGGTATGTTATCCTTGAGCTTCTGAATTCTCAAAGAAAGAGGATATTATGATCATGCTGTCTTGTGTGTTCTCTTAAATTGCATCTGCATGTTAGGTTGGCAGATACAAGAGCCCTGATGAACACCCTTTCTTCCCTGATGACTTGCCGGAGCCATTGTTGCCACCTCTGCAGTACCCACAGGTAATAAATTAGCTGTAGTAAAAAAATGAGCTTAGTATTTAGTCAAGATTGCAGTTCTCTTAGTTCATTTTCCAAGATCTATGAAACAATATTCTCATTTATGTGTGATATTTTGGAGTTCTTTCAATCTGGAAGGAATTATACATTGCTGTAATTGACAGTGTTCAGAAAACTAATTCTGTATCAGACACTAATAGGGTTGCAGTATGAAGAAATCAGGGCATGTTTTGATTATCAACATTTGAGCATATTGGAGGCAATTGCTTATATTTGCTCATGATATGAAATTCCAACAAGTAAAATCTAGAGAGTATAACCTTGATCAGATGAATGTGTTGGCAGATATTTGCTGATAGTTTAAAATGTATTTGTTTATGCATAATGCGGTCCATCCAATATTATTATTATTTTTTTTTTGTTTGGGGGTCCATCCAATATTATTATTATTCTTTTTTTTTTGTTTGGGGGGGGGGGGGGGGAAGCAGATTCTCTGTGTGTGTGTGTGTGTGAAACCACTTCACCCTTCATCTATGTTCTTACTTACTTTTTTAAACCTGTGCTCTCATTTAAAACAGGGGGGGGGGGGGGAAGCAGATTCTCTGTGTGTGTGTGTGTGTGAAACCACTTCTACCCTTCATCTATGTTCTTTTACTTACTTTTTAAACCTGTTGCTTTCTCATAAAACAGGTGCTGCATCCTATTGCTGACTCGATTAATATAAATAAGAAAGTATGGGACCTATACTTCAGAGATGTGCTCCCAAGATTGGTCAAGGATGGGAATGATGGTAATTGTGGATCAACTGCTGTTTGTGACACAATCTGCCTGCAGGTACTAGTTTTTGACTAATATATCCACTTTATGATCAATTCAGATTATTTTGAAATCTGTTAATGTGTATATTCTGTGATAATCACAAATTTGGTGCAAATTGTCCTGTCTTAGAGGAAGAAAAGATGTTTCTTATGTTCTCTTTCTCAATCACTTGCTTATTGGCTATTTATATACTGCATATATTGTCCATGGAAGATTATGACAGACAGTGAAACATGTTCTGTCACAACATGCTCTATCTTCATTATATTTCAAAATATGTATATATATGCCAGTGTTTCTCTGTACCTAGATGTAGATAAGCAGGGTTAATGTTTTAAAGCAAGTTCAACGAAGAACCAAACGGAATACGCCTCTCTTAAATTCAATTTCATAAAATGCTCTCTATATTACCTATAATACTTGAAAGCTAAGTATTTATATGTTAAGAAATCTAAAAACTAACTAAAACATAAAGCCCAATTCAAATAGGCCTGTTATGCTAATTAAAACATAAAACTAAGTAAAAGACTCAAGTCAAGGCCCACATGTTTGGATCATGTAAATTAGCCTTTGGTCTTCTTTCAAGCTCATCTTTCACTTGGGAACTTGTCGATCCTCATGATCACTGTGTGCTTGCTGATTTCCATCACTTGACATACATCAGTTAGTCTTTAGTTCCATGACTTTGACTTCTGAACACCAACAATTGTCTGTTCTACAAGCCAAACACTCTTTTGGATTGTAGGTAGGCTCCTCTTCTATCATAGTCTAGCCTTGCAAGTATTTCTTTTTGTTAAAAATGGACATCATGATACATTCTGGTCCTGCCATAATTTCAACTTGAGTTCTATGCTGGTTTTGGCTGATACATGTAGTAATTTTTTATGAATATTACAAAGCACAAGGTAATGTCTCCATAAATATGCAAAGCAATTGGTTAGCAGCTCTCATTTTTCTGTTCCCATTTTCCCAAGAGAGAATATTTTCAGTTATGTGGTTTATGCGTTGGCTCTTGAAATTCTCCTTGAAAATTTTAGCAATGGCTTTTGTCTTTTCTGTTTCAATGTGATGTGAAATGCTCCTTCTCTAATGGAGCTGTATCCTTAGAATCTGCAATTGAAAATAGGCAATTGATTATTTTCATGGTGTAAATGGTTAGCAGTTAGTGTGGCACTGGAACTGGGATGGCTACAAATGCCGATAGTATTCTTAGTGTTTGAGTTTCCCAAAACTTTCTATCTAATGGAAAGAGATAAAAACTGGTTAGATCATTAAATAGGGATTCGTGCATTGTTGGCAATGCCATCTGTTTCCCACATCCGCATGTCTTTTGTGGTAGGACTAGATTTTGGTTGTGGTTCGATGATACAGAGTTTATGACAGAACTCACAGGAATGTGGAAAAAAAGGAAATGGGAAATGGGAAAACGAAAAAAAATTTTGTTGATCCTGTACTCATTCGGCTGTTGAAAGAATAAACCCTGATATACTTGTTTTCATGGCGTCTTTCCTATATGCGACTGTATTTTTTCAAGTTCTTGAAACATAATTTTATGTTCAGACACTGTAGAGTATATAAAAATTATTACCAAGAGCTATTGAGAAGAACCCTCAGTTCTTGCTCAAAATATTTTAATTCAAACAAAAACTAAATAAGTAAATATGACATTAAGGTTAAGTCTTTATATATAGAAATGAATAGAGACATCTGGAACCATACTGAAGTATGAAGTTAATGAAATATTTAACTTTTCCCTTTCCAGAATGCCCAAAACTAGAACTAAAGCCAGTACATAGCTTTTCTCTACAAGATGGACTTGGATCATGAGTAGGACTAAGGCTTTGCCTGTGGATAGGAATAGATAGTGCATCAGCTATGCTCTTGATTGCATCAATTAAAGCATTTAAACCCCACAAAGGTACACCATTTCAAACTCAAGAGGGCATACTCCCTTTAATTTTTAGAGATCCATGTGTCATGTTTTCTCATAGGTCATAAATCTGGTGTTGTCGTGCTGCTTTTCATTTAAATGCTGAATCTGGTATTGTGGTACTAACAGATAATACTCACTGGATAATGCATATGGAAAAACAAGGTGAAGAAAAGATAAAAGAAAAAGGAAGTGTAAAAATTGCTAAAAATTTGATTTACACATGGAATTGTAGTACTAACAGATAATACTCACTGGGGAAAATTACCAACAAAGAAAAGAGTGTGTGAAGAGAGAAGCTGAGAAAAGTAAAGAATACAAGGTTAAAGAGAAATTTGAAGGAGGGAGGCCACAGAGAAAAGAGAAGTAGGGAGCTATTATTGTTAGTGCAATACAGAGCATTCTTTAGTTATAAGTGTCTTGGTTAGTTTTATCTTTTTTCCATTTTGTTTCTTCTAAACCAACCTTTTTCGCCTCACCTTAAGGTTCTAAAGCACGCTGCTCCCTTTATGCATGTCTTGCAGTTTTACATCTAATGAATCATTAAAGCCATTCCTCTTTTCTCTAAAGAGGCACACTTGCATCAATCAATCAGCATCCTTCCGCAGATCTAATTAATGTTGGTTAATGCTTATGAATTTTTGTGGTTGCAGGTTCTCTCAAAAAGAATTCATTATGGAAAATTTGTAGCAGAAGCAAAATTCCGAAACTCTCCAGATGCATATAAAGCTGCTATTAGAGCACAGGTACGTCCTACCCCTGCTGAGAATATTCTTGTTTTCTAAATTGTTGATAGAAGTTTTGAAATCTGCAGGACAGAGATAGATTGATGGATTTGCTCACCTACAGCAAAGTTGAAGAGGCAATAAAAAAGAGAGTGGAAATGAAAGCCATAACTTTTGGCCAAGAGGTGACAATATGTTTCGGAGATGAGGATACCGATCCAGTATACAAAATAGATCCTGGCTTGGTTGCGGAGTTGTATGGGGAATGGATCATGCCATTGACAAAGGAAGTTCAAGTTGAATATTTATTAAGAAGATTGGATTAAAACTTTGGCATAGCTGATTATGCTTATTAGAGCATGTTTATGTATAACCTATGATCAATTAATACACGGTGTATGTAATTAGACGTGCATGTAAAATGGCAGAGATGGAAAATTACTAAACTTATTAGACGGTGAACCAGATCAGGTGAAGATGATGTAACCTATAGAGTTTGAGAAATTCTATTCTCTCCATCAGACCAAGCAATGTAACCTGTAATATGTATGATGATGCTTTGTGGCAAGTACCATATGTTCCATAAATATAATAACTACTTCCATTGTTGGGTTTGTAGACTTAAAAGAAACGGTTCTCTGGCTTTGCAATGGATTTTTATCAGAGAAGTGATTTTTTCTGTTCCTTTGTATATTAAATATTTCTAGTTCCTAATATTGGATTAGAATTTTCAATGTATTAAGCTTGGATTTTTAAATAAGGATGAATATATAGAATTGCTTTTAAAAGAAGTTGTATTCGTACAAATCAGCTATTCTTCACCCAAATAATATTTATATAAAGAAAACCATTGAAGACATTTGAACTTGGTAATATGCAAGCTGTAATGGGCTCTACAAAAAGACGTTAATCATTGCCGGATCAAGGTTGGATCCTTTGACTCTGCAGCGTAACAGTCACTTGACTGATCAAGGGTTCGATTCTTCGACTCTGCTGCCTTATGTTGGGATTTACTTGAGAACCGCAATGCTATGGTCTTGTAAGAAAGAACAACATCTGCCATCAGTGCTCGGGAATTCGGTGCGCTATATGAATGTATTTTAAATTGAGACATCAACATCTTACTGACTCGAACTGGTTAACTAACACAGTCCTTTTTTTCGGTTGAAAAAAAAAAAGGGCTCTACAAAGAATCCATAGCTTAGCCTATGCATTAGTTTAATGGGGTTGGGTCCCATCCATGTTAGAACAGGGTCCACAAATTGCCAAGAATTGGGAAGCATATAATGTGATGAGTGATGAACACAGTATAAATTTTTCTTTTATATTTTTTTTGTTAGATTATACAAAAAGGAAAAAATATATATACTTTCTCTTTCTTGAAGCTCCTTTAATTTACAGTTAAAAGCCTAATAACTTTTTTAATTTCTTGCAAATTTACAGAATGGAAAATTAATTTTAGTTTAGAAAGCTAATATGTGCATGAAATATGAACTAATAGTAATAACAGAATTGAAGAAGAAAGGAAAAGGAAAGAAATGTATTTGAAGAATGAAAGAAAATAGAAGAAAAGCCATAATGGTTGAAAAGCAACTTAAAAGGAGAGAAAAAGAAGATGCCAAAAAAGGAAAAAAGAGAATATCACAGTACGAGAAGAGACACATCACAGGCTTTAAAAGCTAATACAGTGACAGCTTTTCCCAACTTCCATGCTCTATTGTTTGAATGAATTAGAGATTTCTGATTTTGGAATTCATTTATATTTAAAACATATAATTTAATTTAATTCCATATAACTTATATTTGGTATAATTTTGTAATTAAAATTGAAATACTTTTATTTTGTTATTCTTTTTTTTGTCATTTTCTTCTTTTTTTTTTTGAAAGGATTCATTTTCTAAATTATACTAAGGTAAAATTAAAAAAATGAAAAATTTTAACTTTATAAAAAAATACAAAAATTTTTATTTCATCTCTTAATAAAATTTACTATTTCGTCACTTTATTTTTAAAAATAGATGAATAAGTCTTTGTGATTTTCAAAAAATTAACTAATTAGTGGTAATTTTACAATTAGTTAAAGGTAAAATTCAAAGAATTAGGGGAGAGAATAATTTTTTTAAAAAAAAAAACATTCTTACATACACATTTAAGCTAAAAGAAAATTACTGTTTGCATAATTTTGGTGGAATTCATTTTTAATAAACAATTTTTTTTAATCCAAGAAATTATAAAAAATAAGCAATACAAGTAGTTTAGTAGATCTAGCTAGAAGCTAAACAATACAAGTAACCTTGTCACTTTCTTGACAAGAAGCAGCTCTATGAGATATAATAAATAAACCAACCCAATCAAGGCCGAAAGCAAAGCATAACGTCTTCTTATTATTAGAGCGTGCTAGAGAAAGAGAGAGAGAAAGCGACAGGGAAGAGCAATGGATGGAACGAGGAGAGGGTGTGGGTTCCGCTCATCTATGATGGTGCCGGTGGCTGTGGTGATTCTAATGGTGTTTATGGTACCAGAAGTGTCTGCAACTAGATGGACTGTAGGATCCAACATGGGTTGGACTACTAATGTAAACTACACTATTTGGGCTCAAGATAAGCATTTCTACAATGGTGACTGGCTCTGTAAGTTCTCTTTTCTAACTATTTTTCTCTTGCATAATGTGCTTAAAGGTTCAGATCTGTATTTGCCTAGTTTTTGCTTTTGTCCACTATGTTTGTAGTTAAAAGAGTAGGATTTACTATTTGAGTTTAGCCCAATTTTCTCAGTCTTGAAGATAAATGGATTAGATCTGCAGCTTGGTCTTGTCTGGATTTTGCTTATAAGTAGAAAGTTATGAGCTTTCCCTGAGTCTCTGTCTGTTTGTTTGTTTAAGCTGCTAGTTTGAATTGCCTTAACAAGTTCTACTTTGAGAAGTTAGTTTAAATTTCGCATTTTGCTAGTTTAAAACAGATTTTTGTTTGGCTGCTATAAAATGCATGGAAGACATTGAAGCTAAAATAGAGAAACTGAAAAGACCAATTACTAACAGTAGCAATAGCAGTTAGTAGAGGAGAAATTTATGGTTGCTAAATGAGAACTGCAGAAATTAATGGACAAGATTAGTAGCTTGATCAGGATAAACTCTTGGATTAACTTAGTTTTATTCAATTCCTTTGCTGGCTAATTATCTAGTAAATTCAGATCTGTAATTTTGCCTTTTGCTTCTATGGTGAAGAACCACTTTGTATTGTTTCTTGGACTTCTTGTGTGTTTGTCAAAAGTTCTTATCTTTACTATTTGAGCTGTCTATTAGTTACTTTTTGGTGGTTCCACCAAATGAGTTGTCAATTACACAATTTTATGAACTGTGCCAATCTCTTACATATATGTCTGACTCACAAACCATTTTCGTTGGTGGATTCCAGATAGATGTAAGTTTAAGGTAAACAAGAGGTGTAGATAAAAATTTTTGGAACAAGTTTTGTGCTCCTCTAGCTTAATATAAACTCCTTTTTCAGACCTTGAGGCATCAATCTAAACTCAGCTGACCAACAGGAATGTAGTTTAGGCTTGTCCAAATTTATGACCTTACAATACTCCATAATTGTGGCTTGGATTTCATGGTCAAACAATGGAATAGTCAAGACACTGTGGTCAACAATCTTGATTTGGGGCGCAACTTTTGCTTATGCATTCTTTGCACATGGGCAGAAGATTGAAAATATTTCCCCAACAAGTGTACTATTTTTGCTAGATGGGATACGTATGAGAATGTATTTAGTTTAAACATTGTACGAGTTGTAAATAAGTCTTGGTTTGCTAACCATGCAGTAAATATGGTGATGTCGATTCTTTTAGCTGCACTGACATGAAACATGCATTAGATCTATCTTCAAATGATACCACTAGCCAATTTAAAGCCTGCTAAGTGTTAATAAACTGTCATGATTAAAGAGATATACTAATTTTCTTTTCAAATATATGTTTGAAGCCTTGCTTAAGTTGTTAATAAACTGTCATGATTAATAGAGATATACTAATTTTCTTTTCAAATATATGTTACTATTTTGCATTAGATCTATCTTCAAATGATACCACTAGCCAATTTAAAGCCTGCTAAGTGTTAATAAACTGTCATGATTAAAGAGATATACTAATTTTCTTTTCAAATATATGTTTGCACTTATTTTCCTATACCAGTTATGCAGTTTAGCAATTTATCATCATCATCATGTCCGGCATTGACATGTCACTTTTGTTCAAAATGCTTAAAATTTTTATCAATAAATTGTAGCATCAGCTATGAAATTTTAAGCTCATTTCATTTTTTTTCCCAGTTTTCTCGTATGACAGGAACCAGATGAATGTGCTAGAGGTAAACAAGACAGACTACGAGTCATGCAACTCCGATCATCCTCTTCACAATTGGACTACAGGAGCTGGAAGGGATGTGGTTCCGCTAAATGTGACCCGCAACTATTACTTCATTAGTGGTAAAGGGTTTTGTTTTGGTGGAATGAAGTTAGCTGTTCATGTTGAAAACCCACCTCCACCTCCCACAGCTGCTCCCGTAAACGAGAACAGCTCCGCTTCATATGTCATTCTCAGAGGCCAATATGTTCTTCCAGCTGCTCTCGCCATTGGTGCTTTCTGGGATGCATTTGTTCAGTTCTGGTAGCTGTATTGATTCACCATTATGAGGATCCAGTTCACACTTCCTTAACCAATTTGTCAAGGAAAAAAAATCTGAGTTGTCTTTCACAATTTTCTTTTCTTGGGGTGTTGTTTTCTTTAAGATAGTTGACCTGAAAGTGGATGGTATCTTGAGAAAGTGTTGTGCATTTTCACTAAATTAAAGAGTCTTAGAATTGATTGCTTTCATTTGTTTATTAGAGAAATCAAAAGCCAATTTGTGTCAATGCTTTTGAGTTTCTTGTGTAATGCATGGATTTGTGGGGTCTCCTGCCTGTCTTTCATGTGGTAGGTCACCAGATTTTATGTAAGGTTGGCCACTGATTCCGGAATTCAGAAGGATTTGCTGTATTTCTTAATTTATTATTGTTTTCCTTAGCAGGAATTGTTTAAAGAAATCCATTAATCATTAGTTTGACCATGTTTGCACATGTGCAGCTTCTGGTGGAAAATTGATTCCAAATGCCTTTTTTCAATGTTCATTATTTGTTCTAATTTAGACTGAGAATTGCTAAGTCTAGGACAATGATCATTGGATCAACTAGAATTGCCAATTTCTCACTCATGAAATCCCAATTAGAACGGAAGGATTAAATAGTGTAAATTTTAAAGAAGACGAGGATCCACTAATGAATTATGACATTGTGCTGGGATGTAATAATAATTATCTAAATTTTGGAATGTTGTAGTTTTTTTTTTTATTATTAATAAATGTAAAATTTACTTTTTAAAATAAAATTTAATTATCTCCAATCAATATTTTCTCAATAGCAACTTAAACAATAATACTAAATATATCCTGTTATTAAAAGAATTGGTTAACCAGATTGAGCCATAATCGAGTTAATTGAAAAAGAAGTAACAAGCTTTTGTTTACAAGAGGTCATAAAAAAGATTCCTTCTTTAAACTGATTATAAAACGGGCTGTCGTTTTAGGACCAATGAGTTGATCCATTTAGGATACCTTTGTACAGACAATTACAGTCCCACTTTTTCCTGTCAAACATGGTAATAGAACTAGAAATTACATAATCAAGCTTTTGTCTTTAGATATATTATTAAAATTTCTTAAAACTTGAACTACTAACTCAATTATAAAAGCAGAGAGAAGCTATTTTACTCAAACATCAGATTGGAACTTTAAGCCCTTTAGGCATAATAAGATCACCCAGAATCTACTTTCCTTTGATTTTCTGAGAAGCCAAACAGAATGAGTGATCAATTAAAGAACAGAAATCGCAATGGCCAATGGGATTCTGCCACATTATACATTACAAACGAAAATTCTCCAATCTTGTCTTATATTCTTGAACTTCGTCACATGTCACATACCACATTCTTTTGTTATCTTCCCTTTCTGTTACAACAATATTAATAACATCTAATACAAATACTCCACCACTCTTATATACACACATATAAGTTGGGATTTTCATTTCAATATTTACTTTGAAGTTAAAATTTTGAATATTTGTTTTAACATTGCAACATAAAAAGATTAAAACATTTTTTTTAATTGACTGTTTTCGGGTCATATAATTTATGTACGCTCGAGACTAAATTTCTTTCGGATATTTCTTTGTATTAATCTAGCATATTTAAATCTATTATTAGAGAAAATTTTTTTATTAAAGTTGAATTTTAAATTAGTTTGAGAGATGAACTTTCAAGTCTAATTAGATTTAAAATATATTTATTATACTTATTTTAAAATCAAAATTATAAGTATTTTTATCAACTTGTAGATAAAATTTGCTTGAAAATACAATCTACTTCTATGATCATACCATATGTTGGTGAATTACATGTGAGTTTTAATATATTGCTTTTAATAGTTTACACATACATGGATTGGTAGGGGTGGCTAAATTTCGATTTTTGGAACCGGAATCGTCGGTTCAGAATCGATTGAAATCGGAACTGTAACCGAGAGATTGTGGGTCAATTCCAGTTCTAAATTGTTCAGAACCGTGAATCGGCAGTTTTGAGAACCGGTCAGTATCGAAGGTTTTGACAATCAGTTAGAACTGGTGGTTCCAACACATTTTTTTTATTTTCTTTAAATTTTTCATCAAAATCTCCAAATTAACCATCGTAACAACTATAAATAGCCATATAACGTATAGATATATTAATGGCAGCGGTGTAAGTTAGGTTTTTTGGTTTTAAAATTACGCGAGTCATCCTAAAAATTGTCCAAAATCATCGATTTAGAATCGTTAAGGAACCGAAATCAGAATCGTAACCAGCTGATTCCAACTTAGAAGTGAAACAATCAGTTTTCAGTTCGATTTTTAATTTTAAGTTGTTTAAAACCGGAATCGACGGTTACAGAACCGTGTCCACTCCTATGGATAGGTCAAAGAAAAACAATAAAGCTAAGCACCCACATAGTATGTTAATGCAAAAGGCCCAAGATTCAATGCAGTACCGGAAATGCCAGCTCAAGTTACCAAAAATGGTGTTCATAATTTTGACTCTTAAACCAAATATGACTACTCAAGTTTACTATATTGCCTTATTTGTTGGAAATTGGCTTCTATATATGTAAGATACATAACCCTAAATTTCATCTTGTTGAGATTGAGAAAGAGAGTGAAATGGAGAGTTCAGTGAAAAAGAAAATTGCAAGATTGGTGATTGTGGTTGCAGTGATGATGATACTGAAGGGTGCAGATTGTGAGCTAATCAAGATAGGGAAAAGTGGATGGATCCCAAATTATAATTACACTGAGTGGTTGAGTCAAAATCCTGAGCAATTCCATGTGGGTGATTGGCTTTGTAAGTCTATTTTTATCCTTTCTCTCTTTTATGTGCACATATATGGTTTTCGGTTCTTTTGTTTTGGGGATTTGTTTTTCTTTCTCTGAATTCTTTAATGGTACTGATTTTGGAACAAGAATATGTATGTTTACAAGATTTGGGTTTTCCTTTGGGTTAAATTTTAGTTATAATGCATTTGAAAAATTGTGCTTTCGAAATAAATGATTCATATATCCGATTCCAACTAGTTTGAGACTAAGACTTAGGCTTTGTTTAATAATAGATTTTGAGCTGGCTTTTATTTCGACCAAGTGAAAATTCTATTTCTATTAATTGCACCGTTCACTAATAAAATATTTATAATAATTTGAATTAACAAGTTGTTTGGCATCTTAATTAGCTGATCTAAAATTGCTATGTATAAATATAGAACCAGCTTTACAGATTGGGAGATCAAGTCTTGTGCAAGAATAAGATATGTCCCTAATAAATATACAGTTGAGCAAATATTTTCCTGATTTTTCCTATATTTGGATTTTTCTAATTCTTAATAAAAAAAAATTTTTGTTTTATTACTATTATTATTAATTTTAAAAATGTTTCCCTCCTGTTTTCAGATTTTGTATATGATATAAACTCCTTCAATGTCCTGGAAGTGAATGAGACAAGCTATAAAAGCTGCAATGAGCAAGGCTTCCTAAGGAACTACACCCGCGGTGGCCGGGATGTGGTTGAGCTCAAAGAGGCAAGGCCATATTACTTCCTTAGCGGCGGTGGCTATTGCTGGAATGGGATGAAAGTAGCCATTCTCGTCCAACAGCTTCCAGCAGTACCAGGCCCTGCACCTTCCAAAAATGGCTCTCCATTGCCAACTACTGCTGGAAGCTTCATTCTGATCATGTCTATTGCATTTTATCTAACTTTAGCTATATAGTATTTTTAATTAATTGCCCATTATTTGATAAATTCACTTATTTAGAACTTTAAATTTTTTTTTTTTTCCCTTTTAAGTGGATTTGGATTTGACTAGCAAGTTGCAATATGGACAGTCTGTGGCTTATGTATTAGGGTGATGTGAGTTATATTACATGCAATGGAAGGTTTGGCTTTTAGATTTTTGATTGGTTTAGAATTATTTATTTTCCTTTTTTATTTATTTCAAATTATAATTTTATTTCTCTTTTAAAAGAAAATAATATTTGTAATTTTCTATTGTGCCCCTATTTTATATGCATATTTACATTTTAATTTATAAAATTATTTTTATTAATCACTTAAATTTATAAAATCATTCAATATCTCAGGAGTTGATAAATAAGATGAGATAAGATGGCTTAAGAAGCGGCAACTGTAATCTCTGGCTCTGCAATCCAAAACTAAAATCTTTTCATGGCTTCTATTTGCCACTCTCTCTGCTTCCCTCCACTGTCCAAATCACTATCACCTCTCTCTCCTAAATTCTTGACGCGCCCCCACTTTCGGCACTCCATTTGTACTCCTCGGACCTCCAAAACCCGATCCACCAGCTTACCGTCGTCAACAACACACGTTGAAGATGACGCCATGTCCGTCGATAATCTTCACCGCTTCATTGACCTCAATGTTGGCAAATGGCACGGCTCTTTTCACGTCAGTTTCTGCATTTAATCTAAATTGTTTTAATAAAATTTTCTTTCTAAATTCGCGAATTTGATTTTCTTTTTATCATTTTTTCATGGTAGCAATTTGATTCGCATGGGAAATTGATGCAAAAAGTGAGTACAAAGCTTTCTGCAAGCTCTTATGGAGAAGATGAACTTATTAGTCTTATTCAAACGTAAGTATGGATTCATTTTCTGATTTGTCTAATAATGTTACAATTACTGTGATGAATAATCTGAAGCACTCATTGGTTGGGATTTAGGTGGTAATTGGTTTATTTAAGTTCAATTTAATGTTCACATCTCTCTAATTTTTTGTCTTTTCAATTCAATTATGATGTTCTGAAATTTGATTCTACATTGAGTTATAAACTTAATAAATTGCTGTTTTAGTCTGTCAAGGTTCTGGCTTTTGATAAAACAAAGTTTGAATCTGGTGGAGAAACATGAAAGAATTTTTCTTTTAACATGATTTTATTTTATTATAGCACTGCATGTCCTTGTTAGATTTTTAAAGTGCAATTACAAGAGTATGAATCTTGTTATGAAGAACCGGTTGCTACTGACACAGAGTTTAGTATCCTTTTCCTGGAGTCATAATTTGTTTCGCTTTTATAGAATTGTTTCTACTGTGCTTTGAAGGCTGTATATAAAACAACCAACAATCTCTGGATATGATGAGGAGCCGGAATGGGCAGAATACAAGATAAAAGAAACCAACATGTTCACTGTAGACAAATATCAACAAGTGAGTTTGTTTAACTCTTCAAACTATTATAGTTTATCCATTTTCTAATGCTTGAGTGACAAACAGCTTTTACCCTTGTTTTCGTGTTCTCTATTGAATATCTATAATGATCAGTCTGCAGATTGGCTTCTTCCCCAATGAGAGGGCTTTTGCTCTAAGATACCAGACAGCTGGCATGTTAGAAACTGTGTTAAGGCAAGGAGTGCTAGGGGAAGATGACACTGGAGAAGAATCACCCAGGTTAGAATTTCTTTTTGGTCTAATGTGAATTTACTGATTATAGTTAACAAGGTGTATTTCACCATGTGATTGCTTACTTGGTACTGCTTATTTCTTAACATGTAGAAATCTTAAGCTTCCTTCTCGTCAGCCTTCAATTGTATGTGAAAATTGCCTATATTCACAAGAGAAAGATAGGCGAGCAAGAGCTTTTCATATCATGGATCCAAAAGGTGTTTTAGAAATGCTTCTTATCTTCCTTGAGGATAGAAGCGATGTGATCCTTTCACATCCATCACTCAACAGTCACATGGTGAGTCTAGTTGTAACTTGTTAACAGATAGAGAAATTTTTTTTTTTCAACTTGATCAATGGACTGTTTCATCAAAATTACATTAAGTTTTTGATTGTATGGTTTATATGATGACATGATTCCTTTTATTGATTGTAGGATAGTGCAAATAGGATCCTACCATTTATTGGTCAGTGGAAAGGCCATTCTCTAACAAAACGTAGCGGTGTTTATGGATCAACAATTGCTGAAGCTGATACAGTAGCTTTGCTTGAAATGGATGATAAGGGTCAGCTAATACAGGTATATGTTCCGCCAATTACCTTTTTGAGAAAGGGAAATGAGATGGGTCATGCTAATGCAATTAATGCCATTGAAACCACAGCAACAATCTGGTGTAAATATCAAAAAGTGTACTCTTAGAACATAGTTGGCTCATCTTGGAAATGAATACCTTGATCTTGAAAATCCTTAGTCTAGTTTTGTTATTGAAATTATTAAAATAAAATTTAATAGTCACCGAAGAAGTCATACTTAAAGAACATAGATGTTATTTCCACCAAAATTCAAGTTTTTCAAATATGAAAAATATCATAAGAAATTGAAATCTGGGACAGATTACATTGTGGTTCTGCCATATGTCATGCCACTGTGAATTAAAGAAAGGGGAACTTTTGGTTGCATTGTAATCTAGATACAGAAACCTTCTTATATTGCCTCCTGTCATTATTTTCCTTCTTATTATGGTAGATACCTGCCCTCATTTCTTTCTTGTAAAAATACTCCCATTCATATACTTTTCCACTATGCTATTCATTTTAACTTTTCCCAACCTCTTGCGATTGAGGCGACGAAACATATCCTAACTGACTATAAGTTATATGATTCAAATGTAACTTATTTAGTTACATGCTTTTCATATTTTCAGTGGTTAGTTCATTTGGGGTTGGAATGAAAACTTAACTTATATAAACAAAAATTGTCAGGATATTACTTCGACATCTGATAGACATGGTGTTACAACTAATGTGCATTGGACGGGAGCCATGGCCGATGACTTGGTTACATTTGATGGAGGATACCAGATGACATTATTACCTGGAGGCATGTACATGGGATACCCTTCTGACATTGCAAAGAATGTTGCAGAATCTAAGTCATTTCATTTAGAATTTTGTTGGCTTGAAGCTCCTGGCAAGAGACAAAGACTGGTTAGAACTTATGATGTAGAAGGCTTGGCTGTTTCATCAACTTACTTTTCTGAAATTAAATTATGAGTTTCCTCTTTCTGCTTCATTGTAGTAGGAATTCTTTTTTGTTTTAACATAGAAATTCATCTTTCTGCCCAAAATCGATGTATTAAATAACTTGTAGCAGCTACATGAACATTTTATGTTTCGGAATCTAAAAATATCAAATTTAGATACCTTTTTAGACCTATTACTGATGCTAAGCAGCAGTCAAAAATTTGTATTCATTTTTCATGATATTATGCTCGGATAAGATACATTATGGCGAATTCTTCAGAAAAAAAAAAAAAAAAAATCTTTATAAATTCTAAAGACAAAAAGGTCCATTCTTGCTATCGGAATATTTGATAGAGGACATCATATTCTAATCCTACTTGTCATTAATTTGTAATATTTCTTATCAGCTTCTCACTTCTCAGGACTAAACCAGATTCAAATGATAAATTATTCTGTTATTACAGTATTATTTTGAATTAAGCCTGATTGCATTGTCTGTTGAACAATCAATTTCTTAAATTATATATTAGGTATAATTCTAATTCTATTAGTCAGCCTCATTGACAAGTTATAAAACTAAATGTATATTCAGTCCCTGAGGTTTGACTCTAATTACTACTTAGTCCTTGTATTTTGACTAAATAATTGAATTGTTCCTAACTTTTAGATCCATTAGACTATTCAATCCTTACGAATAGTCTGATATTATATAGAATATTTAATGGTAAAAAAGAAAATTTCTTATGGAATGACATTATAGTTAATGTTAGGAATTTCATAATAATTTATGCAAATGATAAAGGTGAAGTAGTAATTTCAGTCAAATTTCAGGGACTTAATAATAATTTTCAACTGTATAATATATATTCTTTAGGATTAATTGAATCTATTCATGTCAGTGAGAAATGTTGTTCAGCATTTAAAAACTATGCATTGTGTATATAAACGTGCCGCGAGATTTTCTGTTGGTGAATTTGATTACGCTTTGTTGGATATATATGATTACTTTTATCAGATAATGTCATTTGTAATAAACAAAATTTCCTTGGTACATTATCTTAATTTGATGGCCCACTTAATTAAAAATAAAAATATATATTAATAAATTTTTGGTACGTGGGAACTAAAATAAATTACATAATAAACTAACCGACTTAAGTTAGATCGATGATTGAATTCTTATAGATTGATCATAGAAATAAATAATTATTCGAAACTCTTTAAATTTAGTCGATTGATTCAGTACGAGCATGATTTAATTCTGACTGAATAAATTAAAAGGACTCAATAGCTAATATAGAAAAATAAATACATTATAAACTACCATATGCAATTAAATTAATGGTAAAAGAATTAACTTAAATTAATCATTTTTATAAGGTTTAAAATACTCATATCAAAATCCTTTTTTCATTACGCATTTTTAAGTTTAGATTAAGGATAATATTTCATTAAATTTTTTTATTTTATTTTATGTGATATGATTTATTTCTGTTAATCTAACCGTTTGTTGGTATCATTTCGAATTTATTTTTTAATTTAATGAAAATATAAATTTTTGTTTAAAGTTTGATAATTACGTGGAGGAGATGATTCAGACTAATGAAATTGAGTACAGAAGAAAGTTATAATAATCAATAAAGGCAATCATCGTCTCTATATCATACATGCATCTTTCCTTTCCGTTATCTTTTTTTCTTTAAAAAGAAAAATTAATTAATTATCTGATCAACTTGATTTTGTCGTGGCCTTCACTCTCCATCATAACCATTCATGTTGATTTTTTGAGTTGTTGATAATAATAATAATAATAATAACGATAATATTGGAACTTGGAATCACGATTTATTGCTGGTCTTGTTTTCATGTGCCCACAGCAGGCCCCACACATCTTTATATAAATAAAAATATAATATCGTAAATCACTCGTTATTTTATATAAAAAACGAAGGCCGAAAGATTTTAAATTTAAATTTTTTTTACTATAAAAATTATAATTAATTTAATAAATTTATTAAAAAAATTTACTGTTATATTTCAAAATACTATTTCGATCTATTGCTGTTCATAACTCATAAGCTATAGCCATTAGCCACCATTTATTTGCTTTTGCTTCAATAAATTTAAAGTATAAATTAGGAATGAAGGGTTGTTTCTTTGAATCTTTGTTTTCCTTTTAAACAAAAAAAATTATCAAAATATTTCTAATTATTATAAGTCAATTTGGTTTGGTTTGTGTCGGTGGCAAATTAATGTGTCTTTGTGTAGTGAAATTCAAGTCTAAGGTCTAAAAGTCAAATGAAAGTTGAGTAAATATAGAATCATTTAATAATGCTCATAAATGAAACATAATCTTAATTAATAAAAAAAAAAAAATCAGCGTTCATAGACTGTAATTTATATGTAAAATTAGAATTTAAAATTTAAAATTGTTATTATTAAAAAAATTTTACTTGAATAGCAACCGTAATTTCCAAATCACGAAAAAAATAAAAAAAGCATTTGACTTTTGAGATTAAATTTTTTTAGAAAAATTTTTTATTATGTGATGAGTACAATGGGGATGGTAAGATATTGGTGATTGATGATGATGGTACCCAAGTGGATGGGAGAGTTGATATTTATCCAAAAAGCAGTGGACCCCAAACTCGAGTTACAAGTGGATAAGTCCTTAGTCCTTAGCTCCACCAAACTAATAAATATAGTTTGCATCTATTGGACACCAATTCAATTTCGAGCTTCTCTTGAGTGGGTCCCTATTTCAAACAATATTAGTACTAACAAGTTTTAATTTCATTCACTTCACATAATTTTTTATTATCAAAAATAAATATAATCACTAATTCTGAGTTTGAGTTCTCCATCACATAAATTATTGTGAATTCAATAAAATACTGCATTATCCTCAATTCAATAAATGCAATTTAAAGTAAATATTCAGAGTATTATTAGGATTTATTGTATTTATCATGTGTTTAAAAAAAATTAAATATAATTATAAAATTTTTATTTCTCTTTTTGGGCAGAAAAACATTTTATAACTTGGAGATGCGGGGTATCGATCCCCGTACCTCTCGCATGCTAAGCGAGCGCTCTACCATCTGAGCTACATCCCCATTTGATAAAATTACTAGATTAATCTATTGTAACAAGTCACTAATATCTTTTACCATAAAATAACTTTGGAGGAAAGTCCTAAGTACATTCAAAAAAAAAAAAAAAAAAAAAAAAAAAAAAAAAACTATTGTTAACAAGTCACTAATTCTTTTACCATAAAAATAACTTTGGAGGATAGTCCTATAAGTACATTCAAAAAAAAAAAAAAAAAAAAAAAAAAAAAGAAATTCTTACTCTTTACTTTGCTTGGATGGAAGGAGAATCCATTAAAAAAGATTATAGTAAAATATGTTGTAATGCTTTTTTTTTTTTTTTTTTTTTTTTTTGTATTATGATAAATAAAGGTTTAATAATATTGTTAATATTAAATATAAAAATTACGAAAATACCATTATCATGTAAAATTTATAAATATAACTATGAATAATTTTGAAAGTGTAATTTTCTAATCATGTTTACACTCCAGTTCGACGGATTGAAGATTAAAATGTTTAGATAGATTCCAATCCCTCAAATAACTTTTAAAAAACCATTATCTCCATCAAACTTTTTTTCTAAACGACTAAATAATCTCCGTTTATCTTATCTTATTCTCCAAACCCATTAAATAACCTCTATACAAACAATCTGTTAAAGTCTAACGAAGAGAAAACATTTAGAAAGTTAGCCATATAGTTTCTTAGAATCGACACTAACCGCACTATATATAAAAAATTAATCTATCTACCCTCTCCTCCTCTCTTCACTTCTTCCCTCAAAAATTATTTCTTTTTTTTTTTTTTTTTTTTTTTAAAATTATTTCCCCTTTTTTTTTTTTTTTGATAACCGCAATAATATTAATCTATCATTTTTATGCGACGGGACTTTCTTGCCTACGGCTAAACCTTCTCCTATCCCTTTATTTTTTTTTATTTTTTTATTTTTACGTATTTTTCAAATTTATTTCAGTTTGATTCAGATTCAAAATTTTCAAATTTTCGATTTTGTTGATTAGATTTTGAAGAATGTTCTGACTAGCTGCACATTTTTTTTTTTTTTTTTTTTTTTTTTATGGACGACTTTCTTGCCTACGGCTACCTCTCCTATCCCTTTATTTTTTTTATTTTTTTTATTTTTACTGTATTTTCAAATTTATTTCAGTTTGAATCAGATTCAAAATTTAATTTTCATTGTTGATAGATTTTGAGAAGTTCTGACTAGCTGCACATTTTATCAGCAGCATTTTAGAGTTTTTTCGTATGAACTATTAATTAATTTATATTATATTATATTTACACTTTATTGACCTTACAAGAATAAATTAGTCTTTTCAAATTAATAAATTTTTATAATTCTATTTATAGTTATTTTTAAATAATGATTTTCTACTAAATGTTATTTTAAAAAATTTAATTAATATTTTTATTTGTGAAATACATTAAAATAAAAAATATCATAGTCACCTTGAAAATAAAAAATATATATAAATTATATACCATAATATATAAAATATCAACTATTGTTAAAATTTTATTAAATATTAATATTTATTAGTTAACCGCCGCAAGCCATTGTCCAACTTAAACTCATGATGAATAAATGTTATGTTACTTACCAAAAATAAATAAATATTATGCCAAACTTATTCTAAAATATATATTTTTTTTTTTGGAAAAAAAAAAAAATGACGTAAAGAAGGTAGTATTGCCACTTGCAGAGTTCCGTATTTTGGAAGTTGTTGCCTAGGTGCCGGTCGGTGAGGGCAACGAAGTCAATTGGGAAAAGGGATTCCCCTTTTTGGCCCATTTGTCAATTTCACCATTATTTCATTTCTTTCAATTTGCTTCATTAAATACACATCCAAATGTAATTAGAGTTCAATTTGACATTCTATTGGTATATTATATGAAAATAAATAAAATTAAATAAATATATAATCATTTAACCCGAATAAGAGCATATCAGTGGTAAAAATAACTTATAAGATTAATTATCATAATTTAAGTTATAGATTTTATTCTTCGTAACCACTTCCTTTGCCTTAAAAAAAAAACGAACCCAATTACATAATCATTTATGTTTACTTTCTTTTAGGAAAAATTACTTTTTTTATCTTATTTTCATTCTACTTTTTGCTTGGATGAGTTCTTCATCATTCTTTCATTCAAGGGTAATGATTTGATCTTCAATAATTGTTTCTTTTTGTTCTCATTTTATCCCTATTCTATCAATAATAATTTCATCTTGTTCTCAAGCGTTGTTGTAGGGATCATATGAAAATAATGATGTGAAAATAAGAAAATAAATGATTTAGAGCTTCAATATCAATTTAAAAATTTAATGTAAAATATAATTAAGTAATGCTTCTGTTATTCACAAAAGTAATATAAATATAAATAAAACTTTATATTTTTTTATCATCTCCATTACAAAAAAAAAAAAATCATTCTTTCTTTTTTATTAAAATCAATTAAATTTAAATATATATATAATTCTCCTTTAAATCGTGATTTTAAAATTTAGTCAACTATAAATTTAATAAGTAATATTTTATTTTATTTTCTTAATATGATAAGAATGTTTGAGTAAAGTTATTATTATATTTATATATTAAGAGTCTGGAACTTAAGAGCAAATTAATAAAATTTAATTAACAATTAAGATAATTAATTAATTTTATTATATTTATTCATATAATGCGACTATCAATGTAGATATAATATTAACATGATTTATTAATAGGTGAGTCTAAATTACATTAGAATTTAGAAGTAGTAATAATTAAAATAGATTGGACAAGCACATTTTAGGTTGTTTGAGGTTTAAACCTAAATTATATAATTTAAAACATTTTATAATTCTAAGGATACAATATATTTCTGCAAAATTGAAAATGTGAGTAAATTTTGAGTTTTAATTTATAAAATACAAAAGTATATTAGAAATTTTGATCTGAAAAAATTTCTTCATTTATTATTATTTTAGTTAAATTAAAAAAGAAATCATAAAAATTTTTATATTATGATGTGGATATTATTTGTTTACTAAATAAATTAATAATTTAATACTTTTAAAATATGAAGTGATAGTTTTATGTTTGGGAAGGAAAAATAAATAAATAAAATATTTTATTTGATTTAATCGGAAAAACAATAAAGTAATGATTGTCCATTTCCACTCCGTGGACTTTCCACTGAATTTCAAGACAGCACGAAACTACCGCAAAAACTAGATACATGAAAGAGAGAGGGGAGAAAAATAAAAACCATGTCTTTACATAGATTTATTATGCTTGTACACAGAGAGCCACAACCAACAACAGAAAGGAACCATTTCCTGTAAAAAGACAGCAAGAAACTGAAGAAGAAGAAGAAGAAGTAGAAGAAGAAGATAACGAAAAGAGTATTCTTTTTATCTGAATTTTCTCTTCAATGGCAGAAAAACAAGACCCCACTTCTTCAAAACCCACAACAGCAATAGCAGCACCGACACGCCCTACGATAACTCTGCCTCCAAGGCCAGCCATGGATACCCTTTTCACTGGTGGGCTTAGCCCTGGCCCCATGACTCTTGTCTCTTCTTTCTTCTCTGACAATTTTCCTGACTCAGATTGTCGCTCTTTTTCTCAGTTACTTGCTGGTGCCATGGTTTCTCCAATCGCCAGGCCGGCTTTTTTCACTGACAATTCTTTAGCTAATAATAATATTAGTACTTCCGCTGTTTCTTCTTTGAAGCAAGATGGGGTGGGGAATAATAGTAATTTGGGGTTTAAGCAAAGTAGGCCTGTGAATTTGGTTTTGACTCCTTCTCCATTGTTTACTGTCCCTCCTGGGTTGAGTCCTTCCGGTTTGCTAAGTTCGCCTGGGTTCTTTTCTACTCCTCAGGTACTTTTATAATTGGATCTGAAGAATTATGGGTTTGGTCTGTATTTGTTGTGTGGTATGGTATTTGGTGATTTCGAACAATTGAAAAGGTGTTATTTTGTTCTTAGATGGTTACAACTGACTTATGGATTGTGTTGAATTTGCTATGTGGTGATAATAGTTCTTTTTTTTCTTTTACTTATTATCAATTGAAATATTTGATTGGATTTGAGATTGAGAAGGATGATTTGTGTGATTCTTGTTGGATGAAGTAATTGTTTGTATTTGAGAATTAGAAGCATGATCTGGATGCTTGTTGATTATGTGAGTGAGTAAAGGAGTCATATTTATGAGCTTAAAAATTGGCTTGAAATAAATGTCGTTTTTATCATTTTATGCTTAGTTTGTGAACAATTCAACCCAAGGTTTGATAGGAAAATGAGGTCTTATTTGGAACTGCAGGAAGTGAGGAACTCTAGTTGGTCAGATTCTTATGTCAATACAACCATATATTTTTTATGAAGTTTCTTATTCCTTTTTTCCAGGATGTCTGTATTTGCAAGTCAACTAAGTTAATTATCTTCTCATTGATTCTGCAAAGGACCATTTCATGCCTAGTAAACGTCAAAGAAAATTTTTTCTTTTCCTAAGGCCTGATTGGATTGTGTAGTTTCATTATTTATTGAGGACGATTTTCTCTTTTTCTTTCTTAGATGCGGGAACTTTGATTTCACATTAGATTATGAAGAGTTGGAAGTGCAAGTAACATAGTCAAGTTGATGGTAATGAATTTTGGATCTGAAGTTTGATTAAAAGCCTTGAATACAATGCTCATGTTTATACTGTTTGGCTTAACAACTTGATGAAATGTTGTTTTCCAAGGCTCCTTTAATCATACACTGTGTATAGATGAGGTAGTGTGAATATCTGATAGTACAATATCAATAGTGATATGCCTTGAGAAAAATATGTCTATCTTGGATTTTGTATTTCTTCCTTGGCCCTGGGCAACATAAAATTTTTCCCCCACGTATGGTGTGTAATATTATCTTATCTAGGCCTGATAAAGAGATGATCTTGCGACCTGTTTAAGTTGAATGTATACACGTGAGGAAACTTTCTGCAAAGGAAGCAGTTGTTATGGTGGTGCTCGGTACCATGTTATAGAGCAATGACTTGTACTAGGCAATTTTACATTGATACCCCTATATCTGCAGAGCCCCTTTGGAATGTCCCACCAGCAAGCCTTGGCACAAGTTACAGCTCAAGCTGCATTTGCAGCCCAATCTCAGATGCACTTGCAAGCTCAGTATCAACCCACCTCATTAGCATCTTCCACAGAGTTGTTGACGCGCGAGCTATCACTTAATCCTGGTGAAACTTCACAGCAGCAGATGCTGCCATCAACCTCTGAACCTCCTAGTTCCACGGTGGAATCAACTGATGTCTCTCATTCAGATAGGAGACAGCAACCTCCTCTTGCTGTTGATAAACCAAGTGATGATGGCTACAACTGGCGCAAATATGGGCAGAAGCCAATTAAGGGCAGTGAATATCCAAGGAGCTATTACAAATGCACACATCCGAATTGTCCTGTTAAAAAGAAGGTTGAGCGTTCTAGTGATGGCCAAATAACTGAGATCATCTACAAAGGCCTGCACAACCATGATCAGCCTCAACCTAACAAACGAGCAAAAGATGGTAGTGACCCAACTGGAAGCATAAGTTCTCAGGCTAAGCCTGAAATTGGCTCCCAAGCTCAAGATGGTAAAATGTACAAGTTGAGTGAAACAAGACCTGCTCATTCATTCCAAGGGAGGGACCAGGAATCTACTCAAGCAGATCCCATAGAACTGACTGGATCAAGTGACAGTGAGGAAGCAGGTGACAGGGCAACAGGAGCAGAAGAAAGGGATAATGACGAACGGAACCCTAAAAGAAGGCAAGTGAGAAACATTTTATTATTTGCAATCATTACCAGATCTTTTTCCCCTAAATTTATGAAAAAATCTTGCCATGGAGTGCAGACACACAGATGTCCAAACATCTGAGGTTGTTTTACCACACAAGACAGTCACAGAGCCAAAAATCATTGTTCAAACTAGAAGTGAAGTTGATCTTTTAGATGATGGCTACAGGTGGCGCAAATATGGCCAGAAGGTAGTCAAAGGGAACCCCCATCCAAGGTGATTGTTATTTTACATCTTCCTCCTGCTCTCCCCATCTTCTCTTGCACATTTTCCTGATGATAATACTTGCATTCACCATGCGAATCATGCCAAATCCATCTTTATTGCCATCATCATGAGACCAAAATAAAAAAATTTGGAAACTTTCTATCACTTTTTTACTCTGAATTTATTTATTTTTATTTGATTGAAATTATTGACTAGAGCACCTGTGGAAGTTTAAAGTTTGGAATCAAGATTTCTTTGGAAGCCATTTATTACTTGATTGTTTGATCGGCAATAGGAACCTTTATCTTTTCACACCATTCAGAATTCTTTAGATTAGGGCCATTATATGCTAGAAAAAGAATAAATAAATGCTCAGAACAGAGACACAAACAAGGATAAAGGAAACATCACAGATTTCCAGTGTAAGGCTGGCCAGAGAACACCTGTGTGCTTCTCCATTAAGGAGAAACAAAAACTACAAATTAATATGAGGTCCCGAGTTTATGCCTTGTTGCTCCTTTATGATGATGAACCCTAAATCTCCAAAATAACTACAATCGAAAAGTTCCATAGATTAGGAACCGTATTATATCCCCATGCAAAAATCTCCCATTGCCAAGAGTTTTGACGTATCCCTCTTTGAATGTGATCCGTAATTTCCCCACCAAGAGTTTGAATTTTCGCTCTTTGAAAGTGAGCCATAATGTCAATACCATATTCATATCTATGACCTTATGGTTTTTTTTTTTTTTTTTTTTTTTTTTTTTTTGCCTACCTTTGAAGAATGTACCTTAACTTGCAAAATATTTGTTTTCTTGGTTATGAAAATTGTTAAAATACTTTACCTTTTTATAATTGTCAACATCAATCATTTAACCTGTGATGTCTTTGGCACCATGAGATTTGTTTCACTAATTTAATGAACAAGTCTCAAAATATGTAACTAAAATGATATACCAAATGAGTGTGTTTGAATACCAGCATTTATTGTGCATTTTTACTCCAATAAATAGGTACTCACCTGAGTTGTGGTGAAGTTTTCCTTGAGGTTTTCTTCAATTTACCCTGACGTTCTTGTTGATGTTGTTCAATATGTCAGGATTGTTTTTATATCTGAATACATCCTAGATAACGATATTCTAAGCTCTTTAATTGCAATTAACTAAATATGCTAAATTTGTTGCCTGGAATGTTGATTATGATCAAGCTGGGTATGCCTTCCCAAGATTTGTGCTGCATGTTATGCTTGTTGGTCCTTGCGATCATAAATATTGTTTATGCTGATCATACTGCATATTTCTAAAAGATAATTTCTGATACACTGGTTATATGGACAGGAGCTATTACAAATGCACTAGCACAGGATGCAATGTCCGTAAGCATGTTGAGAGAGCTGCAGCAGATCCCAAAGCTGTCATTACTACGTATGAAGGAAAACACAACCACGACGTTCCAGCAGCTAGAAACAGCAGCCATAACACAGCTAACAACAATGCTCTGCAATTGAAACCTCAAAAGTTGATGGCTGAGAAGCATTCTTTGCTCAAGGGGATGGACTTTGGGAACAGTGACCAAAGACCGGTGCTTCTAAGACTAAAAGAAGAGGAAATCACTGTATAAATGCTCTCTCTGATGATAGCTGCTAGAGTAACATAAGGATCCATCAAGGTAACGTGGTACACAATGAAGAGCATGGAGAAGAAAGGAAAACCACTTGAAAGTTGTGGGAATTCAGTTGTAATGGCTCTTTTTATTTTTACCTCTTTTTTACCTTTTTGGATGAAATGAAGAAGCATGGAGAAGAAAGGAAATTTATTTGGAAGTTGTGGGAATTCTGCTGTAATGGCTCTTGTTGTTTTTACCTCTTTTTTTACCTTTTTGGATAAAATGTAGTGGTAATAGTTGCTGCACACGTTAACCCTTTGACAGAGAATGCTGTGTTCACTACATGTTCTGTAAAATTAAATTTTACAAGGCATACTGTATATGATTATTGACAATTGAGTGGAGATGGAAGGAAAAACACCCAATATTTTGATGTAATTCAATTTTCTGTTCATTTGCTGGATATGGAGGTTGTGGCGTGATATCTTGTTTGTGTATATGGTGGACACATATAGTTTTTTTTTTTTTTTTTTCTTCTCGTGACTATTCTCATTCGTTTTTGAGTACGAGAATAATCTCGTTTTGGATTCATGGCATGAAATGATTATCAATAGATGTCTATTTTCACTTCTTGTATTCCTCTGAATGTTTTATCATCTAAGAAGAAAGTGTTAGATTTCTATCATCTATATATGATTATAAGTGCATATGCTGAGATAGTTGATTTGGCTTTACTATAGTCATTCTTGTGGTTTTGGCTTTTGGTGGCATAATTCTGCTTTGGCTTTAAAATAGGAAATGCTATTTGAAATGGTATCAATCCTACATGTTGCTTTAGCTTACTATTTGACTTCTTTTTATGCTTTTAATAAAGGATTATGATTCCTAAGGCCAGATGCTTTATTACTTTGTCAAAATTGTCATGTTACCCAATGACAGGTTGTACAAGTTATAAACAGTGAAAGACAATCAAATCCATGAATTCTTCTCTTGTCATAGTAAGACCTTCACAAATTAATACTTTCCCAATTATAGTAGAACCTGCCAGTATAGAACTTCAAATGCCGACAAATTTCTCCAAAAATTTTAGATTTATATATATATATATTCTGGTGGTTCAAAACTCAGGATGATTAGATTTATATATATATATATATATATATCTGTGGTCAAAACTCAGGATGAAATCAACCATTTAAAGTTATTGATCACTATAACTTAAATAAAGTGATAAAAGATGCCAAGTAAAAAAATGTCTGTTCTATGGTCTTGAGTCAAGTTAATCAAACCGGATAATTTCAATTTTTAAAGAAAAAGCAAAGAAAATCTCTATCTGTCAAGTCCTGACCTTTTCTTTCAAAAGTATTTCATAATAAGCTATTGCACAAAATCCATTTATTAGAAAACCATAATTATTTTTTTAGAGAATACATAAATAATAAATATTGACAGTTATGACAAAATGAAAATTGAAATCTTTACCGTACTGTTTTCTAAGGGGTAAAAGGAAATGTAGAAAATTTTATGCCATTCATTCTTCTTTGAGAAGCTAGAAGAGAGAGGAAGACAAAAATAGAATAATTGACATAAAAATTCTAAGCAATTCTTTTTTTAATTATGGTTTCCCAAAAATTACTATTTCAACTTGAAAAATGTAATTTAACACAACTCCATATAAATATGTTTAAAGGAGATGTAGAATGTAGAGTAGTTCTAATCAAGCTCTGTTTTTTAATAGGTTACACTGTAGCTGTTATTGGCAGTTGGCCTGCAACAACCAGAGGACCCTCTCTCCTCCTCTGCAACCAAATCAACTAACGGAAAATAATAACAGAACCTCCTTAACGGTTACATTTCACCTTTTTCTCTCTCTACCTCTCTTTCTTCCTCTGCTTTTTGCAAAAACAAGAAAACAGGGACACAAAAAAGCCATAGACATACAACTATGCTTCCTCAAAAAAACATGAACCAAATTGGACCCATCTCTAATCCTTTAATCTCGGATTATTTTGGTACCAGACATCCTGCGCAAATCTCGCAGACAACTAACGACAAACCCTCACAACCCATTGTCCAAAAAAGACCAAAGAAGATACTCTGTTTTTTTTCCCAATTTTCTTTTCCTTCAGGTTTCTTCCTTTCGTTTGAGACTAACACAACCCCATATTTTAACGTAATGGTATAGTGCTATATCAAAATTAGACCCATTTTCCCAATCTGGGTAGGATCCTAGATTCGGGTTAATGGGTTGCGTTAGCTCCAAACGGGCTTTATCGGTGGCCTCTGCTTCTCCTGTTATAGAATTTTCTTATGCACCTCAATTGGCCGTTCATGATCATAGTTGTTCTTCAAAATACACATCTGGATCTTTTCATTTTGAGCAGAAACACAATAAAAAGGACAAAAAAGATGGCAGTAGACGTAGACATGGTAGTTGTGACTTGGATGATAATAATAATGAGGAAGAGGCAAATGAGAAGCATCAAAATAGCAATTTTCAATTCAAAAAGTCCAAGGGAAGGAGCTCTAGTGGCAAAAGTGGACCCATCAATCTGAAATTGGGATTCTCCCAGAGGCACGCTGAGCAGATCGCCGCCGGTTGGCCTAGTTGGCTCAGTTCTGCAGCTGCTGAAGCAATTCATGGTTGGGTGCCTTTGCGAGCTGATGCTTATGAGAAATTAGAGAAGGTATTAAGGGTTCTTCTTTGTCTTTTCTTTTTTGAATAATGGGTTATTATTGGATTTGATTTCAATAATGGGAAATGCTTCCTTGTTATTACATTTTATAAATTTCATTAACTCATTCACCATATTGTTTGTTTATGCCAACTTTTGGTTGAGAAATGAAATGCAAATAACAGTATGCATATCTATGGAGATTTTAATTTTAGTTTTGCATTGCTTTTCCAATTTATCAAGAGAGAAAATTGTGAACTTGGGAAACAGGAATACTGATTCTTCTTAGAGTAATTTCCTAGAAACCTAAGCAACATATGCTCAATAAATGTTTTATATCAAGACAGGAGGTTATGCAACAGTGGGAAGCTACATTTGTTTCTCCACAGGGCAGCAGATTTGGATATCTGTACGAGTTTTTGGTCGGCAACTTATATTGAAAATTTTATTTCTTTACTTTTTCCTTCTCAATTTCTTCCCTTTTTTTATTACACGTGCTTCAGTGTTCATGCTTTGGTCATTTTTACAACTTATGATGTTTGCGCCATAGATTGGACAAGGTACATACAGCAGCGTGTTTCGCGCACGAGAAGTTGAGAGTGGGAGGATGGTTGCACTGAAGAAGGTGCGGTTTGACAATTTTCAGCCAGAAAGCATCAGATTTATGGCACGTGAAATAGTGATTCTCCGCAGACTTGACCATCCAAACATTATAAATTTGGAAGGAATAATTACTTCTCGATTGTCAAACAGCATTTACCTTGTATTTGAATATATGGAACATGATCTTGCCGGACTCTCGACTTCTCCTGACATCAAGTTCAGCGAATCACAGGTCTGTTAGTTACTATTTATTCCATGGGCTTGTATGTGTGCATATGTGTATGTTTGGTTAAATGGGTATGGACATTATTCCAAGACAATCTCGAGTAAGTTCATCATTGCCATCTGGTTTGATTGCAAGGTTATACAAAGTTTATGACATTGCATTTTTTGTTTTTTGCTTTCTGTGTTTAGAAGTTTAAACATCTAGGTGGACTTTCTGTATAGGTCAAGTGTTACATGAAGCAACTATTACAGGGCATTGAACACTGTCATTTACGAGGCATTATGCATCGGGATATTAAGGTTTCCAACATTCTGATCAACAATGAAGGGATTCTAAAAATAGGAGATTTTGGATTAGCGAATGTCCTCAACTCAAAAAACAAGAATCAACTAACCAGTCGTGTGGTGACTCTATGGTACCGCCCTCCTGAACTCTTGATGGGCTCAACAAGTTATGGAGTATCAGTGGACCTGTGGAGTGTAGGCTGTGTATTTGCAGAACTTCTCCTTGGGAAGCCTCTCCTTAAGGGTAGAACTGAGGTAATCATTATAATATATCTTTAGTAATTAAATATCATTATAAATTAAAATGGCAATAAAAGTGGCAAATGATAAAGAAAAAAAACTGAACTTTGCTTTGGAATATTATATAATTGGCAGTTGATGTTAATAACTGTTGCCCTTCAATCAGGTTGAACAGTTACACAAAATATTCAAGCTTTGTGGGTCTCCTCCTGAACAGTACTGGAAACAGTCCAAGCTTCTTAATTCTACCATGTTTAAACCCCAGCATGTTTATGAAAGTTCGCTTCGAGATAGGTGTAAAGATTTGCCAACTACTACAGTGGACTTGATAGAAAGTTTTCTTTCTATAGAACCCGAAAAGCGTGGGACTGCCTCCTCTGCCCTTTTGTCTCCGGTAACACACACTGAAATCTTGATACACTGGTGATTCTTTAGTTTCAAACTAAATATCAAACTGGGAAAACATTGCAATTTAGAATTTTGATCCACTGCAATTCATGAGCTAAAATTCATGTTTTCTGAGGTTAAAGAACTATGAAAGCTTAAGAATTCATGAATATAATTTTGGCTTTATTTTTTTTCTTCAATGTTTTATTCCATTCACCTTTTTGTTCTTTTTTTTTTTCAATTCATTTCTTGTTTTCAGTACTTCAGCACAATGCCACATGCATGTGATCCATCCAGCTTGCCGAAGTATGCACCTAACAAAGAAATGGATGCTAAATATCGTGAAGAAGCACGGAGGTAAAACTCTTAATTCTTTTCACAGAATTGAAATTAAAAAAGGTAAAAAAAGGATTCTAGCTCTTTTAACTACCCCAGGCCCTTCTTATATGCCATGTTAAATTGGCTCCATGGTTGAGTGAAATTCATCAACTATTTGGTTTGAGTTGTATAATAAATATCACTGCAACTATGATTATTTGATTTAACTTTGTAGTGGATGATCTTATTGTTGGTTTATCTTATAACTGACATGAGACTGCAGTTACAGGCTTGTCTGTGATGATCTTTGTAATTTTTCTAGTACATCTGTTAAAGACAACCTGCTTCTTGATTAGGCAGCTAAAATTATATTCACCTCCTGTAATTTAATGAAACTACTAGCTATATTATTATATCTGTAAACACAATTGTAAATTTCTGGGGCAAAGCAATTCCTTACCTTCTTGCTGTTCAGCAAATCAGATAGAGGTGTTTATTCATCAGCTTAATATGCTTTTCAAATAGCTGTCACTGAACAAATGCTGTACCTCTAGGAAAAAGGTTGGCAGTAAAATGAGAGATCCAGGAGCACCAAGAAAATCAAGAAAAAATAATAAAGCACTGCAAGAACGCAAAAATTTTGCTAAATTTGCAACAAAAGAGGTATTTCTCTTTCTCGTGCTTGGTAACTTGTTCTCACTTGCAACCATGAAAGCGAGTAGGCTCACGGCAAATTGTTTCTTTATTTGTGCAGGAAATTAAAGAGAATACTCAATTTGTTCGTAAGAGCAATAACAGTAATGAGCAGATGAACAAGGGAAGAGGAGAACTAATTTCATTTGACAATACCTCAGAGGTTTTACAAGAAACAAAAGAGGACTACGAATTCACAGGACCGGCACCAGTCATAGCATCAAGTGGCTTTGCATGGGCAAAAAGGCAAAAAGATGATGCTACGACCTTATCTTTTAATCATTCTATCTCATCAAGTCAATTTAGTTCATTAGATTCTACAAGATTCAACTTTGCAAACAGTTCCTTTACTATAAGAAAAGAAGAGAATGGAAAACATGATGACGCCGAGCAAGAGGTTACAGTCAAGAATCCAATGCAGAAGTCACTAAGTAGATTTGGTTCATCAGATTCTTTTGATCCCTCTAGCATATACTACATTTTTGATTCTAAGGCGACTGATGGAGCAGATGCTATGAGAAGCAATTTGGTAAGGCTAAACCATAACCGCAAAAATGTTCTCCTTTCAAGAGCTATCAGAAGTAACATCTTTTGTGATTCGTAATGGAATATAATGTTTTTGGATGTTCATGTTCTGGTGTTGAGTCTCACTTCCATTGTTCAACTTGTTAGGATTACTGTGAGAAAAAAAGGGAGAAGGTTGAATTTTCCGGACCATTATTATCTCAATCATGTAAATTTGATGAGCATTTGCAAAGAAATGAAAGTCATATTCGCCATGCAGCTCGCAGATCAAGGTTGGACAAAGGTACATAGAAATAATTTCCAAATTCTTGTGCATTTGCTGCTAAGAAAGAGAGAAAGAAAGACATACTGAAACTTGAAATGCATGTGAAACTTTCTCAAATTTCTGTCAGTTTTTTAATTTGTATAAAATTTTGATTGTCAAATAAGATACTATTGCTATAGTAGAAGAATTTCAAGTTCAATTTTTACATGTTTCTATAAAAATATATGGTTTTTTTTTTTTTGGCAGAATTTTGAGGCAAGGATTCTGGTAGTGAAAAATCTTTGAAGCCCTTGAAAGGCAATTTGATTATGCAGAGTTGGTAAACTAAATTGGGGAAGTTGATAATTGGCCCTATGCTTGTGAGCCATGGTCCTCAAACAAGTTCTTCTTGTGGAATGTATTTAGAGCTGCCTGCCTGCCTGCCTTTGATTAGGTTTTGACAGTTGAGTTTATGTGTTCATATCCATTGTATTAGGAAAAGAAATTTGTTAAATTTTTTATATAGTATAATGGACTGATCACATAGGAAGAAATGAAGATCAGGAATAGAACAGAGGAGCCCCAAAACCTGAAAAAGAAAAGGGGAAAATAGAAAAAGAAAAAAAAAAAAGGAAAAGAAAAAACTTGTTTAAAGGAAGCATGTTTTTTGTTTACCTTTTCTTTTCATTGTAGATATGCTTTTTTCTTGATATATGCATATTCTTGCAAAGGATTAGTAATTCTGAACAGAAATAATTATCAAATATATCAACTATTGATCAATTTAATTGAAATGAGAGATATGTGTTGAAAATTAATTCAGTATTATTATTTAAATTCAAATTTGAAAAAAATAAAAAATGTAAGGCTTTGTTTAGAAAGGAGAGGAAGTAAAATAATGAAAAATAATAAATTTTATAGGAAAATTTATAGTTCAGTCCTTGTAATTTAAGAAATACAATTAATCGTTTTTGTATTTTAAAAATCTCATTTTTATATATTTTCATTAAATATAGAGATCATATTGTAATTTTTTGATATAAAATTTTAATCTTTTCTTTGAACGTGACGGATGTGAAACCGTGCTGTAATTTTTCCTTTTTTTTTTTTTTTTTTTCATATTGTTAATTTTGATATAAAATTTAATCTTTTCTTTTGAACGTGACGGATGTGAACCGTGCTGTAATTTTTCCTTTTTTTTTTTTTTTTTTTTTTTTTTTGAAAATTGAAGTTGGTTGGAATTCTAGTATAATTTTGTTCAAAGCTTCCTTGATTCTTAATCTCTTGATCTAAGAGAAAATTGTAGGAATTTGGCACAGAAAAGAACATTTCAAGGGAAGACACTCAGTCTCTAGCACGCCCAGGCCGTGCTAGAAGGCACAGCCGTGCTAGAAGGCACAACCGTGCTAAAAGCTAAGGAAAACAAAGGAGAGACAAAAGAGAGCACGGCCAGGGTAGTGTCAAAAGGCACGGCCGTGCCAAAATGGGATTAGGGCGTGTCAAGCCTAGCACGCCCATGACAATTCTAGGCGGGAGTGACAGAAGCAAGCACACCCTATATATATATTATATATATATATATATATAATATATATAATATATAAGCATTTTTTAAAACATATATATAAGCATTTTTAAAACAGTGATTTTAAATTGAATTTTTTTTTATTTAAATAAATTATGAAAATTAACCCACCCAACTTGCAGATAAAGCTACAAGCTTCATTGAAATTTAGAAGTTGAAAAAAAAATTCCTTTCAAAACAAAAAAAAAAAAAAAAAAAAAAAATGTAGTAAATGCTAGAATTCATCGTCACGTACACACTACGCACAAGGCCAACCAAATGCCGACTATGAGGAAAGTGACACTTGACCCAATGCCAATATTTAAGTATCTAAGGTCCATTTGCCTTTATTATCTATCTTTTTTTTTTTGTTTTGTGAAGAGAGATGTGTGTGTGTCACTTAACCATATTCCATGTCTCAGTTGAATGGTTGTGGGTTGTGGGGTATCCCAAAGTAAATGGGACAGTACAAAGCATAGAATATGAATCCAAAGGCATGGGGGCCATTATGCTAACCCTAATTTTTTTGCTTTTTGCACCCTTTCTTCCTTCTTCTCTCATCTTCTTACATTTGATTTTGTTTGTTTTGCTTTTTAGTTTATTAATGTATTTTATTTTATTCAAAAGAAAGGAAATTTTAGTTTTTTTTTTTTTTTTTTTTTTTTCAAAAAGTTTTTTTTTTTTTTTTTTTTTTTTTTTTTTTTTTTTTTTTATTAGAGGCCCAAAAAAGTTTTTTTTTTTTTTTTTTTTTTATTAGAGGCCCAATTTGCTAAAATTATATTGTATACTACATAATAAGAGTAATTCTCAAATTAATAAAAACTCTTATTGTTGAGAGGACTCGAGCTCTAAACCACAAGACTTAAATAGTTTTATTTTATTTTCTTAGAATCAAATAGATTTAATATAAATTAACAAAATTAATAAAATTCTAGAAGTACTGACCTGTGGAGAAAAGTAATATTTGAAAATTAGCGAATATTATACTCTCGATAAAATAAGAATATTAAGAATTTAATCAATAAAAATTATTTTATCATTTTTTACCCTCAACTCATTAAGATATTAATAAAAACCATTCATTTAATGAATAATTATAAATGTTATTATGGAAAAAATAATTGTTTACATGTATAAATTTAGAAATATTGCATACATTTTGGGAATATCCAATAAAGAATAACAAGTAAACAAAATGAAATTAAATGAGTATAATATGATAATATGTAAAAATCATAGAACATTACTTATGGGAAATGGCTCGAAAATATAAGATTTCTCGTGTTTGGTTGACACATGAACATTATACTTGTAGAGAATATACATAAATTAAGAGTATTATTTTAATTTACATACTTTGATAAACTTCTTAAACATAATTATTTTCTAGAAAAGAAAGTTCAGTATCAATTTATTAATTATTTTAAACAAGTAAAATTCACGTATCAGAATACTTTCTTATTGCTGTATTTTTTTTTTTTTTTTTATCAATTAAAATTTTGGAAAAGAATATACTTGTTAACAAGCAAAAAAGAACATAATTGAATAACATCTACATATTTGAATTCCAAAATTGGGAATTAAGGAGTGCCTTCTTCCTCTCATCCACTAATTGCAGAATTCCTTTCCATGAGTTTCTCAGAATGTGCATCTTCTTCATTACATGGATTTTCTTTACCTTTCAACTGTCCTACTCTTCATAAATACATATCAACTGTCTTCAGGAGTCATAAGTGTGGGTATTTGACCATGGTCAACGAAATCAATCTTGTTCAGTCTCAAACAGCATAACACTTTCTCTGGAAGTTCGTCTTGTTTTTGTGCCTATCTTATAGAATGTTAAGTTAGTCTGAGAATGTAGAAAGATTAAATGCATACGACACGGTGCACGTCTCGTTGCACGTAATAATATTGCAGATAATACTCATAATCAGGTGGCATCCATCTAGATTTGTAGAGAATGGATTGAGGATTAAACACCTAAATACCTTTAAGAATATCCAATAAATGAATATTTTGAGCATGATTCATTACCTGGATAGTTAAACCAAGATCAAGGACTCCATTTTTAAGACGATCTCGAAATGACTCAAGTCCCTTTCTTGATATGTAGCTGAATCGATGAATATCTAGATCAATCTCAAAATAATTAGGGCCCTGCAGGATATATAGATACATTGTCAGCAAACCACAAACAGACCCTGTCCTAAAAGGAACATGTTATGTCTAGTTTGACATCATATGAATGCAAAACCAAATTATAAGGAATTTCAACAGAGTTATGTTTAGCTTAAGCTTTGACAAAACCAAATTTGAGACAAGAATTACCTTATAAAATTCATGTTGCGGACGAGAAAGGACTGGTTTTTCATTATAAGCGTTAACAAGCTTCTTTTCGGCAGAACTTAAATTCAGATCTTCAGGATTGACTAAACCAGCCATGATCTTTAGTCTTTCTCTGAAAGGAATATTTGATTCTTTTGCAAACCCTTTAACTTTTTCCATCTCATCCTCGACCAGTTTCTGCTTTTTGTTGGAAATTTTAAACAAAACCAATTAACATTGCCAAACAAAAAAATTAAGATAATCTCAGAACAATAGTTACAATAATCAACTGCACAAACCACCTCCCAACACTAAAAAAAACAAATCTGGGAGTCGCTTATATTATAGATAGAACTTCTGAAAATATAAATAACTAACTAACTAAAACAAAGAAACAAAGTACGCTGCGGTACAATAACAAAAAAAGACAATTCATAGAAAACTTACCTTAATATTTTCCTGACATTGAGAAGAAATTTCTTTTTCCCAATTCTCAGAAACCTTAAAGTACAGTACAAGACTCATCCCTTCCCCGTCACTATCACCAAGGAACATCGCAGCAGGATAAGTAGGCAACTGCAGTTTGGACACAACAACATAAATAAAACTGCCCAGAAGCCACTATACTATTAGCTTTACAAATTGAAAAAACTGTTTTAAAATTCAAGTATACTGTAAATATGCGGTATGTTTGAAACATAACTATACCTGGATATTTACAATTAGAAGAGAAGGGATTTTGCCTTCAGCTTTGACATTAGGAAGCTCCAGGCATTGTGCAATGTGATTAACCTTTCTTGGGCAGATAAACAAATCAACACCAATTGGGGTATATGGACTGCAATTTTGAGCAGGGCATTTCCTCTTATCTCTGCATTGTAGATCATTATACAATTATATCTTTATCTAATCACAAAGACAACAACAGAATAACTACTTGGTTTAACTGCTTTAGCATCCAGTCAAGGATGGTCAGAGCAACTCAGTAGCATACTTGAAATAGGTCTCGCCACGGAGTTTAAAATTGGAGGGAGGAATCTCAGACCAACATCCTGTAGTTGTCTTTTCTCCCATGCCACGTGGAATGATATATCCTGCTTTCGGACGATACAAGAATCTTTTTGATGCGCCTGCATATATATCAATAATTGATTGACGGAGTGTTACACAAGCACATGATCATAACCACATAAAATTGAAATATCATTATCAAACAATTCATATGCTGAATGGAATTTGTAGGAATTTTTGGGAATGTCAATTTAAAAAAGAAAAGTTGAATTACTCAATAGACTTGTAACCTGACTACTTACAACATTCATTGGTTTCTTCTGCATCGCATGATTTCCTCTTAAAAGAGAGCCTGAAAACTGCTAATTTTGTTTTTTGAGTTGAAGCACTTATAACCTTGTCATTGAAACTTACAGTAGGAACCAACCGAGCTATGCCAGATTTTAAGGTATTCCCTTGTGAGTCGCATCTATCTTCTTTTAGAGCTTTGAAGCTTCCATAATTATCCAACATTTTGTTTCTTCTGTTCTCCTCAGCCATCCCCATGCATGAAAGCTCATAAGCTTGGGTACCAGTAAGTGTGAACCCTTTTGATTCCTTATATTCATTTATGCCCATCTTATTTCCATCTATTTTCACGTAACTTTGATGGTATTCTTCATATTTACCCCTTCCGTCCATGAAGCATGAAGAACTTTCATACTGAAGCACTTGTCCACCAGAAATGTTTCCAATGGAAGTACCTACTGATGAAAACCGGTCTGCAGATAAATAATTTAACTAGTAAGAAATTGCACAGATAGATAAATAACATTTAACAGAAAAGGAAAAAAAGAGGTCAGATCTTATGAATTTAGTTAAGAAATTCAGCATTTGTTACCTCCAAGCACACTACTGAATTCATCATCAGATTCAGATTCTAGAATACTGACTGAATCAAACCAAGCTTCCTCTTGGCAAACTCCTGCAAACACAATCTTTTCAAATCAATTCTCAAGCTCTTATATTGTACAGGTGTATCTTTAGTAGTGCCTCTAAAACTAGAGGGAACATGCCTTAATGGGAATGATCATAACCAAGGACATGCATATTTTGGAATAAGCACAGGCAGAAACCATTGACTGAACACAAAAATGAATGGGGAGAAAACAACTAGCTAAACATATAGAAACTACCAAAAAACAGATAAAGGAAAATGAGGAAATTCTATCCATTGAAATCTTTTGGAACATTTATACTCTATGTTAAACAGTATAATCTATGAACTACAAAGATATAGCTGAAAAATGACAGTTACTTATGCTAAGACATACCATCAGAGTTCACTTGGCTGAGGTGCCATTGCATCTGGGTAAGATGATATGCTGAATTCAAGGCACTGGATTTGACGATGCTAGGAGTTTGACCATCGTCAAAATCCATATGGACAAATTGACTCAAAGCAAAATCTGTCACACGTCCAGTATCACCATTCCTTTTCTTACTTCCATCATGAGATCTAAATATCTTCACGCGGCGTTTGCCAGATCGGTGATGGTGTTTCTTCTTGTGCACTTCAATTTTTTTGGGTGGAGTAGAATAACAGCCTCCCATTATAGCTAGCTACTTGGTTACAGAAACCTGTCAACAACAAAAATATCATAGTTAAAAGATACCAAAATCAATCTTTGAGACAAATGCCTTCTGCATAGCATAAGAGACAGAAATCCAAAAAGAAAGATACAAATTTTCAGCTAAGCAAGTCAGATGAGTAATTATTCTTAGAATTGGTCAAATAACAATGTATAGTTGCATACAACAACAAAATTTGTATTAAAGATTAATGAAAAATTTTAACAAAACTCAAATTTACTAAATGATAATAGAAGAGTAAAAGTATTGAGATCTCAAGAAATTATACCTACTAACCAATCTCCTACTGGCATTACAATATCCTAAATAAGCATTATATCATTGCTAAAAACTTTGCAAATTAGAAAGCTACATGAAATATAACACAACAAAGAGAAAATTAAAATAAATTACTGGGGAAAAACTACATACCCTGTTGAAAAAGTTGAAAACTAATAGAGAGCGAGAGAGATCCTCTGCTCACTGCAAAAGAAGCACCTTCTTCAAAGTTAAATAAGAAACTGAAATGAGAAAAATATATGAAGAGAAACCAAGCAAAAGTATGATAAAGGGTCCATATCCTACAAGGTAAAAAAGACAAAAACAAGTAAAATTGGATTATAAAATCCATATCAATAGAAAAGATGAAAATGTTGACATTATATCATAGGAAAAAAAGGAAATGCATATACATAACTAGACAAGGAAAACAATGAAAGAAACAGACAATAAGGTGAATAACATGAATATATATAAAGAATCAAATAGATATATATTTAATTCAACTAATAACAATAAGCAAAAATTGAAACAAAATTAATTCTGGAAAAAAATATTTTTTTTTTTTAAAAGCCATTATGATTATAGATAACCAAAAAATATATATATATTATACTTGTATTATTGAAAATTTTAACCAAAACCCAGTTTTTACAAAAAAAAAAAAATGTAAACAAATTACCAACCTGAAGAAGAAAGAAGAGAAAAGGTTAAAGGATCTCTCCCTCTTTCTGCAAATAAACACCCAAAAGAAACAGAAACACTGAAAGAGGGAGAGGGAGAATAGAACGGCGGGTGGTAGGAAAGTTGGTGAATGGGTGGGTCCGACGATGTCGGATCCGGGTTCAATCGCCAAGAAAAACAATCACTCTCCGTCACCCTTTTTTTTACACTTTTTTTTTTTCTCTGGTTTCTGGTTAAGCTTGAAGCTTTTATAGGTTGTTTGCTTTCCAATCAATACAAATTATATTTAACAAAAATATAATAATAATAATAATAATAAAAGATATTGTAAAATCTTTAGCTTCTGCTTCTCCGAGTTCTGCTATATATGTTGTTAGTCCTAAATTTCGCTGGCGCTTAAGACCCAGAGAGACAGAGTCGTGACTTATATTGTCTGTTAAGAGACTGTTACTTTGGCTGCTGTCACGCGTTTAAACTCCGTTGCAGCATTTTAACGGATTTTTGTATTTGGATTTTGTTACTTAATAATTTATATTATATTTATCAAATTAAGGACTTTAATTAGTTTAATTAACTAAACAAATTAATAATTTCAATTTCTTGAATTGATTTGGTGTAGTAATGGGATTTTTTAATACTCGTATCCCATAAAATTAAATACATTTGTCTTATTATTTATTTCTATTTCACTATGAATACAAATGAATTAGAGGACAAATTACATTTTATTTTTAAAATTTATATTTCATCATTTTTAAATGAAGTGGATTTTATTTATTAACTATCCTTAATTGATGAATTGAATTTAAAAGACATATTTACCTTCCCTATAATCTTATATTATTAAATTTCAATCCTCTTTATTATAAAAAAATGAACTAAATTATTAATTCAATAATTATACTATCTTAATTATTTTCAATAGTTAAATTTTAATTAGAATTGAAGCTCACAAATTCATAATTCTAAATCTGAATTTCAGTATTATTAGGTCAAGTTTGATCCATAATATGTATATTTTAACTAGAATTCACACTCACAAATTAAATTATTAATTTGTTTTAGGAATTAAAATTTATAAATCTGTTAAAATGTTTTAGATTATAATTTAATATGGTTGACCTTAAAAAGTCAACCGAGTCTATTTCCTTGGATCTGCAGATTGGAATTTAACTATTCTCTTTTTAATGTTAATTTGTTCTATTATGGACTAGTTTCTTGGTAGTTTCTTAGTAGGTTACAAATTGAAGCATTTGTTTTTCTTTTGTCCAAAAATAAATAATTAGGGAAAAGAAAGTTATAAGCACGAGTTATGTGGAATTAATTAATTAATTAATTAGTAAATTTAATTAGTTGTATAATTATTTTTGACATTGTGTAATTATGTAAGTTTAATTGATATAATAAATGATTAGTTTTATATTAAAGGGTATTATTTTTTTTATGCGATAATGTGTCAATAATGCAATAATAAATCGGTGTAAAATTTGAAATTATAATATAATTCCCATCAATAATAATTTTTAAAAAATATTAAATAGATAACAGGTGAATAAGTCATTATATAATTTTAAGTTAAGATTTAATTTTGATCAATAATTTTTTATAATATTAAACAAATTAATAAAATGGACCCTCATAACATTTTTTTTTTCTTTTGAGAATTATAACATTTCTATTTTTATGATAAGGACATTGGGTATATGTCTGTACATGGAAGACAAAGATGTCCTAACAAAAAAACCAAGCGTGGCCCGACAGGGATAGACTCTATTCCTGTTTTGATATGATTAGCTCCAGCTGATTCCAGCTATATACATTTTCTACTTTCATATATATTAATTGTAATTACTTATTTTTATGGAATTTTTTTTAGATTGATAATATATATAATATACTTGAATATTTAAAAATATATTTCCGGTATATGGGAACATAAATAAAGAGAAGAGAAGAGTGTAGTTTTGTCAGTGCATGGACAGTGGATTGCTCATATGTTTTGTGATTAAGACATCTAAAGAAAAGATTGGTGGAGTTTTCTACGATGGAAAGTGTTTTCTTCTTTCTTTTATTTTGTCACTTTCGATTGTTTTTCTTTATCTATTTATGTCATATTATGGGGTCCTCGTACTCATGTTTTGCAGGAACCGGAATCCTTTGCCTTTGGTCCACCATTAATGAAATGCTTCACAATGCCATGGGAAAATTTCTGCTTTTTTTTTTTTTTTTTTTTTTTTTTTTTTTTCTGTGGGTTTAGTTTATTTAATAAATAATAATTAAATTTCGAAAAAAATGTAATTTAAAATTAAATTAATAAAATAATAATAATATAAGAGTTTGCAAAGTTAGACAAACGAAGCAAATAAAAAAAAAGAAAATTCCGATAGATTTTAGGTTGAAGTGGTGAACTGAACTGAAACTATGCTGTAAAAGTGGTTGAATTTTTTTTTTTTTTTTTTTTCTGTGGGTTTTAGTTTATTTAATAAATAATAAATTAAATTTCGAAAAAAAATGTAATTTTAAATTAAATTAATAAATAATAATAATAATAAGAGTTTGCAAGTTAGACAAACGAAGCAAATAAAAAAAAGAAAATTCGATAGATTTTAGGTTGAAGTGGTGAACTGAACTGAAACTATGCTGTAAAAGTGTCTGAAAAGACAATCTGTTCACATGGAATTACAGAAGCACACACGTGCGTATGGGCAATTGTTATCTCACAAGTCAGTGGAGGCACAATTAACCTTTAATTATTTATATTATTAATTAATTAAGTTTCAACTTTGCTTTGGAGCTATAAAATATTAATAATAAAAGATACTATGATATAAAAAGAATGATATGCACATGGTTTGGTTTATCACGCTGTATCTTGCTATTATCCACTTCTTCTTCAATTGCTTATTTTATTTTTTTAATGCTAAATTTAGAAATTTGAAAAAAGAGAACTATTTATTCACTCATAATTATTGAATTATTTTGATTAATTATAAATTTATTATATTACTTCCTTTCTTTTAATAAGAACCTTTTTTAAAATATCTAGACTCTATTAATTTTTTCTTTTTAATCTACCTTTATTTATTTTGTATTTTACTCATAATATAATTGTCTCTCAATAGATATTTTATAAATTAATTTTTGTAAAATTTAAACTATTAATTAGATTTCTTAATCCATATATTGAACTAAAAAAAATGATAGAAATCAACCGAGGGATTAATATAAGTTTAATCTAATTAAGTCTAATTCTTGTTAACAACAAATTTAAAATTCCATGATTTATTTTATTTCAATATTATTTCTTTCTTTTACATAATATTATTCTATTTCCAAAAATGAGATTTGACAAAGTGGAATTCTTTTTGAATTGCATTATTGTAATAATTGATTGTTATGAGATAAAATGTTGAGAACCAATAACTCCTCTTCTTTAATAATTTTTTACGAACCAAAATCATTAAAATAAATTATTTTTTAAAAATTATTTTGCATTTAAATGATATTTAATACTCCATCTACCCCAAAATATAAATCGTTTTTGATTTGTTATTTTATCTCAAAATATAAGTCTTTTTATGTATTTCAAGAAGTAATAAATTATATTTTTTCAATATTGTCATTGTTTACACTAAATATAATAAATACTTCACAAGCAAATATTGATCTTGAGATAAATAGTAATTTGGTCAAATTACCTTTAAATTTATTATAATTTAGGAGAATTAATTGCTTCTTCAATCCTTGTGTAAAAACTTTAAACGATTTATATTTTAGGACAGAGTGAGTAACATAAAATGTAGTATTTTATTTAGTAAAATGTTAATCTTTGGTTCAATGCACTTCAATTTATTGCTAATTAGTGAGATACAAGGAAGGAGCACTCCACATGGGAAAGAACTGATGCATATCCTTCAAAGCACTAGGAAGCTTCTTTTTCAACTTAATTAAGGGAAAAATAAAAAAAAATAAAGAAAAAGAAATATCCTTTTTTATATACAAAATATATGTTTTATTTACATATATATGTTTTAAGCATAATTATTCAGTACTGTCGTGTTAATCACTCCAGGATAATAATAATGCTACTGAACTGCTAGAGCTACCTAAGGCTCTGGGCTTCAGAGGCTCAGCATCTAGGCCCCTTAACATCCTTACAAGAAATATTTAGGACTAATTGATTTGAACATTGCTATTATAATAATAAATTTTAGTCAAAAATTAGGAATTTCCTATCTAACCTCTGAGGAGCTGCTAATAGAAGATGGCCAGACCAAATGAATAAATATGTATATATATGTGAATATAATATTTTTTATTTTAATTTATTGTATAAATAAAAAACACATGCATAATTAATAAATCAGCTTTAATTTACAAGCTTGCAAAGTAATAGATATATATGTTTAATCTCAGTAAAAATTTATTATTATTTTTTTTATCACTAAAGGTGTTTTCTCACCTCCCGGTTAGATAAAAGACTAATCTCTTTCGGACCGGATAGCCATTATATTTAAAAACTCTCCGGAGCAAATCCTGTTATCACAATATTGAGATCTTTTGGGCTTCAACTAGGGTTAAAAATTTAACTATTTGATGCCTCTTCTATGCGTATGATTGAAGAATATGATTTCTTGTCAAATCAAGCAGCCTCACCAAAACTCTTCAAGCTATAGTAGAAACATTATTCTCTTCTTTGACAGACCTAAAATTATCTGACTCATAGTTCTTGATCAACAAGTAACAAGAAATTGTGTCAAGAACTACAAAAAGAGAAAACATATTAGCAATCAACCACCCCTCCACAACCATAGACAAACTAATCCATCCCAGAAGATCATAAGCTCTCAAAATCCGGTATCGAAACAAGGATTCAGTAGCGGTAAGTCCCAAATTGATTGGAAGAATTAACAGTAAAGCCATGGATTTTGCTTCCTTCCTTAACAGACAAGCTTTGTTAATAGCCTTATAGCCAGAACAATTATCCAGACATGCTATAACCTGAGATAAGCTGCATATGACAGTAGTATTAGCTAAAATCATAAATATAACAACTTCTGCTGTCCACACAAAGATTGGATTTTGAGATGATAACCCCACCAGGTGTTCGATGAAATTCTTCAAAGAAACAAGGAGAAAGAAAGTTGCTGTGTTGATGATTATTGTGAGAAGTATATTGCAAAGGTAGGTTAACACTAGAGGCTTGTAGAGCGATGAAATAGTAGGCTTATTATCATTATTATAGTGATGTAAATACTGGATTATCGATGCTTTTGCTATTACAAGAGAAGATACTGCAAAAGGGAGATTAAAGATGGATCTTAATATGACTTTATGAAGATTTGAATCAAGAAAAGAAATTCTTGGAACGAGAAGAAAAGAGTGAGATTGATAAAGAAGAATTGAAGCTGAGAAAGGAAGCAAAAGAATTAGTGGGATAATGGAGAAGTAGTGAAAATCTTTCAATAAGGTAAAGATTGATCTTCTAATAATATTTCTTGTTCTCTCCATGAAAAAAGAAGAGAGATCTTTCCAATCTTCTTGAAAATAAACAAAGAAAATGATGTATTTATTTGTTTTATTTATAATAGTTAGGTTTAATTAAACTGATCATCTGTATTCAACTACCAGATGAACTAACACTAACTGCCAAGGAAAATTGAAATTATCTAATAGCTATCAAAATATTTATCTAATCCCACCAATGTTATCGTTCTTTGGTGGGGTAATAGTTGCTTACACGAAAAGTTGAAATTAGATTTGTGGTAGAGGAGTTATGCTTCTTAGTGAGATTATTATTTTGTTTGCTTTGTGCAGTAGAATAAAAAAAAAAAGAAATATGTATTTTATATCTACTAATTAATTAATTAAATTAATTATAAAATAATAATTTCGTTTACTATTCATACTCATGCATCTGAAAAAAAAAAAAAAAGAGAAGGAACCAAGAATCTTTGGGCTTAAGTCTCATTTATCACATCCACACTATTCTAATGACATGATTTTTCTATCAATATTCAATAATGAAAATTATATGAAAAAAAAAAAAACATTATTGTCCATTGGGCCTTCTTATGAAAAATAGATTGGGCTGGATCAAATTAGACTGAAAACAGTTATGCAAGCCCGGTAATTTACTTCGATAACAAGATGTGTGAGCCTAGAAGCTTGTTGTCAAACGACCGTTCGTGCCGCTTTGCAAAAAAATTTTTTTTTTTTTTTCGCAACGACACGAACGACAGGGAAACTTTTCTGGGCGGAAAATTTTCACTTGAATCTTTTTTTCACCAAGCTTACAACCAAGTATTTTCTTCTCAGAAAAAAAAAAAAAAATGCAGATTTTCTGGTCAAGCCACTTGCTTTGACGATTCTGTATATTTCATCTTCCTGATTATCGTTGTCACTGAAATCTCATCAATGCAATTGATTATGCGAACAGAGTCACAGAAGAACGTCTACATTCCATAATCTTTCTTTGTTCAGATCTCACTGCCCGTATTTCTTCCCAGGTGATCAATTAATTTCTCTGTTAATTATTTTTTTTTTCATTTATATATTCAGTTTTCTTTGCTAGATCTTTGGAGTTGGAATTATTATGTCATTTTTTATGAATTCAGAATATATCGGGTTGTTCAATTTTCGTTTTTCTATAGTTAGATTTAAGTTTTGGTTAAATTAATTCATTTTATTGACCTGGGGTTTTACTAGTGAGAAATTATGCTATAAAGCTATCACTTTTTAACCAGTTATAGGAAATAATTCAAGCATGTGGAGTGGTTTTCTCGTTTCTGGATGAATTTATGAGTTTCAAGCTAAACCAAATTATTATTATGGACAATATAGCACATCCCAATTTCAAGTTTGTGTCTTTCATTCTGATTATATATTTTTAGCTTCAACAGTTTTATTGTATCTTTTGTATACCTGGAAGAGAATTGTCGGATTTTGGAGATGATGGGTATGTTTTACCCCCTTTTTTATCTTATTTTTTGTTTATGAATACCAATATTTCTTGCGGATGTAAAAGGCTTACGGTGTCAAATCTTTTAGTGCCATATTTTTTGTTCCTTTTTTATTCATATTTCTTATTTGTGGTTCTTATATAATGTAAAAGCAATTTGGTTATGTTTTCAGCTCGCAGGTTTTTTCTCTAGACATACTTGAGATATTTGAGATTACTGCCAAAACTATGGCTGCTAGGCGCGGGGTTCGTTACACTCCTCTTCCTGTCGATGATAATGATTATGATGGTGTTGGTGGGAGTAGACATGACCCTCGGTTTGAGTATAGACCTGGAGCCTATGATAGAATCCCTTGGAAGTCCATAGCACTTGCACTATTTTTGCTCTTTCTTGGATCACTACTTCTCTTTCTTTCCTTCTTCATCTTGACTGGTCACATGGGTGGAGATAAATCCCAAGGCTACGGTCTCTTGGCACTTGGATTCCTTGCCTTTCTGCCAGGTTCATTGAAACATCATTGCTAATTGGCTCATTTAGTATGTGGATCACGATTGTTTTTACCCTTTCTAGAACTCACTTTTATTGCTACTTGAATTCTTAGAATTGTGGAAGGAATTGGAGAAAGATATTCAGTTTTATCTGCATCAAGGACTAAACTTTGAATTAGAAATTGCAATGGAATTATAGGAAAAATGTTATTTTCTAGAGCAACCATAAGAAGCATGATCAAATTAAGCATAAAAGATGAACTGGACATTTCAATGAAATGGTACATTCCTCATCCTTTGCCCAGTAAAGATTAGATAAGGAAGTTGTGGATAAAAGTGATACTGTTAGGCAAAAGTGTGATAGCATGTCATTAAGTAAGAGGGATCATTTCATATCAGATCATTACTATCATTTAAAATGTATATTTAAGCTCTCAAACATAGTTAACTCCGAGAGTTCAAGAAAATGCGATGTTGGAGTAAGGTGGTCTGAAGTTGATTAAACTTTCATACGCTGGTTGTTAAAATTAATATGGCTGCCTTGTGAAAATTTTTTTTCTCTCTTCTGTTTTGTGGAATGTTACATGGGTTTTTCTTTCTCATTTTGTGCTCTTTATGTGTCTTTAGATGGTAGATAATGCAACCGTGTTTCTTTCTCCCTCTTCTCTTTCTTTCTTGTGTTTCCTTTGTTTTTTTCTCTTGCCCAGTTCTTTCCACATGAAGAAACTGATAAACAAAATCATACTAATTTGTTGCATCAGAAATTGTAATGATAAGGCTTTTGTTCAATGTAGTTTTTGTTTGTTTATTTTCAATTTTCAAGATTTTATTTGCTTTCCCTCACTACTCATTGGTATCTGCCTAACATTGGCATGTAGTTGCTGATTTGCCTCATCATTTTGCAATAGAATATCATATTTCAAATTTCAATCTTGAAGATTACCCTTTCACATTTTGTTGAATTCTTTTTCTTTTTAGTATTCTGTCTACTTGATGTATTAGGTGCTGATGCTAGAAATTCATCAGTAATAATAATTAAAGAAGCAGAGATATTTGCTTGCACCATTATGCTTGCTAGAACTGAGTAATGTTCTTTGGCAACCTCAACAAAACTTGGTTGTTCTTGTATTGTGATTGCTCTTGTTGGAATAAGAAACATTTGATTAATACTAGTTTGTTTCTTCTTCTGTTAGGCAATTTATGATGCTGCAGTTACTAGTTTATTTGATGACATTCTTGATAATACTAATGTGATTCCAACTGTCAAAAGAAATAATTTTAATGGGTAGCATGGCAAGCAAGTAGCTAAGGGTGTAAACAAGCCGAGCCAAGCTGGGTTGAGCTCTAAAGGGCTCGTTAACCAAAGAATCCAGCTCGAGCTTGATTTTAGCTTCAAAACCTTAACTCAATAATGTTCGAGTTCGGCTCATTAGACTTCATAAAGGAAAAGAACTCGAACGAGTTTTTCTCGAGACGAATCTCAAGTAACTCACAAGCAGCTTTGCTCGTTTACAGCCCTACAAGTAGCTCTTCACCTCTGATTTAAAAGTATAGAGCTACATGATTATGTAACATTTTCACTTGTATCCTATAGAAACCTATCAAAACTCGTGAGTCTTGTGTAAGAGATAGTAAAAAGATGTGCTTATTGGCATACTTGCTACTATAGTGCTATTTATTGAAAAGCAAGACTTTCCCTGATTTTGACTGGAAATCTATGAGCAAACTACAAGTTAAAGGAACTGGCTTGCTGATTCTGCTAGGTGTAACTTTTGGTTTATACCCATTTTATTTCTGACCAATCTACCTGGTTTCATGACATGGTTTTGTCTCTGAATGCTAGTATTCACCTGTCTCTTCTTTAGTCGGCAGTTAGATGTGGAAGCAAAGGTGTCCCTTCTTTTGTGGATTAGCAACTAACGTGCATGACATTGATTCAATTTTATTGTTTTTTTTTTTTGCATGTTTAATTGCCCCTTCAAATTTACTTTTCTTATATATCGACTGGTGGGAGCTTATGTAGGCTTCGCTCTATTGAATATTTCCAAAAACTGCAGGATTGATCTCAAATGGAATTTATATGCATGTGACAGAAGAAAGCCTTGTCTAGTCCTGAGTAACTGGAACACCAGTGACCAAAACAATTAGGCTCTGCCTCAGTGCTAGAAAAGATTGTCTTGTGCACCAAATTGAGAAAATTATGATCCCATTGCAAGTATTATCACCGTGAGTGTTGCAGAAAGCTTGGCAAAGAAATTCTGCAAGAGTATTAAGTATACGAGGATCTTGCAGCATTTGCGTTTGACATTTCTAAACTAACTAGTAGTTCATTCTTTTCTGTCATTTAGAATTGTTGTGTCTTTCAGCTATCATGGAAGTTCTTTTCACTGCTTTCTTTTCCATAATGATTAATTTTGAAGATATAATGCTGAAATGAAACGTAAATTTCTTGTGGCTGCAGGCTTTTATGAAACTAGGATAGCATATTATTCATGGAGGGGCGCAAAAGGATATCGTTTCGCTGCTATTCCAAGTTATTAAGATGTGTAAACCTGCTTTTAGGTTATTTAAGGATACTGTGACATTAAAATTTGCTTTGTTGTACAGAATTACATGGTTTTGAAATTTTTAGTTTCAATCTTAAGGTGTAAAACTTTGTACCTTTTCATCTAGAGTTTTGCTTTCTTGAGATTGACTGTCATGTGGGAGTGATGAAAATATTAGCAAATTACTTAAAAGACATTCTGTTGTCTGTTTTATGGGAAATTTTTCACCCACTAATCATCTTTCTCCTCTTCTCTTTCTTTTTTCTTTTCCAATTCATAAATATTTTATATATTTTTTAATCAATATTCCATCAATAATGGTAGAAAATAGTTAAGAATCAATCTCAACTATGCATTTCTTTCTTTCAAAACGATGGATTGTTAAGATTAAAAATTTATAAAAATAAATTAATTATTTAATTGAAGAAAAATGTTTTTTCATCAATTTTAATATTAAAAAATGTACGATTTTGCTTTGACTGTTACTAAGTTTTACTCTGAGAGTACATGTAAAAATAGAATCAAGATGATGATGTCTAATTAACTATTATTATTATTATTATTATTAGTATTAACATCTTCTATTTTGTCCATTTTCATTAATTCACTTCACAATTACCTCATCATCATCTACAAAGAATTGACATTTACGTTTGTTTCTGATGTAACTTTCCATTCTAGCACTAGAAAATTAAAAGTAAGTACATTAGCAAAAATTAAAGAAATCCAACCTTTTTAAATTCTTATTTAAAACTCATCTAATCAAACTTCATTTCAAGAAAAAAAAATTTACAAAAGAACAAGTGCTGCCAACACCTCTATGACTCAGCAAACCCATCCAAAAGCTACTTTGAATAAATTTCATTCTGTTTATTTCTCTTTTTAAATATAAAATCTCACAATTAAGTTCTATACTTTCCCATTAATTGATTCCCCTTCCCATGCTTACCAATATTTTCTTATTTCTTCCCTTTATGAAATAATAATAATTATTATTATTCTAAAAACTTTATTTTATTCCAATTCATCATTTTCTTTTTAATTCATACATGTATCTCTATTCTTTCATTAAGGTAATATTCGAGTGAAATACTTTTAAGAGTGAAAAGATTTTTTTTTTTTCATTCGCACGTATGACTCTGCGTTTAGCTTGGAATAACATTCAGGTAAAAATTTTCAAAATTAAACTTTTTTTTTTATAGTTAATCTGAAAATAAATTAGCTTATCTAACTAACTATTACTATTGATTTGAATATCCCATTACTCATTTTACCCCTACAATTTCAACAAAATCATTCATCAAGCTGCATTTTACAAGGGCAATTCAGGTCATTTAGCCTAAAAATAAAGGAAAATTTATGATTTCATCCGTATATTATACTACAATATACACGGAATCCTTGCATAATTTTACCTATATAATTGTCTCTGTTATATTGTAATATTCTTCTATTAATTTATATATTTTTAAATAATTATATTATCCATATATTTCGCTAAATTAATTAATTTTTACATGTTTTTAATCATTTTTTTTTTAAAAACTAACTAATCTATCTACGTTCTTATTAATTATTTTATTTTATCGAAAATAATTAATCTATCCTTCTAATAAAAGGAATATGAAAAATTGATAAAAAGATATAACGGAATGACGTGGATAAAAATTAGAATAAATTTATTCACAATATAGAAGCAAAGTCATGTTTTGACAAAATACATAATAAATAACAATTTTTCCAAAACAAAATAAAATTTGTTGTCATTTGAGAATCTCTGCAACTCCTCGTCTAGGGAGAAGAGAGAGAATTAGCAAAAAGAAAAAATAATTTTCTCAAACGCTTTTTTGATTTTAACAAACGAATTAGTCGCAATAAAAATCTTAATCAAAGACCCTTTTTGTAATTTTCTGTTTCTTTCTCTCTCTCTTCTATTCTTTTCTCTTTGAGCTCGATTGTGTCCATCTTTGGCCCTCCTTTGATTCTCCGCTTCTCGGTAAGTTCTTCTTGTTCGTTTATAGGCTGCATGAGTTTGGATTATTCAATTTTGAAGTTTGATATCTCAATGTGTGTTTGTCTTTTTTATTATTTTGTACTTGAGATCTGTGGAATTTAGGGTTATGGGTAGAGTTCACAACTTGGATTTCATTTTTGGGAATTTGGTTTTTGTTTCTTAATTATAGCTTAATCTGATTCAATTCCGTTATTTTGGAATTTCTTATGATGTTTATTCTTCTCGTGAGAATTTGCTTCCTTGTGGTTATTTTAAGGTATGTTTTTGAAGCTAACAGTGAATAAGTGTAGGGCTAGAAATATGTGTTTCTGTGAGATTGATTGTATAATTTGGTGAATTTTAAGTTTTGGAGATAACTTTTATCTCGCTTAAGTATGTTAATGTGGTATTTTTGTTGAAAAGACATGGAATGTTTCTTACTGACAAATTTTTGATTAAACTGGGTTGGAAGAAAAGGATTCATTTAGCTCAGACTAACTAGATTGGGATTCAGCTTAGTTGAGTGAGTTGAGAAATGGTTAAATTTCACTGTTGTTGGAAAGGTTGGATTTTGGTTTGTCAAGATGTTTGTGCATGGTTTTCTACTGTTCTTTAGTAACCATGGTGGTGCACTTGTTTTCATGGATTTAATTTAAGTGAATGTGTGAAATATTATGAATTCCACACTATAGAAAAAGTTATGAATCTTGCTTTGGTGTTGGATTGTTGAGAAAATCAAGAAAAGGACATGCACTTATCTCGGGCATCATTCTATAATGCTTGTTCAGACTCTCCTAGAGGCCTTGTTTTCACATCCATCTCTATGACTTTGATTATATAAGAAGTAGAAGGAAATGACTAGAAGCACTATGCTTTTTTTTGGTTTGGCTAGTAGAGGAACTCCATTGAAGGTCCCATATGGTTGTGACTCATTGGTAATCTTTTGAGAAGAAAAAGTTTATACTTGCACTCAAACTTCAGATTATTGGTTCAGTCTTCATATATGAAACTTCTGGTTTCGGAATTTTATTGGGACAAAGCATTCTCTTGAAATCACTTACTGTTACAATCTAGGTAACACAAAAACATGAACTAGGCCGCATTTCACATTTCTGAAATGTTTCAGAAATGGAAAGTTGGAAACGCATACAAAACAGGTCTGAAATGTTTTGTTTCAACTCTGAGCTTCAATTTGATATTCAAAACTAATGGGTTGTGGTTGGTTTTTAATTAAATTTAAAACATAAACACAATTTAAAACAATTTTTATTTTTTAACTTTAAACAATTAATTAAAGAGTAAAGTTTATTTGGTGGAAAAATAATTTTGTCTAATAATATTTGCTTGAAAAAAAATATTATTCTTAAATATCCATACATGTTTATTTGAAATTCTAATATCTGTAAAAGTATTCCAATTGTTTTATATTAAATATTTCCATGTCTTATACTTTTGAAAATCGTCATTTCTCCATTTCCGTTTCTTATCGTATCCATTTCCTGTTTCCATTTCCAGGCTACTTAGCTTCATGAGTATTCTGCTTCTGTACTTGCTCTTTTGCAACTCTAAACATCGTGTTTATGCAATTGCTTTCTCATTTCTCTGAGTTCTGTTTTATTTTCTTATGTTTTTATACTTGGGTGACAGGAAAAATGGATGGGTCAAATCACCGAAGCAGCAGTAGTGTTGATGTGTTTTTACCAAATTATAAGCTTGGTAAAACTCTTGGAATTGGTTCCTTTGGCAAGGTGAAAATAGCAGAGCATGCATTGACTGGCCATAAAGTTGCCATCAAGATACTAAATCGTCGCAAAATAAAAAACATGGAGATGGAAGAAAAAGGTATGGATTGTTCATGGATTTCCTCTTTTTATCCCTAATTTTATATATATAGTTTATTAGGCTGGGTGCTATCATTTCTAGTTATGTGATTCTTTCCCCCATTACCTTGAATGATTTGATGGCTTCTAATTTTTTAAGTGGGATCTTAACTTATCCCATATTGATTAAAATGAATTTATAGGATTACAAAAAGGTAACTGAAACTTGAAAGACAGAGAGCTGTGGTGAAACAATATGGATTTAAATTATATTTGAATGTTCTTGTGATGAATCTTTTCTCGAGGGGCCTTGATAAGAAATTCTTTCTTTTTATGGGCCTTCATTAGGTCACAGTTTGTTCAAATTTCATCACTTGTCTAGTTTGTTATGTTTGTTTTATGAGAAGCTGATTTCCCCTTCCCTTTCATTTTTCAGTGAGAAGAGAAATAAAGATATTGAGGTTGTTTATGCATCCTCATATTATAAGACTGTATGAGGTTATAGAAACACCAACTGATATATATGTTGTAATGGAATATGTGAAGTCTGGAGAGCTCTTTGATTATATTGTGGAGAAAGGTAGGCTGCAGGAAGATGAAGCACGTAATTTCTTCCAGCAGGTACAACTGCCTACTAATTGACAGTGAATTTTTTCGTGGTGTAACTTTGTTTCTCATCTGGGTTTGTGCACAAATCGCTGTCTGGATGCAGATAATATCTGGTGTAGAATATTGCCACAGGAATATGGTTGTTCACAGAGACCTTAAGCCTGAGAATTTGCTTTTAGATTCAAAATGCAATGTGAAGATAGCAGATTTTGGGTTGAGCAATATAATGCGAGACGGTCATTTTCTCAAGACGAGTTGTGGAAGCCCAAACTATGCTGCCCCGGAGGTGTGGAATTGTGGCCTTACTTTGATGGATTGCTGATCTTTACACTGGAATAGGAGAATTTTCTTCTCTTAATGTTTTTGGTTTGATTCGTTCTCTAGGTAATATCTGGGAAACTGTATGCTGGCCCTGAAGTGGATGTATGGAGCTGTGGTGTTATATTGTACGCTCTTCTTTGTGGTACTCTTCCTTTTGATGATGAAAACATTCCCAATCTCTTTAAGAAAATCAAGGTATTGGGGAGTTATTTTGGTCTGAATATACATTTGGATAACTGCTATTATTTGGATTCATTGGGTTTATTCATTTTGTTGAATTCTTTTCTGTTTCTTTCCTATAAATTGACCATCTTGTTTGAGTGCCTAACTAATATTAATTGTTCTTCCCATTTTATTTCTTCTTGTAGAACTGTAGATATCTGGTTGCTTCTATACTAAAAATATGAAAATATTACCTCCTTATTGCTGAGAGTTTCCTCCTAATATTCATTTTTTGCGGAACTCAAAAACAAATGAACTCAGACAAACTTATTATGAGTCAATGCAGTTCTTATGTTTTAATTTTGAATGTGAATGCTGGACCAAAATCACATTGTAAGCTTTTATATTATGTCCCTTATGGTTTTGGAAAATACAGGATAGTCAGAATTTAACCAATAGTTGAGCCAGCCTTCACTTGGCATGCACCACTGTTTGCTATGCTGCGTGTTTTATCTTATCAGAAGGAAATGAGATTTTCATACTTCATTTTATTCAGAATGTTCGAATCCATTTTTGTTTCCATTTCCGCAAGAGTAGAGCTTATTTGCATTATGTATTTAATGATCGGTGTAGTATCTCGCTTTTGATCTTTCTCATCTCCGTTATGTATTAGTTTTATGATTGGCTAAATGCTGATTTTCCAAACTAGAGCTTTTCCATCATATCATTAACTTGCACATATAGTAGAACAATCATGGCTGAACCCGCATCATTTTGGTCCTTAGGGTGGGATATATACTCTTCCTAGCCATTTATCACCTGGTGCAAGAGATCTGATCCCAAGGATGCTTGTCGTTGATCCAATGAAGCGAATGACGATCCCTGAAATCCGTCAGCACCCTTGGTTCCAGGCTCGTCTTCCACGTTATTTGGCTGTTCCTCCACCAGATACAATGCAACAAGCTAAAAAGGTTTGGTAAAATTTTTACTGGATAACTGAATAGTATAGTTGTCAAATCAAGATTTGAATTGAGAATCGGAATTCTTATTTGTAGAATCAAGAATCGTATTGAATCGTAAGATTCAGTCTAGCTTCTCAAAATTAATTAAAATAATATATATGCATTTATGGATATATTTCCCATTAAGTTTGTCTAATGATACTAAAAATTCAATTTCAAGTAATGTATTTATATAAATTTCAAATCCAAATCATGTACTAAGCACAAAATGAAAGAAAACCTAATGACTTGTGTAGTTTTCAAGTCCAAAACATCAAACTATTAAGTTAAAATTTTAAAAACAAAGTAAAATAATGAAGCCATTGAATTTTCTATTTAAATCTATATTCATTCATTAATTTTCAAATTCAAGCCCTTCATCATTTTCATCTTCTAATATAACTACGTCATCTTGCTCTTCTTCCTCTACATTGACTTTTCTAGTTGTTTTGTTGGGAATGAGAATCGTTGGGCATGAGAAGCAATTCGAATCATATGATTTGAATCAATTCATGCTCTATTCCGATTCACCCATAAGGTTCAAGTCGTTTAGCATGAGAATTGAATCAAATCATACAATTCGAATCGTGAATAATAAGATTCTGATAACACTACTGAATAGCAATCAATGATTAATGGTTGTATGGTTTTGTTTCATTTGAAGCCAGTATCAGTGGCATTTTGTTGATGCAAAGTGGAATTTGAAAAATGTGAGAATTCCTGTAAAAAATAATTCCTTTGGTCTAGGATTATACTTTGTAATCAGCAACTAAAATAGAATATGAAAGTACTGAACCCTTTCACGATAGGGCTACAGGTTTTCTGTCAAACCCTATTTCACCCAGACGTTTGTAAAAGCATTAATGAAACAGGGTGAGCCTTTCTTCAGAACCCGTTGTAATTTTCAATAGAGATATAAATACCTAAGCAAGTGGAGGATAGTGAAAACCTTAGTAGGACCAGAAACCCAAAACCTAATTAGAAAAAAAAACATTGAAATCTTATCTTCAAATTCCTTTTTGTATGCAGATTTTGATCTTTGATTCTTACCATGTTTTGCATTTGGTTATATTTAAATATTTCATCAGCATTGACAGACCTTGGACCAAACTTTTTTTTTTTTGTTTTTTTTTTTTTTTTTTTAGGTTGGGGGGGGGGGGTTCAGATTTGGCTTTTAATTGTAGCTAGTTGCTGAAACTTTTTGTTCTTAATATAGCCGGGGGGGGGGGGTTCAATTTGGCTTTTAATGTAGCTAGTTGCTGAAACTTTTGGTTTCTAATATAGCCAGTCGGTTATATGTGAAATCTTTATGTAATTTTTGAAGGATGGATTTTTTTGTTTTTAAAAAAAGAAGTTTGTCTAGCCCTTAAGAAGGTCCACCAGTGTTCATCAGCTATTTGTTAATTCATCTAATATTATAATTCATGATGGTTTATGTTTTATAATAAATTGAGAGAGCTGTGTTGCAGAGGGCTTTGCAAGCAACTCATTTAACCGTAACTGTTGTTTCTGCAGATTGATGAGGAGATTCTCCAGGAAGTGGTCAAGATGGGATTTGACAGGAAGCAACTTATTGAATCTCTTAGCAATAGAATACAGAATGATGTATTTTCTCTTCATAACTCTTTGTAATTGTTCTTTTGAGCTCTCCTTTTACCTAGAGTGACTAAATGTTGTCTTATTATTTGCAATTGATACCAGGCTACTGTTGCATACTATTTGTTGTTGGACAACCGATTCCGTGTTTCCAATGGTTATCTCGGAGCTGAGTTTCAAGAAATAATGGTGCGCCTATCTTTTTTCCTAAGTTTATTGTGGTGAAATATCTTCTTGGCATTGTACTTACGTTAGTGGAAAGTCATTTTGAGTTTATAATAATTTTGAAAATGCATTGCTTAGAACTCTGAAGTTTGTCAATGTAACATCAAAACCTGACTTTGGCCTAAGTAACATTTGTGGATTTGTCCATACCACTGGGCTCAACAATTGCTACCGCAAGTTAAATCTAGTTGTTGGGCTTGGAATATTCAAGTTACTATTTTTCTTTCCCTTAAAATGTGGGACCCAGTGTTGTAGTTGCATGCCACATTCAACTGGTCTAGCCCTAGACATTGCTCAGTTGAAACTTCCTAGCAAATAAATATTTATGTGTCTTATTTCTATCATGCTAATGGAATTATCTCTATTCGTTACTCTCCAGCCTGCAAGTCTGTTCTAAACATCTCTATCTTGAGTTAGGTGAATATATTTTCTTAGCATTTTTATTTTTGTTAGATTCTGATTTTCTTGATTTTATCAATTTTCTCTAGGAATCTGGTTTCAACCGTATGCATGCAAATGAACCTACTTCTCCAGCCGTTGGGCACCGCCTTCCAGGTTACATGGATTTTCCAGGAACAGGTTTAAAATCACAGTTTGCGGTCGATAGGAAATGGGCACTTGGACTTCAGGTTAAGTTAATGTGCTTTTACAATTAGAGAAAGTTGCTAGGAGCTATATGGTTAACAAATAAATAGGTTTGATTTCTTTGCATGCATTCTTGCTCGGGGTTTCTCTCTTAAGTGATGCTTGGCTCAGCATATATGATGTGCTACATAATTTGAGATTTCCTTGTTCTGCCCATAATTGTTGAGTTCTAGACTGGTATCCCAAGTATATTTGTTTATGGAGCATGTCTAGTGGAGTGAAATTGACCAACTTATGCTTGTTCAAAACTATAATTGATAATATTTGTTGTGTGTACTTTGACAGTCACGAGCCCACCCTCGTGAAATAATGACAGAAGTCCTAAAAGCTCTACAAGAACTGAATGTGTGTTGGAAGAAAATTGGTCACTACAATATGAAGTGCAGGTGGATTCCTGGTATTCCTGGTCATCATGAAGGCATAGTTAATGACCCTGTGCATAATAATTTCTTTGGGGATGAATCCAGCATCATTGAGAACGATGGAGTCATTAAATCACCTAATGTGGTGAAGTTTGAAGTGCAGGTAATATAAATATCTTGATATTATTGTTGTCGTGCTGCTATTGCTGTGATGGTTCTTCAAATGATTCAAATAAGAATGCTTGTCGTACTATTGGGGGTTGTTGGGTAGATGTGCAAATAATATATTTTTTGCAGCTTTTGGCATAATGTGATTCGTAAAAGAAAATTAGAAACATCTATCTAAATAATATGCAGCTCAATGTATAAATTCACCCCTGTGCTTTTTATGAAATCTTGTGACACCTTCAATTTTTATTTTGACTTATTGAACACTTCAATTTACAAAATTGTACCTACTAAACATTATATTGACCTATTGAGCTCTTCAATTTGTATGAAAATTAGATCGATTAAATACTTATTAGATAGTTGAAAAAAGTGAAAGTTAATTTTCCAAAAGTTGTATTGACTACATGTCAAATCAATATTTTGTGTATAAAAGCGAAAAACCTTAAAATTGTTATTACTAGTGTAAGGAGGTGCAAGATTATTACAAAATAAAGTTTATGGTGTCACAACATTGTCTTGTCGCTGGTAGCTTTTGGTAAATCATTGCATTATACTGATTGTTCAAGTGATTCTCTAAACAATAAAGCTGATGTACGTACATGTATGTTCTTGACAGCTTTACAAAACTCGCGAGGAGAAATACCTACTTGACTTGCAAAGGGTACAGGGTCCCCAGTTCCTGTTCTTGGATCTTTGTGCAGCTTTTCTTGCACAACTCCGAGTCCTTTAGAGTGACAAATTGTAGGCTCTCAAGAAGAACTCTGCCCATAGATATCTCTTGTTATGCCTGTGAATAATAAATCACGGTGTAAATAACTGTCCTTCAGTCTGATTCTTGCTTTGACCTTTCTTTCTTTTTCTTTTCCTTTTTCTTTTTCTTTTCAATTTCTCCCTCAATTTTATATGGGTAATTGCTGTGTAATACCAACATCCAACACTGAAGTTGGCTAAATCACTAGTAGTCTGTTTTTGAAAGCCTGCTGTCTCTTTAGGACTTGAAATATTAAACCTTATGGCGAATTTTATAATTTCTGAGAAAGGATATACCTCCTCTTCTACTTTTGAGAAAATATGTAATTAATCTTCTGTTATTTCTGCATGTAACTGTTCTTCTAATGGTATTATTCTAAATTGTTTCAGCTTTACTGTTCTGTTCTTAACAACCAAAATCCAACAGTCTCCTTAATTAGCTGTGTCGGATCATAGTATTCGTAACTATTATCTTAATTCTGACAACTTATTATAATGAAAGGAAATCATATCTTAATTAATATATTATAATGGAAGATGACAGCAGGAAAAGTATTATCCGTTCTCCCTATTTTTCCAAATTTTGAATTGTTTGATCTAATTTTTTGATTTTTGAGAAGTGAATTTTTTGGCCGAACTAGAAATATCTGAGTCATGCAGGAAAATTCACTTTTGGGTTCTATTAGTAATTCCATGGATGGTGTTGTGGGCTTGATTTAAGGTCATGTTAGTACATGGAAATTTCCTGTTCAATAGAGACTTCAATTTTCTTGTTGCGTTACTTAATATTCAACTTGGATTAAACAATTTTGATAAAATTGTTAATAAGGGTTTGCTCTGTTTATAGATTTGAATTGCAACTTTAATGAAATTGATTCAATTTTTAATTTCCTCTCTCTTTTAACGTTGGTATTTTAATTCTCTGTGTGATAATTTTACTTCAAATGTGATTCGAATATGAAAAAAAAAAAAAACAGTTATCGAAAATAGGGAAAATTTTTTTTGCATTATAGACAATCAATTTACCTTTGTATTTGATAAACTTAACATGAGAAGTAAGTTCACTGTTTATAACTATGATGAAATAGATGAACAAGGAGTAAAAGAAATCAGAAAAACTTTTATATTCGATCAAAAAGTGTGTTTTTGCATTTGCTTTTGTTTTTTTTTTTTTTTTAAATATATATATATTTTTTGCATTTGCTTTGTTTTTTTTTTTTTTTTAAATATATATATATAGATAGATAGATAGTAATTTTCTATTATATATTGTTGGAATTGATGAGATATAATAGTAATTTTCTAAAATCTGATTTACAAGAAATAACTTCAAGAAAATATTTAGTAAAAATTTATAACATTAAAATCAATGATTTTTCGGATTTGATTGCAATCCACTGGTTTGATCAGGGCAGATTTAAATGTATAAAATCATGATATAATACCTAAACGATTAATTGGTTTAAAAAAACTAATTGAAAAACCATAAGCACAAGCAAATAAAATCTTAAAATTAGAAATTATTGGTAAAAACAGGATGCTTTAATAGTGATCAGGTTTAGAATACAACACAGTATCTTACTGTTCTTCCTCAGGATAAATATATGGTAATATTTAGGGAACTCCTTTCATAAACCTAATAACACCATTAGTTCAGTTAAGAAGATTGTTTTAAATTCAATAAGAAATAGTAAAAGCTAGGTTAGAATTTTCACAGGAAAAACCTAAAGGAAGCAATTAACAATTTATTAAAAAGCTCATTCAATTTAAAAATATTAGAGATTAATTCTTAATAAAAATCTAAAGAAGAAGATCTTAAACGTATTGGTTAAAAACTAATGAAAAAAATAGCACAGGCAAATTAAAAAAATCTAAAATTAGAAAATTATTGGCTAAAACAGATGCTTTATAGTAAAATCAAGGTTTAGAAATAAAACACAGTAATTCTTTTAAATTAGAAATTATTGGTAAAACAGATGCTTTAATAGTAAATCAAGGTTTAGAAATAAACACAGTATTCTTACTGTCTCCTCAGATAAATTATATGGTAATATTAGGATTAAATAGAATTAATCCTAATGTGTGTCTAAATAGAATTAAAAAGCAATTAGAAACTGACTTTATACAAAATAAAATAAAAAATTTAAGAGAATATATGAAAAATAAACTTTGTGCTAATCATCCAAATGCTTTTTGGAATCGCAAACAACATGTAGTTGATTTATGATTTACCATATGAAAAAGATTTTGATGAAAAAACTATCTATGATATCCAGAGTAATTTTCTAAATCTATATATATATATTTCAAAAATGCTTACAAACAAAGATGCAAATGGTTATTATTCTTAACTCTCTGTGTCTTTTTTTTTTAAAAAAAAAGAAAACCACAATAACAGCAAACATGCGAAGAAGTCAAAAGTTCATTGCTTTGTGGTTTTACAAGAAAGATAACAATCTCAACTTATGATCAAGAACATGATTGACTGAAAATGATTGAACTATAATTTGTAGACTTTGAATCAGAATTATAAAATGTAAAATCATGATTGAATTAGTTAACATAGCAGATTGGTGGAAGATCAAGAGAGCTCCAAAGTGACAATTCACCATCATTGCTCAAAGAAGAAGAAGAAGAAGAAGAAGAAGAAGAAGCTGATGATGATGATGATGATTCCAATTCAATTGAGCTTTGTGGATTCTCTTCTTGTTTCTTTTCCATAGCTTCACTAATATTGTCTTGTTCTTCCTCTTCTTCTTCTAATACTTTCCTCTCCTCCTCTTTCTTCTTGTTACACGCGTTTCGCAGATTAGTTAACTGACTAACAGACCTCTCTCCTGATCCAAGCTTTAACCTTAAACACTCAGGAATACCATTAAAAGCATAAAGAGAAGCTGAGAATTTCCTTTCATATTTCATTCTCTTCATTGCAGCTCTAAGCATAGAAGGCTCATCCCCGTAGCAGGTCTCTGGTTCCACTGGTTCTTCCATCTCTTCAAAAATATCAAAAGGAGAACAGTACAAAGATGATTGATCAACATTATCAATAAACTGAAAATCCAAACCCCCCATGTCTACTTCCCCATCTTCTTCGTGAAAATTAGTATTATTAACATCTCCACTGCAAAAAGATTGAGTTATATGATCATCAGTAATCCAGTTACAGTCAAAATCAAGAGCTCTGTCTTCTTCTTCTCTCTCATCAGTCAAACAGGAACCGAACTCAACACTCGAACAACTACCGACCATGTGATCATTGTTACTGATATAATGATCAAAATCTTGAGGAGGATCGCCATTAATAAGAAAATCAGTGAACTGGGTATGATCTGCAGAAAAATCTGTCACTACTTGTCCTTCAAGTAATTGTTGCTTTTCTTGCTTCTTCTTATTGATGACAGAAGCCAAAGATGATGCCACCATAGTCGAGGTGGACAAAGGAGGAGAAGGGCAATTACCAGAGTTGTTGTTACTATTTCTTGCTTTGAGTCTTTGAAGAAGAAGATTGGTAATCTTAGAAGGAAGAGCTGAAGTCGTTGCAGAAGACGAAGGAGAAGAAGGCCAAAAATTGGTTCTTGTATTAGCTCCGCGAAGTAAACAAGCAGCTTCATCATAAGCTCTTGCAGCTTCTTCTGCAGTATCAAAAGTACCTAACCATACTCTTATTTTTTGTATGGTATCTTTAATCTCAGCTACCCATCTTCCTGATGGCCTTTGCCGGACACCGACGAATCGCTTTCTTGCTCTCCTTACTCCTCCTATTGCTGCTTCTTTCACCATCTCATCCCATGCCATTGTTCCTTGATCAGAACAACTGTTATTTTTGTCCTCCAAGTTTTCTTGACCAACTTTTCTTTTCCTACCCATATTTTAGTTTCTTTTGTGTGTTTTAAGGGTTATTGATTGTGTTGGTTGTTGGGATGGAATGGTGAGAATTTATATGAAGAGAAATGGAGATCCTGTCAAACGAGGAAGAGAGCTGAAAGAGTCTCCATTATCTTGTTCATATCTTTTTGTTGCTTTTCAAGTTTGGCCTCTGCTTAAACCAAATGTTAAGCCTCTCTTGAATTGGAGTGAGAGAGTACCAAATGGAAATATTCTCTTGAATATGGTTCAATTCTTGTAAAATTTTCTTTGACTTGGCCAAACTCCCCTATAGGTTCCATTTTCTATACCATTATTTTAAGATTTTTCTCAATTTTTACAATGGGAATCTAATCTAATTCCGGAATCAGTCATTCAATTTTATTTTATTTTTTTTATATTTTAGGGATATAAACATACATTTAGTTTCATCACTTGTGTAGCTGCGGATTAATTTTTTTTTTTAAGTTATCAAAAATATTCTACCACCTCTCATTTATCGATTGGATGAAAATTTAATCATTTTTCATGTTCAGTAATGATTATGTTATGTTTAATGAAAATATAGTTGGCTAACTTGAAAAATTTTTTATTATAATAGGTAAAATGTCTCCCGAGTTTATTACGGGCAAAATTTGCTATATTGAACTTATTGAAAAAATTTTAAATATTGTGTTCCATAAAAATTATATCAAACTCAAATTAAAAAATTAATTCACCTGAAAAACAAGATTCTCAAAAGAAATATTTTTCTTAATAAAAAGCTCAATAATGTTAAATACACCAATAAAAATTTATAAAGAAAACATTCAAAGTTCAAGAACTACTAAACCACACCCTAACTAATTAATTCAAGAACTAGTTATCTAAATAAATAAAAAAAAAAAAAAAGAAAATAATGTCACTTTCAAAGCTCAAAAAGGCCAAGAAAATTACATTGTATAAGCAGTCAAGCAAAGCAGCATCTTATCAGTATGCCTTTGTCATCGTTGTTGAAAGTCAACAAATAACGATTTTCCCAAAGCCCCACCACTATGAGAATGTCCAGCCCACTAATCTTAATCTTAATCTTAATCTTTTATTTATTTATTTATTTATTTTCTTATGATCATGGAGCTCTTTCTCAAATTTAGATTGTGTTTTCTTTCCCGCATTCTCCAACAACAATTGGTAGAGAAAGAAAAAAAATAATAATTACCAAATTATTTATTTAATTATATGATGTATAATTAAATTTATAAGAAAATAAAAAAAATGAAAAAGAAGATCTTGTGTGGTGGCGACTGTACGGGCGTAACAAAAGAAGAGACGAAGAATAGCATATGCAAACAAAATTCACCTTTTGTGTTTGTTACGTTGGTGTTTTATATCCTTGAAATTAACCAATCTTCAATTAACAATTAAACAACTAAACCTAATTAAAAATCTTTTTTTCCATCCATGTTTAACCGATCAATTATTATTTTATAATAGAGAAATCAAGTATTGTCTGATTGATCGTATCATTAGTATTAATAATAAAAAAGTGATTTCAAATTTAAATCATTTTTCATCAATTTAACGAGATAAAAAAGAATTATCGCATATTAATACTGAATTATATTATTTTAAGTGAACCGATCAAACATCTCAATAAATTAAAAAAAAAAAAAAAAAAGAAAATACTGAATTATATTATTTTAAGGAACCGATCCAAACATCTCAATAAATTAAAAAGATAAAAAAAAAAAAAGAAAAGTAAAAACCATCACGCCAATTAAAAAAAAAAAAAAAAAAGAAAAGTAAAACCATCACGCCATCAAAGTTGATCATGATCTCAATCATTCGTCATTGGAACCAGTTAATAAGTGATTAATTAATCAATTTTTCCTTTTAAAAACGTTTTTTAAGCTATCGAGTACTACAAAAATTAGGCAAGTGGAAGGATCTAGTGTTGCAAGAAATTGTCAATGGCTTTTCTTGTTCGTCCACGTGGAGGTCCCACAGCTAATCAATTGTCTATCTCTTAAACAAATAATAAGCATATAATTATTTAATAATAATAATTGAAGTCATAGCCTATAAGGCTTAGAAGTTAGAATAGCATAATTATTTTTTTTTTTTCCATAGCTCTTGAACATTAGGAGAGAATATCAGGTTGAAAGTTTTTTTTGTGGTCTGTTAATTAGGAATGGGGATGGCTTCAGAACCATAGGTTTCAATTCTACAACTGCTGGCTGCAATTCTAAAAAAGGATGGTACTAGAATCAAATTGTTCGAGTGTTCTAGAACCATGGTTGAAATCAAAATCAAATAACATTTTTAAGGTTTTTTCTTATTTTCTTAGTTTTGTTGCATGAATAAATAATAAAAGAATAATAATTAGTAATAGCATTGGAAAAGAAAAAACTAAAAGAGTTTAAAAAATTATCAACAAATTAAAATTAATTAGTAATAGTATTTCTTTTTCTTACAATTTCAAATGGAAAATATTATTTTCAAATCGGAACCAATCATTTCAGTTTAAAAAAATGAGGAACTAAAATTAAATCATAAACGGACGATTTTGATTTAATCGTTTCTTGATAAGCTTTAGCTCAATAAACATCGTTTAAAAAACGACCACTTCCATTGAAGAGCGTCGTAAAAAGAAAATGATGGCTTGGCGAAAGTCGTTTCCTTGATAGTAGTTTCATAAGTTGTGCGGTGTTCATAAAAATGCACTTGATCTGAAAACGACTATTACTAGGGCGTCATTTATTTAAACGATAGTTTGACGGTCGTTTGAATGCAGGTCGTTTCAAGATACGAGTGATCGTTGGCGAAATGCACGTCGCCTAGAACTATACCTTAGTATTCTGAAGGGAGAAGGTTATTTATTCAAACGACCGTAGTTCTGAGACGGCAGCATGAATTCCGGAGGGTGCATGTCATCACTCGCTTTCTGTTTTGAACGCCTATGCTCTTTTCAGCACAAGGGGCTGTTGTGCGCAAATACGGCGAGACGTTTTAGGGTGCAACCATTTTCCCACAACAACAGAAAGGATCTGCTGGAATTGTCAACCAACCAGTAGTCTATTCAAAGGCTCGTATCTCCATCTCTTTCTCTTCCAATGCACGTACTTAAACGACACATCGTCTTACTTTATACATAGATTGTTAAATATCAAACACAACATTATGCAAATTGGGAAACGACGATTCCCTCTAAACAAACCAAACGCAAACGAAAAAAGAAAAAAAGGAAAACAAACCATAAGAAAACAGTAGTCAAATACTTTCAAACTTGTTCATGAAGAAGGGGGGCGCTGTGGCTGTCAACATTCCTGCCAAGTTGAACTGGAGCCAAAGCTGGGTCTCGATAAGCTGTAACCAATTTATCATAGAATTCTGCCATATTTGGTTCATTCTGGTCTTCTTTGTCTCTCTTTACTAAACACTGTACAACACATAATATTCAGGTGTCCAGAAAGCAACCGCATAAAATCTATAACAAGTTGCTAAGAAAAAGGTAAACATGGAACTGCAAAAAGGAATGGTATGAAAATAAACAGATACAACATACCTCAGAAGGATAACCGTTGAATATGGGTCGGAACCGTTTCCGGCAGTACTCATTGAAAATAAGTGTAAGAACTGGAAGAGGAATAGTTAAACTGGAAGCCAGAGGAAGATCCTTAATCCCAAATAGGCCAATTGCAATAACATGCATCAGTATCAAGGAAAAAATTGTCGAATTGTGTACTATAGGCCAATACTTTCCACTAGTTTCATACTTGGGTGCATATACATTCAACAGCTGTCAAAAAAAAAAAAAAAAAAAATGACATGTCATCACGCTATGCAAGAAAATGTCGAATCTTTGTTGTACTATTGCGACCAAATACTTTTCCAGATGTATTCATTACTTGGGTGCATATAACAGTCATGCAATCAAGCATGTCACAAAGAAAAGAAAAAAAAAAAAGAGTATAAAGATCAAGTAATCAGCTCCATAAAAAATTATCGCGGAAAATTAACGATAACCCATTATCTGAAACATACAAATATATGAAGCCACAAGTCAATGATTGACATTGGCTAAAAAAAAAAAAAAAAAAAGAGTTCAAATATATAGTCATAAAAATTATCAGCGGAAAATTAAGATAACACCTTATCTGAAAACATACAAATTATCAGGCCACAAGCATATGATGCTTTAATATTTAAAGCCCAGCAAGACAAATTATATTACAGAATGATGATAATGGATGAGCTATCCAAAAATCCAAAAATATGGTTACTTGCTTATTACCACCAAAGCTGAAATTCTGCCAAAAGAAAACTTTATCATCCATCAACTGTATTTTTGTCATACACTTTTTGAACTATACTCTGATTATTATAAAAGGAGTAAGGCCAACATAGTGGATGTGTTAGGTGGGGGAAAATAAAGCGAAGGACTGATTGTGGAAGAATTAATAAATGCAAAGAAAATAAAACAACAAGAATACATTTCATTCACCTGGTTGCGGAAGATGATGTATCCCAGGCAAAAATAAATCAGAAGAAATGGCAAAATCAGTGGAGCAAGGAAAAAATATGTTACACCAAGAAGTCCAAAGAAGAGAATACTGGGAATTTCAGTATAGTATTGAAGTTCTGGGACCTCAAATTCATCATCGTCTCTTCTGGCGCAGCAGAGTCTTCTAATATAACTGCAAACCAGAGGAATCAACCGAAAGAGTTCTGATGATAGGCTTGTCCATCCAGATGTGACAACATATGAAATGAAGAATGACGCCTACATTAGAATAAGAACCTATTATATCTTTTTATCATAACATCAAGAAAATTTTTATTTTTAATGCAAAGTAGACATTTGAAGCGAAGCAAGTATCTAGCTTACTGCAGATAAGTTACTCACCATTAAGTGGTAGCTGGCCACAAATAATTATATCTACCAATTCAGATTGTTCACCAGATAACCAATAGGAGAAACAGTGTATTTATATAATTATAGTATTAAAATGCTAGAATAATACCCATACATCAGATACAATAGTACCTAGTGTACTGAGAAAAGAACCGCACTAGAAAGTGTTTATTCCGTATTTCACAAGCAAACAGCTACCTTTGCAATTGCAAGGTGGGAAGAGACTAACAACACATTGTACTACTTGAGATATGCTGAGAAAGGCCTTTTGCCAGTATGTAGCAAGCAGTCTGGCTTATGCAAAGAATCAAGCCACAATTATTATCAATAACAACAATTTCATCTCAGGGCCATGCAGTAGATTCTCTTAACTCTTACTATAGCATCATAATCTTTCCATACTATGAAATTAATAATAAGGTTATTTTGTTGTCCCAAAAAAATCATAAAGATTCTCTTTTTGCCCCCTCTGGTCCTCACCTCCCCCCTCCAACCATCCTTTTTTCATGTTTCCTGTTATGATCTCAAACATTTTCCTCTACAAGTTGACTCCAAAGAACTGCACTTCATACACATACTGCCTCTTGCTTGCCGAGCATTGTGAATGACAATCTTAAGGGCAATGTGCAATTCAAACTCAGACTTCAAGGATAATTAGCCCAATTTAGCAAAACTGATTGCTTTTAGCTTTCCACTGCCCATCAACCTTAAGGATTTCACATCAAAATCAAATTGCCATGAATTAAAAAAGATTTAATTTTTATGGGCTGTCACTGGAAAGAGGTAATCCCAGTTCACAATGAAATATGCATTGCAGAGAAGAGGCATCATAGACACGCTAAATACAGGGTGATGAGTAGAATATTTCAATGTGATAATGCAGATGCATTCTCACCTGAGATGGAACAGCTTCAGCTAGTACACTGGGAATCTTCTTGGGCTCAAGGAAGACATTGACTTGGTAGAGAGCAGATCCTGATAGTACAGTTGCAAAGAAAATGTTCCATATAGTGAAGAATAACATCTTGATACAAGCACTTTTTTCTATTTGACTATGAGAAATGTATCCTTGCATGGAGGATAGCAATATCATCACTGGTGGCATGAGAAGTAGGAACAACTTAAGAATGAGACTAGGCAGATATCCTGTAATCAGTTGACTGACAACAGTTCTGCAATTCAAACATAGAGGATATTAGTATTGCATCTCACAATAGACATAGTCACTACAAAAACAAAATTCATTTGTTTTTATGCTGTCAGAAGATCTAAATGAACTGTAAATGACATTCTCAAATTCTTGAAACAATTAATTTTCAGTAGTTCGCCAGGTTCTGCTGCTTCTTCAGCTCCATTTACATATTACAAAAAGCAATCAGTCAGTGTACCTCCTACCACATGTTGGAGGGAACAAAGAGGGTATGGAATTAGAAACTGGAAGTTCATCTGAACCTAATATTTTAGCTTTTACTTTTAATGCAAAAATGGATATATAAATGGAAAAAACGCCTTATTTTCAGCGCTTAGTAAGTTATACTAAATGTTTTTTGTTTTTCTAAGCACACATGCATACTAGTGCATGTGCATGGTTGGGTACACAGAGATGTCTAGAAATCATCAGGGGTAATCCTTTACTGGTGTGTCTTATAGATCTGTTGCAGCAGAAAGCTTTATTTCAATATAATGCATTATATTAGGTACATCTACATAATAGTTTCTTGTTCCTAATTTCACAAATAAAGCATTACTGTTTGTATTTCAAAAGTCAATATTCAAACTTCTACCTTAGACATGAATTAAAATAAAGTCAGCTTAAGATATGTTCTTAAACATGATGGTAGTCTGAAAAGATGCTTTGATAATTCAAACTTCTACCTTACACATGAATTAAAATAATTAGCTTAAGATAGGTTCTTAAACATGATGGTAGTCTGAAAAGATGCTTTGATAATTCAAACTTCTACCTTACACATGAATTAAAATAATTAGCTTAAGATAGGTTCTTAAACATGATGGTAGTCTGAAAAGAATAATGAGTAGATGCGCGCAAGATGCTTATGATATTGAACTGGTGTAAACTTAGCATCATGAAAATAAAATAAATAATTTGCATAGATAGGTTTATAAATACATAGATGGTCAGAATCTGAAAAGAATGACTTTAAATACTTTTTAATGTGCGTAATTAATATGACTGCTTTCATTTAACATCACTGTTAACTAGACATCACTATCAAAACCTTATCAAAATAGTATGATAATATATGATTACTTTTTGTTCTTCATATTTTCAACATAATGTAATACGGCTTATATCTGTCTTCTCATGATATCATCATAATTGCAATAACAGCTCTTGTTTCTAAGTTAAGGTAAATATATACAAAAACATGATGGTAGTCTGAAAAGATGCTTTAATAATACTTTTCTATGGTAATAATGATGCTATTTAACCATCACTGCTACATTTCAACTCAACAAAACCTTAATCCCAAACTAGTTGAATCAACTATAGATACTTTTTCTTCATTTTTCAACATAATATACGGCTATATCTCGTTTCTATGTATCATCATCATTGCAATAACAAGCTCCTTGTATTCTAAGTTAAGGCTAAATATATAAATTTACCCTTGAACTTCACGACTTTAACCCCATGGCATATTAAATTTTGTTGGGGATCTATTGTACCCTTCCACTTGTGAATTTTGCACACATTGTGCCCATCCCACTCTAATAACAACAATTGTTGTAGGGTTTTTATCTTTTATATGTAAAGTATAGATATTAAGTGCAGTTAGTACAACTTTTGGAACAATGATTTCACATATTTCAACTATCCAATAAGTGTTTAATTGATCTAATTTTATAAGATGAAACATTCAATAGAATACTTTATACAAGTTGAAGTGTTTAATAATTGCAATTCTAACAGAAGTAGGCATGCCTTTGAAGAACGAAATCAATGAGCAATAGAGTGTTAAATTTCACTTACAGACTAAGTATGCCTTTCAGAAAAGGAAACCAGGTCTCCAACTGCTCCAGATTGGCAAGACCTTGTGCTATTACAACTGGAATAAAGAAGACAATTGTAACAGCAATAAAGGCAGCAATTGCAACCAGCATATATATCCACCTTCTTATGAATGATGCAGAAAAGAAAGGCCAGTGCACATCTTGAGGCTCAGGAGCTCGCTCAGTAACCCACTCTGTTGGATTGACACCCTGTTGAATGTGTAAAGCTACTGCAGCACCAAAACGAGACTTGAATGAAACAAAAGCAGCTGGGACTTCCTGAGAAATTTGAAAGACATAATGAAACAATATGTTGCATCAGCTCTCATTTTCATGTTAACAGGATAACTGAAAAAAAAAAAAAAAAAAAACACCGTTATAGATTGCACAAGTACTTAAAAAGTTCCAAAGACAGCAAGATATGTGGTGGGTAATAGTAAAACAAACAAAACATTCATCTTAATGTGGTGTCAGTTCATATGCAACCTCATTGAATAATAATTCCACAAAATTTAGAAATCTTCTGGAAATATGCAATTCATTCAGATGAAATACGGAAATTAAAAGGAGTCTCAAAACGATCACATGGATAAGATACTGATGGTGCATATTTATGTTTTATCCTATAAAGCAAATTAGGCCACCACTTCATTTCCCAATGCGCTAAAACTCAGGATCCAAGAAGCATCAAATAGAGATTATAAGCATGAATCCTGAAAGCAGCCATTTTATTCCAAATGTTACAACTGTATCCAGATCAGCCTTGCAGAACCTCCTTTGGCAATACTGGTATTGGAGAATGACCTTTATTCAGGGTTAGAGGAGTTGAAAAGCTAATTGGCATTAAAGAAGAAGTTATTTTCTTTTGTATTTAAATTAACTACCAAAGCAATGTCACCTATAAGTCCTGTACTTAAATGGAGGAAGTCCATTTCAAACTATGGTTATTTTTGTTTCAGACAGATGTTACAAACCTCTCCACTCAATGAATGTTGCTCCATCCTCACATTATCTTCCAAATCTTCCAGCTTCTTTTCATAATGGTCAAAGAGATTAACTTTACGTCCAAAGAGTCCCAAAAAGCCTTCACGTCTAATTTTTGGCTGAGGACGATTTTCTGATTTAATGCGTGCAAGCCTTCTATACAACTTTTCTGTATCGTTCTGCATGGATAACACAGTTGTAAGAAAAGCAAAATGTAAAAAGAATAAAATAATGAAAACCACTGGATGTCCAGGCTAAAAACCAAAAATTCCCTAATAAATTTATGATGAATCTCTCAATTCCATGAAGAATGGAGAGTGCAAATTTTGCAAATTGCTGCAAGTTCTTCTGTGAAGGTCTGTCCTCTTATTTTTTCAGGAACATGAAAAACTCTCAGCCAAAAAAGGGTTTGAAGTGTTGTAAACCATTGAAAACGGTACTTTTGTGCATTAGACAACTATTGAGAGAGAAATAACCTCATAATAGTTTATTTCAGTTGTTAAGAAGTGCTACCTTGATGCATTAATGTAAGTTCAACTTTAAATGATTGTCCTATATACATATAATATTTGGAACTGACAAGCATGCACATATAAATAATTAAATACAGGGGACAGTTACGTAGCATATAAATACCAGAAAATTACAAAACCTCATTGCACATGAAATTTAATAATTAAGTAAAGGGTATGTGTCCACCGCAAGCTGAAATTAATAAAATTAATCAGCAGGTCTTCCTCAATGCTTACAATGAGACCTTGAATTTTGCTTGTTTGATGAATCACTGAATTTGAAAGATAAGTAGAAGGATGATTCTCTGTGAAAAAGGTCTCAACAACTTCACTAAAGCTTCTGCCGGACAATTTAGGGATACCACGGACTAATATGGTAAACTGATGTGGCTGAGGTTTGGACGAATAGAAGCAAGAAATCCTTTTTGATGAAATATAGCTGTACTCCTGCACATAACCCCAAATTAGAGTTTCTGGATGCTTTTAGTCTCATGAACTAGAAAAGCGTGATGACATTAGCTGAAGAAAATTACTTACACTATAAAGTAGATAGCAGACAACGCCTGTAAAAATATATGCAGCACAAAAGTGAATCCATAACCTTGAGAAAGGTCAAAACTAATAATCAGGGTTTCCTTAACATTCATTAGCAGAATGCTAGTTTAAAATGCAATAAACATCATATAACAAAGAGAATCTAGCAACAATTGATAGCTTATACTTCTGTTGTATCAATTATCATTGCAAGTTGAATGGCAATATGAAGGAGGGGAATATTAATAAAATGAAATGTGCAACTGACTGTAGTGAAGCCAATACAAGAAGGGGAAAAAATTAGAAATATGAAGGATGAGAACAATAAAGAAAGATAGAATGAGAACAATACGGAAAGATGCCTAGTTAAGATTAAAATAATATAACAGCTAATAGCATTTTTATAAAAAAATGGAACAAGCATATTAAATATGTTCACTCCAGTTATCGCTCTAGCTATTGGCAATTTTCATCACCCCCACTTATGGCGAAACCTCAACCTAAAATTGCACTCAGTTTCACAGATTTAAATGTACTTGTATATGCAGAATAAAAGCCAAAGACGAGATATGCTTAGTCAATTCCCATTATCACTCATGAGAAGTGAACACAAAACCAACTAAAGGAAAAAAATGGAAATGTGAAAACTACACTTTTTAAATTTGATGCATTTACAAGTGACAATTACTCAAACATAAAAATCTTCAAATAATGAAACAATTCCATCAAATTTGACATTTCTATTCACCGGGGCAGCATAGATATACTTACCACTTAGAACCGCTATTAACATTGGATATGCTGAAAGAGTCCAAAGACTTGTTTGGCAAATCATAAAAATCATCAATGCTTAACTGACTCCCAAGATAATTAACAGGAAGAAGAACACAAATCCCAATAATCCCACCAAACGCAAACACTTTCAAGCTGCAACCAAAGAAAACAAATAATTAAAACTATAACACAAAAGGACAATCAAAATCCAATGAAACAACTCGAAGTTACCTAAAAATGAAAATGCGTATGAAGACTAAAGCGTCCAAACCAGAAATTGACAGTAGCTCTTCTTCAGTGAGTTGCCATGCGTTTCTAACCCAACTAGCAGAAGGCAATAACCTTTCTAAATTGAATAAATCATCTGTCTGTTGCTCAGATTTCTGCTTATCGATCAAACGAGGAGCATAGACGAAAATATTTCCCGGTTGTTTTCTCAGTATAGAATAGAGAGTGAAAAATAAGAAACAGAGGCCCAAATTGATCCCAACTGATGTTAATAAGGCTGAAAGTAGCATTTCCGTTTAAGTTCTAAACAAGCTGCACCATAGATAGACCAAACTATTAAGCTATAAAAGAAAATTCTTGCTCTCAGACAAAGAAGATACCTCACAGGCAAGGTTGCTTGCTTGTTTGAGTCAGAAGGTGCTTCGCTTTCCCAAAAACAAAAATTTAAAAGTTCAAAATAATTAAAAAGGTTTCAAATGATTAGAAGGATAAATTACTCGCTCCGTCCTTTTACATAGAAAAGTTTATATTTTTAGTCTTCTTTTTATGTACTATCTTTATATATAATATTTATCACATTTAAAATTTTATATTACTTAAAAAAATTATTAAATTTATTTAAATTAATATAAGGGCAGAATGTTTATTATTCACGTGTTAAAGTTACTAACAACAACGTCTCGGACACGTCGCCAGATATAGGGATAGCTGACAGCAAGGACTGAGTGTAAGCCGCTATAAAAGAAAGGTTTTGCTCTCGACAAAGGAAGATACAGTCACGACAACGGTTTGATTGCTTGTCGTGATCTGAGATCACGAAGGTGTCTTCCGGGGTTCCCAAAAAAGACAAAAATTATAAGAGAGTTGCAAAATCAGAATTAAAAAGGTATCAAATGATTAGAAGAGGATAATTAGTCAGACTCTGTCCGTCACTTTTAACATAGTAACAAGTATTTAGTAGTTTTTAGTCTGTCGTTTTCTAATATGTACTATTCTTATATTATAAAGATATTTAATCAGACATTTAAATATATTTATATTGGGTTAGAAAATTATATAGATCTTATTTAATTATAATAAATTATCTAAAGTAAATGATAGATATATAATTACTAGTAATTTAATATGGTGAATTTATTAACATAGAGATCCATTAGTACCACATTTATATTAATGTTATTTGTCGTATACAAAGAGTAAAAGCGAGATGCTTAAAGGGAATAATTATTAACCTCATTGACATCGAAGAATATAAGACTATAAAACGTAACTTTGCAAAATTATTAAATTTATTTAAATTATAATAAATTATTAAGTAAATTGATTATATTACTCTTAATTTAATATTAATTTTTTAAAAATCATTAAATTAAATTAATAGTTATTTGTCGTATACAAAGAGTAAACATGTAAAAAAATATTAATTACTCATTGAAAATGACAAATAGAATTAAAAACTAATTTTTTTAAGTTAAAAATTAATATATTTCGTAATTTAAAAAAAAATAATGTTTGTCATAATTTTCAAAGACATGCATGATTAATTATGTGATAAAGTAAAGAAGAATAATTAGTTGTGGGAATATATATTTAATGAATTAATTTCCCTCTGAAATTAAGATTCTTTTGCATCCATTTATGTATCTAGAACCGTTTAATGTTATATTTGTCATTTTGGATAATATGATCCAAGGTCAGCCAATTAACACTGCTCTTTCTCAAATATGATAAATATTATAAAATGGAGGTAGTAGAAATTTTTGCCTAATTTTATAATTTTAGAAACCATGCCAATATGAAAAGTTTATCTTACCATTGTTTTAATTCTTTGTGGAGTTTTTATTGTGGTAGATTCTCAAAATGGTGGCAGACAAAAATATAGATGAGTATTTAATGTGAAGAATTTTTAGATTGAGTTTTTTATATTAATTTTCGCTAAAAAGAAATGTACTCATACAGGTGATATCGGTGTTGATTAAAATAGAGTTTGAATAAAAAAATGCCACAAAATTTTTAAGTTGACTACATTAAAATGAATTTTTACAGACTTTGCCTAATATTCGACAAATTATTTGATATTTAAAACATGTTTTCAATAACTAAATAGAGTTTGAAATTACATGAGCACGAATTTTTATATTTTTCATGCAATTTTTCCAAATTAAAGATAAAAAAATGGGTCAAAGCATAAACTTCACTTTTTGCTACTGTTTGTATTCCTTCATTTCAACAAAGTATTTAAAGCATCATTGAAAATTGAAAAATATAATTGAATGTATATATTATATTAGAGGAGGAATAAATGAGATATTAGGTTAACTTAGGAAAAAAAAAGGCAAAAAAAGTTAATTAAATTATTTTCTTAATCTTGATGAAAAATTAGTTGTTCCCATATAAAAAAATAGAGGGAATATTATTTAGTCATTATATTAGTCATAATTATAATTTTATCCGTTTTGTTCGATAAATATATTGATTAATCTTTTGACTAACTATATGTAAACATATTACCGCTTAGTTTAATATTATAGGTGCTAAACTTACAAAGTATAATTCAGTTGACAATGCAAGCTGGACATGTAGAAAAAACTATCGTGTTCGATTGCCACTAAACGCATTTATAGGGAGGGAATACATCTATAGAGGGGTGAAGAGCCTTAACCGTAACTAAATTTTGAGTCGAATTAAACGGTCCCTAATAATAAGTTCTGGATACCGGCGTTGTTTAAAAAAAATTAAAAAAAATTATAGATGCTAAATTTCAAAGACTAGTCAATATAATCATTATTATCGTTTCTTAATATATTCACAAATTTGTACCTTACAAAATAATTACTACATCACAAAATATAATTCGTTTTAATTATATGAAGGAGTAATAAATAATATATTTTTTTTCAATTTTATCCTTATTGATACTATTAGATACAATAATTATCTTTAAGTAATTAAATATAAAGCATTAAATGGTAATTTATTAAAATTAAAAAATAAATTTGCTTCGCTTGTATAATTAATAATGTTAGCCCGCAGATTGATAGCCCAACGACAACGTGAATGCTTTTAATATATTTTTGTTTTAATTGTGTCGTTTTGACGCTTCATTTGCAGTGGATCTCGAGCCAGACAACCTGGAGTACTATTTTTAGATGCTATTAGTATTAATTACTAATACTAATTGTGGTAGCACAAGCACCATCTCCTTTTTTATTAGTTTTAAGAGTGTAAATACAACTACACATTTACTATATATTGATTCGATGAATATTTTATATTATTATGTTTTTTTTTGTTTTTTTTTATTTTTATGATTTAAGTTAATGAAAGCTTATCATTTACCTAATCCATCAAATTGAGGTTGAGGATGGGCCAAACCGGGAGTGGGGTATTGGGCTGAGCTCATCTAGAGTTGGGTTTCAAAGCAACTAATCAACAACTACAAGTCATTATAACAGTAATACCGGATATTCCCCGCTTCCACGGATAGGAGCAAGTCTTATCCTTACCGAAAAATGCACACAAGAAGAGAACTACAATTACAGTTGTCAGTCGTTCTTTGCATTCAATAATCTAAGCCATATTGTACTTCCCGTGTGACTTTATCATTTACCCTTCGCTCCCATTGTGCACCGTTCTTACCCCACGCGAACGTGCACTGCCATTTTGATCGTTCGAATTTCTACAAACTGCGACCATCACCTCCACTGCCACCACCAAATTCCGGCTTTTAGAGGGTCCCACGCCTAGTTCCAGCTATCTCCGCCGCGATTTTGCCTCCGATTGTACCAGGTTCTCTTAATGCATCGTCTAATCTTAATTCATTTAGTTCATTGAAGGATCTTAGCTTTAACTTGAAGATTATTGGTGCTAAACTAAACGTGTTTCGATCGACCTTCTTGATTCAGAAATTGGAAGGATGAGCGAAGTGTTTGAAGGATACGAGCGCAAATACTGCGAGCTCTCGGCGAATCTTTCGAGGAAGTGTACGGCGGCTGGTGCTCTTGATGGAGGTACATTTTTGCCTGGAGATGTGCTCGCGGTGGATTTTTATCTTTATTGCTCATGGGTTTCACTTTAGTGGAATTCTTTTTTTTTTTTTTTTTAATTGTTATGAGGTTTTATTTGGAGAAACATGAGGTTGTTAAATATAGATTCAAATTTCCTTTTCTATTAAGGGTTCTAAGTAGTTTCCCTTTCACCTTTGCGAGAGGATTAAGCTTACTGAGCTTAAAATTGATTAAACCTATTAATCACTAATGCTTGCTTGATTAAACTTATTAAGCTTTTTATTGTATTTCAATCTGCTATAAGTTTTGAATATGATCTAATTTGTGAAATCTAATGTGCATCTTATTCCTTTCCTCTGTTCAAAATTTTAATTTTGATAGTGATTTAATCATAACAAGGACAATTGATGCTTATTAATTTACAATACTGGTCATCCTGTAGAGCAAAAGAAGCAAAAGCTTTCTGAAGTAAAAGCTGGGTTGGACGATGCAGACTCTTTGGTATCAATTTGACTTATTAAATGGTCTATTGCTTTAGGCTTTTCCACCTATATGCTTCGTTGTTAACTATGATATGCTGTCCATATTTCTCCAGATTCGCAAAATGGACCTTGAAGCAAGAAGTTTACAACCAAATGTCAAGGCTGTTCTTCTAGCTAAGTTGAGGGAATACAAGTCGGATCTGAACAATCTGAAAGGTGAAGTTAAAAGAATAGCATCTGGTGGCCTAAATCCAGCTGCCCGAGATGCACTGCTGGAATCAGGGATGGCTGATGCACTCACAGTATGTATTATTCTATATACCTTTTTTCAATATGGTAACAGTTCCAAGTGCAATGGCAATTCAGTTGTCAGTAATGTGCTTGTCATACATGCCCTTATTTATTGAAGTGAAGGGTGAATGTTTCTTTTAATTGCTTTTACTTGACAGATTATCTGCAGATTAACATTTTGCTTTAGTATGTAAATTTTTTGATACTTTTTTGTAGTTATCACTGTTTGGTTATATAGCTGTAGAAAGACACCTGGTTGCTGATTTTGGCATACACTTAGAAAAGGGGTTTTGGTTGCAAAAGTGAGGGTGTTGTTTTGTGTATTTTCTTCCTTGTTATCTTATTTACTACATGTTCGGTGGCTCCGTTAAATTGATGCATGCAATTGTTCAGGGTGCCAGCATAAAATCTTAAATCCACTTAGCCTCATCTTGATACAAATGGTTGTTTTAGTCATCTATACCAGGGTTAAGGAATGGAGAACCTCCAAGCTAAAGTTCTATGTCACTTGTTAATTTGTTATGTTTCTGTAAATTCTACCATATTGTTTTGATCTAATCTTTCCTTTTTGATAGTTGAATATGTCTGTAACTTATCATTGATGCGACATTTACAGGCCACAGCTGATCAGAGATCAAGATTAATGATGTCGACAGAAAGATTAAATCAGTCCAGTGACAGAATTAAGGACAGTAGAAGAACCATGCTGGAAACTGAAGAGCTTGGTGTTTCGATTCTTCAAGATTTGCATCAACAGAGACAGTCTCTCTTGCATGCCCATGACACGGTACCCTCCACTAAGTTTCTAATTTTCGCTTCCTAATTTTAGTTCCATTGGATATTTTTGTGGTTTTTGCTGATGCTGAATTATAGCACACCATCTCCTTGATACCAACCACTTCTTTTTTCTTGCTTATATTTCTAAACATTAGTGCCGAGAGTTGAACTAGCACATGACTGTTAGTTACATTTCTGTCAAATTCTAGATGTCACGGAACTAGCAATACCAAACACCACCCATTTTATTTGATGTGTGTTCTCTATCCTGCAGCTGCATGGCGTAGATGACAACGTAGGCAAGAGCAAGAAAGTATTAACTAACATGACCAGGAGGATGAACCGGAACAAGTGGATGATTGGTGCTGTTGTTGCAGTCCTTGTGGTTGCCATCATCTTGATCTTGTACTTCAAACTCAAATAAGCCAAGACATTCCCTCTCGTTTGCTCTCTGAGTGTTTTATGGGGATTTTTTTTTTTTTTTTTTTTTTTTTTTTTTTTTTTTTTTTGTGTTGTCCTTGGTTATCGTGTGGTATTTGCATTGAGTTTTTGAAAACATATTTGATTTTATCTAACTGCTGCTGTACTTTCCATCCAAATTTAATTTTTTTTTTTTTTTTTTTTTTTTTTGTGTTGTCCTTGGGTTATCGTGTGGTTTTGCCATTGAGTTTTGAAAAACATATTTGATTTTATCTACTGCTGCTGTACTTTCCATCCATTTTTATCCTGCAGGGTTGATTTGGGGATATACCTTAAATGTACATGGCCTTTTATGTCTGTTCGAACTTGATAATACTTTTCTTTAATTATCTTTTTTTTTTTAAAAAAAAAAATTATTTGGATTAGTGCTGCCTTCTGTCCTTGGCCGGTAGAGCTGCTCAAAATAAAAGGTTGGGGCTTGTAGCGAGCTTCGTTCCATATCCCATTAGAATTTGACTGTAATAACTCAATTCTATTTATTATATTCTTTTAGGCAACGTAAAAGCGCGGGTGTCGTAATTCTCAACGAGTCTTTGGGTAAAATCTACAAAAAGAATCCAAATTAATCTCAACCTCCTTATGAAATGCCTCACCCTTCCATTAACCCCTCACCATTTCCGCTCTCTTATCCGCTCATGTGCCCGCCAGTCCGCTCTCTCTGCTGGAGAACAACTCCATGCTATTATTCTGACAACTGGCGTCGCCACCTCCCCAAACACCTTCCTTCTCAATGCCGTTCTCCACATGTATGTTCAATGCGGCATTACCAGCAGTGCACACCACCTGTTTGATCAAATTCCCCACTCACACAAAGACATAGCAGATTGGACCTCTCTCTTATCTTGCGTTACAAGACACAGCAGCACTCCTGGGGCTGCTTTTTCTTTGTTTAAAGAAATGCGCAGAGAAGGAGTCGTGCTTGATGATGTAGCATTGCTTTGCGTGTTTAGTTTGTGCGCGCGCGTGAGGGATTTGGAGATGGGGAGGCAAGTGCACAGTTCTCTGGTGAAAATGGGTTTACGGTTTAGTGTTAAGACTTCCAATGCGGTAATAAACATGTACGTGAAATGTGGGTTCATAAGTGAGGCAAGAAGAGCTTTTAATGAAATGGACGAACGGAATGTAGTGTCATGGAGTGAATTATTAGAGGGAGTGGTGAATTGGGAGGGGGTAGAGAAAGGAAGAATGTTGTTTGATAAAATGCCTGAGAGAAATGAGGTTGGTTGGACTATTATGATTTCAGGGTATGTGGGAAGTGGGTTTTGTAAACAGGGGTTTCTTCTTTTATCTCATATGGTTTCAGGGTTGAGGTTAGGGTTAAATTATGTTACACTCTGTTCAATTTTATCAGCTTGCTCACAGTCAGGGGATGTAATGATGGGAAGGTGGGTTCATGTTTATGCGTTGAAATCAATGGGAAGACAGATGGATATCATGGTGGGTACATCCTTAGTAGACATGTATGCAAAATGTGGTAGAATAAATACGGCATATGAAGTTTTCGAGTATCTTCCAAGAAGGAATGTGGTGGCATGGAATGCAATTCTTGCTGGTTTGGCAATGCATGGGAAGGGTAAAATTGTGTTGGATATGTTTCCAGAGATGATTCAAGAAGCTAAGCCAGATGATTTGACCTTTATGGCAGTGCTAAGTGCTTGCAGCCACTCTGGTTTAGTCAATCAAGGTTGCCATTATTTTCATCACCTTGAATCTGAACATGGTGTAATACCTAAAATAGAACACTATGCTTGTATGGTGGATCTTCTAGGTCGTGCTGGTCGCATAGAAGAAGCCCAAATTTTGATAAAGAAGATGCCAATGCCTCCAAATGAGGTGGTTCTAGGATCTCTTCTAGGTTCTTGCAACGTCCATGGAAAGCTACAGCTTGGAGAACAGATTCTGCAGGAGCTGATTCAGTTTGATCCACAAAATACTGAGTATCATATATTGCTTTCAAACATGTATGCTTTAGCTGGAAAGCAAGACAAGGCGAATTCTCTTCGGTATGTCCTTAGTAGCAAGGGCATAAAAAAGGTGCCAGGAATGAGTTCTATTCATGTTGATGGCCAAGTTCATCAGTTCAGCTCTGGGGATAAGTTACACCCACGAACCCTGGAAATTTACCTGGCGTTAGAGGATATGATTCAAAGGTTGAAATTAGCCGGTTATGTTCCTGATACCACTTGCCAAGTTTTTTCTGGTTGTGATGGTAGGGAGGGTAACACAGAGGAGAAGGAACAGGCACTCTTCTCCCATAGTGAGAAGCTAGCAATGTGTTTTGGGCTGATAAGCACAAGACCTGGTTCGCCTCTGTATATATTCAAGAATCTGCGAATTTGCCAGGATTGTCATTCTGCTGTCAAAATTGCTTCTGAGCTATATAACAGAAAAATTGTTGTTAGGGATCGTAATCGCTTTCATTGTTTCAAGCAGGGTTCATGCTCTTGTTCTGATTATTGGTGAAGTTAGGTGTAAAATGTAAACAATTAAATATTCAAAACATAAAGTTGTTCAAAACCCAAAAGAGAAATAAAGAAATAAGGTTCACGTTAGCACACCAGTTCAATTTATCTCGATTCATTTGAGTATATAAGTTCTGCACTGACCCAAGGAAAGAGAACAATTCTGGCTGTGGTATACTTTATTTCTTGGATAGGATAAGCTATGTAGTCCAAAATTCTGATTTTTGACCTTTGTCTTTCAATAACATTGAAAATAGAAACATAAATTTCCAACTTGGGGATGTAGCTCAAATGGTAGAGCGCTCGCTTTGCATGCGAGAGGCACGGGGTTCGATCCCCCGCATCTCCATTTTTCATTCAATATTATTTTTTTTTCTAATTTCATGCCTTGCAAATGGTTATTAATGCTGAAGTTAAGTTTATATTTTTCTTGCCAGAATTACATAATGCAAAAAGACTATCTCAAAAATTTCAAAATCACAATTGCACACAAATTTCCAAATTTCAACTATCTATTTCTCCACTAAAGTTAATAATCTTTTCTCTAAGTTTCTCAAAACAATGAAACTGTAACATGCTCCATTTCCTCTGCTGTAATAATAGTTCAGACCAGATTCTTAAGCCTTCCTCTTTTGAATTCACTGTAATCAGCGAGCAGGCTACCATTAACTTTATGCTTCATGTCTTGCACTAGTCGCGTTAAAACCTGTTGTCATAATAGAAAATGTTAAATAGATTGGTCAGCACAAAATACATATGATCTTATAACTTTCTGCTAAAGGGTTTCATCGCTTAACTGTTTCTGCAACATTTCTGCGAATATCTTCAGGAACCAAAGCAAGCACAGGAGGAAGAACAAAGCTTATGTTCATCTCTAGTTGACCTTTCAACCGTGTTCTTGCTCCTCCGATTCGATCAGCATACAATGCTCCTTTTACTCCAAGTGAAAAATGAGATGGTTCAAGAACATTATCAAGTCCTTCAAGTTTCCATCTTATCTACATAACAAGATTTTTTGTTTTCAAGATCAACTTTACATATTCTAATAATATAAGTTCCAAACAATTAAAATACAAGTTCGAACTTCAATGTTGAACAGACTCTGTAATGCTCATGGTTAAGCGATTAGACTAACTTACAATATCGAGCTCGAGGACCTTGGAGATATGTTTTGGAATTTCTGGTGGATAATCTTTGCCTCCTGATTTACATCTCAACCTCATGTCTACTTCTGGCAGGACAGTAAGAAACAAGAAATTAATGGGTAACATCTGAATTCTCCATTCTTCCTGCAAAAATCAAATGAGAGTGAAGCAAGATGAATGTAACAATAGAAATGAGTAAAACCAAAAAATGTACTGCTTGTAATATTTAAATAATCATCAATTTCAAGTACTCTCAAGTTGAAAACTAATATAATTCTTGAATAAATACTACTGAAAAACACAACATAAAGAAAAAAAACACTAAAACAACGGATTCTGAATCGTTTATTGAATTGAATGACATAAAATTTCTAATAGTTTAATTAATTAAATTAACAACAAAATGAAATCAATTTGTACAAACTAAAAGAGAACTAAATAAAAAAATTTATATATATTAAAAAAACCTCATTGAGTTGTTGACTCCTCCTTTTATCAGGAAACATTGCTTTGAAAACTCTGCGCTTATCCTCCAAATATGTATCAAAGGAAGCCTGCAAAAGAAGAAAAAACAAAAATACAAAACAAAAACATTAAAGGGAGAAACTAAAGAGAGGGAAAGAGAGATAAAGAAGGGAAATGGTTACCCCAGGAGACTCATAGAGTGGGATATCAGTAGAGATTCTTGATGAATACTTGGCAGGCTCAACTGCCATCTGATTCTTGATCAATGGCCTCCATGATTTTTTATCACCCACAGCGCAGCATTGCCATTCTTGCTTCTTGGTGAAGCTGAAAGTTCCCTTCCATTTCTTCCCAATAGTGTAATTGCATGGAGCAAAGGAAGTTGTTGGTGCTGCAATTTCACCCATTTAAAAAAATTAATTATTTTTCATTTTAATTTCTTCATCAATGGTTGCTGCTAAATTTAAAATAATAAAAGAAGTGGAAATTAATAGATGGAAGAAATAGAAGGAGGGCTGGACTGGAGGATGTGAAACTTTGGGAAAGAGAAAGATAAGCATATGATCTAGTTTGGAATTTTCTTGTCCAGATGTTCAAGACTATTGGTGCTGAGTGGACATGGGACCCATTGCCTTTCTCAAGGTTTTGCCGCAGAAAAAATTTAATTATTTGTATATCCCCAATTTTATTTTATTTTAATTTGCAAATCATAAATATCTTAATTTCATCATAAATTCATAAAAATCATGAAATAATAAGGACCTTAATAATAATGGATGGAAAATTATAAAATTAATTGGGTTGAACATTTTCTAAAGATTTAAATTAGAAGCAAAAAAAAAAAAAAATTTAAATAATATTTAAAAGATAAATTAGTAAATGGAATGTAACTTTAATTTATTCTGAAATAAATTTAAAATGATTAATTAAGCAAAGTTAGCGTCAATCATTAATTATTATTGCATAATAAAAGGCCATATAGGAATCTTGGTTCGTTCTATGTCGTGCAAATTTATTATTGTTTTTAAGGAAATTTGTTAACAAATAAATAATTTATAACTAAAAATGAAAAAAAAAAAATTTTTTTTGTTTTTCAACAATAAAAACAACATTATCAATAAAGTAATCTAAAAATGTAATATTATTATTTTTAGATTAATAAAGTAAAATCTAAATATTTTTACAGTTTATAAATTTAAAATAGTACTATTAAACAATGAATTTTCATTATTGCAACAAAAAGAACAGGAATAAATTCATGAAAAAAGTATTTGCTAGAGATTGGTTATTGTTTGTAAAATAAACAAAGTCTTGGATTCATGATGTGAAATAAATCTCACAATAGAAATATTCTTATTACAAAACTGTATTCAATTCCAATTACAAACACACCAACCATGGCTGAGTTTGGAAATATTAAAAAAATCACTTCTCTTCAAATTATATCTCATAAATATTCTCAATACATTAACACATAACACATGAAGAACAAAAGCAGAACTCGGATCAAATCAAACCAAGAAGCTTATGCTACATAAGCTAAAAATTTAGAACTTGGAATGATTCATCCAAAAAAAAAGAAAAAGAAAGAAAAAACAAAGCACAGAGATTTTTTTTATTTAGAGCAGGCTATTTGTTTGCTGCAAGCTTGCATTCAAGGTTGTTCTCTGGTTGTCAGATACTTCATCACCTGACTTCAAAACTTTTAAGCATTATGTGGGATCCTATGGCCCAATTTCTGGGCAAGCCATGACTGTTGTGGATCAGGATCAACAAATTCATGCTTGAGATAGGCTTCTGCTTCTTCATTTGACAATTGCTTTGACCAATCCACCCGTTTATCAGCGGTAAATCCTGGTCCAAAACACCTGCAATTCCAATCAATGTACTCACAATTACATAGACGATCTGCGGTTGATCATATAAAACATATTATCATCTGTAGTATCATCAGAAGTCACACTAAAGTCTAAAGTACAAGGAAATTGTATTTTTGTTCATTTAGAACAAAGTTCAATGTTAACTGTAATACCTGTACTCATAAAAGCAAGCAGTTTTCTCATTCTCAGTATTGTCCCAGTTATGCCATCCTACATTGTGGATGCATGCGTCCATATGTGTGTATGCAAAGAGCACCCTTCCAAAAGGTCCCCATGGACGTCCAAGATATGCATATGCAGGTCCTCCATTTCCTGTAATCACACATCTGCAGAAGAGCAATGGTTGTTCACAAGACACCAGAAGAATACACAAACGGGGACTCCTTGTACTAAAGGAGTAAGGGCAGATTTGGATTAGCCGCTGGAATTTTCAGCTTGGAGAAACTCAATAATCAAAAAAACATTTCAAAACCCACCAGCAAATAAGTTTTAAATTGTAACTGAAAAGCTGAAGCTAAAATTTTTAACTATTAGCATTTGCCCCCAAGCCTTAACGGTGACCCAGTAACCACTATATGCTGACTAGCAAGAGAAAACCCTTACTGCTGAACCAAGAAGCCAATCAAATACACAAAGACGCACCTCAAGAAAACAAAACCAGTTGTATCCTCTGCAGTTTTCCTGCTTTGAGCAGTAACAAAACCTGCTGCCTTGCAATGGATATGACAATGCTCAAAAAGGACAGTGCTATTCCCAAAAATGAAGTCGACATCTCCTTCAATGTAGCAATCTCTTAGATATTGCTTTCCTTGATGCAAATACAATGTATCCTGCATAAAAAATTTATAAGCAGGTATATTTAGTTGAAAACTTGAAATGCATTTGCAGGGTAGTAACTCTAGATGCAGTCCCATTAAAACTCTACAGCAAATAAACATAAAATTGCTGATAAGACTAAGCAATTAAGTATACCTGCCAACCAAGAAATCTACAGTTATAGAAGGCGGACCGATCACCTGAAACCCTGACTGCCACAGCTTGATGTGAACCCTAGAAAATAGTTAGGATTAAAAACAGAAGTAAATGCTACAAATAATATGTAATTACAAACCAAAAGCTTCAATCTTTAACAAAACCCAATAGTTTAGTTATATGCATTTGCCCAATAACTGACAACATTATAGAAGTGAACAAGAAACAATTAAATAACATAATAAAATTAATTTTAACTTTTAAATAACTATACCTCAGGAGCAGCGTTCTCAAATGTCATATTCTCAGCAATAAAATCTTGCCCTCCCACTATCACAGTCCCACACCCAAATGTTCCTTTCCCAATTACCTCAGCATCCTGCAAACAGATAAAAAAGCAGAACCAAAATCAGCAACAGAAATTTGGCTATCCAAACGGGTCGCATCGCAAAAATTCTGGAGGAGACGGACCAAGTGGTGCTCGATTTTGGCGGCAGTGTTGTCCCAGGTGAGAATAGTGTCCTCCGGTCTCGAACCAATCATAGTAATCATACCCTTATTTTTGGGGACAAACACGGGTTGCTTATACACCCCAGGCGCCACCCGAATAACAATCCGATCAGCGTTGTTTTCGGGCACTGCGTCAACTGCTTCTTGGACCGTCTTGTACTCAGCGCTACCATCCTGAGCCACAGTTAGCACCTTTTCCGCCATGATTGATTAGTTTCCTCTTTGTTGGCTATGTAGATTTTCTTTTTTGTGTAGTTATGGAGAGAAACTGTGTATCGCCTTCTTTTATAGTAGTTTGATTGAGAGAGTTTAGCAGTGATGTGGTTAACTGATTGGGAACAGATTTAGCGGTCATCCTCATTTTTGGCTGGTCAGACCAGAAGAACAGCAAAATCCCGCGCGCTCATTATTCTGCTTCTTTATTTGCGCGGGCTTTTTCTTTATGGGGAAAAGAGCTCCAGTCAAAAAGAAAAAAAAAATAGAAAGAAAGCCAAAATAGATTTTGTTAATATTAAATATATTATCGTATTTATTTAATAATTAAAAGGTAATTATATTTAAATTTTTAATAAAATCAATTTTCCCCAAACGTATCTTCCACGTGGTTTGTACTAATTAATTTTTACTTTTTGAAATACAAATGTAATTTAATGTATGTACATACAATTTTGTAGTAATATATATAACAAATGTAATTTAATGTATGATACATATCAATTTTGTAGTATATATCATATATTATTAATTTTTTATTATAAATTTAACCAGTATTATTAAATATATTTATACTATTAAAATTTTTTTTAAAAAAAAAGTATACTGTTTTTTAAACATAATAGATATTACATAGTTAACGCTTTTTATTTGTAGTAATATATATATATATTAATTTTTATTATAAATTACAGTATTATAAATAATTTATCTATTAATTTTTTAAAAAAAAGTATATTTTTTTAAACATATAGATATACATAGTTAAGCTTTTTAAATAGAAAATAATTTTTTTTAATAATCCATAAACCTCGTCATGTTAATAATATCAATTTTAAGATATTTTATTTTTATGGGTAAAATATTAATTTATAGATATTTGATTTTTATATGTAAATATTAATTTATGTGATTAATATAGTTTTGAAATAATAAGTTTCATAATTTTCAACTAAACAATATATTTAATAAATCAATTTAAGTATTTAATAAATATAATTTTATAAATTAAAGTGTCCTTATATCAAAATAAAAATTAAAATGCCAACAAATTTATGTATTGACCCTTTTTTTTTTTCTTTTATTACTCTATTCTTAAGATATTTCAGAATCAGCAACTACTACAATTCCGCAAATCTAAAATCTCTTGTACAATGGCCATTGATAAATTGCTACAATCATAGCATTCTCATGACATCAACAAATTAAGAGTAAAAGCAAATCATCGTAGTATCAAACAAGTCAAGCTTATGCTACATGATTTAACATTCATAACCTGGAAGTTTTCAACAGAAAAAAAAAAAATTACTTTCTTCAGAAAAGACAGCTGATTGATGGTGAGGCTAACACTGGTATACATGAAATGGAACTGTTGCAGAAACACATTTTATTTTTTGCATATAGAGATTTCAATTTTTCTGATTATTTGCTGAAAGCTTTCATACGAGATTATACTCTGCCTGTTGGATACTTGAACAGCTAATGTTATAATTTCTATGCAGAATATGGTATTCGCAGGGCCATTCTTTGGGAAAGCCATGGCCTTTGTGGATCAGGATCAATGAAATCATGCCTAACAAAGTCTTCTGCTTCATCATCTACCAGTTCTCTGGCCCATGTCACCCGTTTTGAAGGGCAACTACCTGGTCCAAAACACCTGTACTCCCAGTGAACATTATCAAATTACATAAAACATTTCTTATTGTTAATAAACAAAATTATTAATTAGCATAATGCTACAGGAAGAAAAGAAAGAAAAAAGTTGTTGGCTTTTCTTTTGGACAAGTGAGTCCTTAACCTTCAAGAGAATCTAAAAAAGAGGTGTTTGATTGCGGTAAGTTAACAGAGAAAGACTGGACCAATTCCAAGTACCAAATTCCTGTCTTCAATCACGCTTTTCCTAATTTTTCTTCATGGGGTCCAAAGCGAGAAAGAAACCATCTACTACTTTAAGATATCATCCAAACCCACTCTGAAGTAAATCCACGTATTTTATTTTTTAAGGAAATGTACTCGGTGTTCATTTAGAAAATTTCATATAAAGAGTAGCTCCCAAAATTCAAATTCAAATATCAGCAAAGCAAAATATTTTAACCTGAAATACCTGTACTCATAAAAGCAAGCACTTCTCTCATTCTCAACTTTGCCCCAGTTATTCCAGCCTACATGTCTGATGCATTGATCCATATATGTGTATGCAAAGACCACCCTTCCAAAGGGTCCCCATGGACGTCCAAGATATGCATATGAAGACCCTCCGTTTCCAGTGATTACACATCTGCAGAAACACAATGAGTATTTATTGGCAAAAACAGCACAGGGAGAAGTGAGGACTATCAGAGACGGCACATGACCAGAAAGTGCAGCATTAAATGTGGCCAATTTGAAAAAAATAAATAAAAATAAAAAATAAAAAACATATCTGCCAGATTTAACAAGGAATAGCAAGTTACTAGATCCTTCAAACAAACCTTGAAGGGACATGTGCCATCACAGGAACCTACACACTGTCCATTTTAAATACATTTTTGGAGGTGAAACTATAATTTTGGCATAGAAGATAAGCTATAAGTGAACTAAATAATAATACAATAAAACTAGGTAAGGACTGTATGGTAATCCTAGAATGCTGCAATCATTACTTAGCAACTACACATATACAGTGTTGTAAAGAAGAGATCCAATAATTAATTGAAAAAGAGCTTGATTTTGATCTATAGGTTCATCCCCAAAAAGAAAGTAAGAAGAAACTGTATAGTAAACATAATACTTTATGACTATTAAACCTCAAAACGAGGCAGCTTTAATCTTTATGTCCAAGCTGGAAATTTTCTTACCCCATCCAGAGAATGTTAATTCAAAGATATAAAACACACAGGTACAATTTAAAATTCCAATCGAACTCCGCAAATCATAACCATCTGAAGTCCATTTACAAATTGACTGTCCCTACTGAGTTATAGTAAAAGATACTTGTTTCCCATCTATCAGACAGTTGAATTCATGGTAACTATAAGAATGCAGGCTTTAGATATCAACAATACACCTGACTACACAAGGACCAAAACTCAATATTGGGAAGCAAAATGCAATTTAACACCTACTGCAAAAGCCAAGGTTGGAAACTTAAGGGGAGCTGGAAAAAGAAAAAAGGATACAGGGAAGTGAAAGCCAACCAACTACTAGTGGCTAGACCTCGGCCACATACAAACCTTATGGGAAGCTAGAGAGAGAGAGAGAGAGAGAGAGAGAGAGATGGCGAAAGCAAAGTAGCCACACACCGTAAAAACACATAACCAGTTGACTCCTGAGAAGATTTTCTGCTTTGTGCAGTTATGAAACCCGCTGACTTGCAGTGAATATGACAATGCTCCAAGAGCGCAGTGCTATTCCCAAAAATGAAGTCCACACTTCCTTCAATATAGCAGTCTTTTAGATATTGCTTTCCGTAATGCAGATACAGCGTATCCTGCATAAAGTTTTATGAGCAAATACATTTGACTATGCATATGCATGATAGAAAGTATAAATACTGTCTCAGTTTATCAACTCTGATTGTGTAAACATAAAAATATGATAAATGTCATTTTTCACTTTAGACATCTTCTACTTGCCAATTACCCGAAACAAACCCATCCTTAGATATATAGAACCAGGGAAAAATGTTTAGACCTGAAGGCCAGTATCAGCAACAAGAAGACAAATAATTTGAAAGCATTCTCTATCTTGCTTCAGAAACAATTCAACGCTCAGTACATCTGTATGTGTTTTATGCATCAAATTGCATTTCACATTTTCACTTTACTTTGCCCCTCATTAAGTTTTGTAAGTTGTATCTATATTATCACCGACTAGACTGCTTCTTCTCATTGTATCTCAATCTTATAAGATACTGTACTTGGATAGTCAAATTTTTAAAAGTCTATAAATAATAAACATGATACAACAAACAACATGAGAAGCAATTACAAATACCTGCCACCCAAGAAACCTGCAATTGTAGAAGGCACACCGATCAGCTGTCACCCTGATTGCCACAGCTTGACCTGAACCCTAGAAAGGTTAAAGATAAGAACATAAAAAGAAGAGAGTTATTAGACAGCTTTAAATAATTAGTGAAAACAATTTGAATAAGAGAACTTTTGCTATATACACATTATAAATTCTGTTCATAATCAATAGCTGAAATCAAAGTCTTCCAAGCATAGAAGCTGTGAATTGAACCTAAAAATCATTAAAAAGAAAAGAAAAAAAGCCCCAACATTATCAATGCCTAAAATTTTGTGGAATTCATTTGAAATTCCATGTTTTTCATGTTCAGTGTGAATGAAAACGTGCAAGTCACTCCCAAGAACTGAATTTTATAGATTTCAACATATAACTAAATCAAATTTTACATTCTATTCATCGATACCAAATCAAGGCTGAAGGTTCAATCTTTTAGCAAACCCAATATTGCAGAACAGAAACACAAATTTCAAGCGTCCGTATACCTTTTTCCAATCGCTGAAGTAACAGCATAAAAGTAAAAAAAAAAAAAAAAGGGCGAGAACTGAATTTTTAATAGATTTCAACATATAACTAAATCAAATTTTTACATTCTATTCATATAGCGATACCAAAATCAAGGCTGAGGTTCCAATCTTTTAGGCAAACCCAGATCATTGCCAGAACAAGATAACACAAATTTTCAAAGCGTCCGCTATACCTTTTCCCCAATAGCTGAAGTAACAGCATAAAAAGTAAGAAAAAAAAAAAAAAAGGCAAGCAAACGATCCACCTCAGGATAAAGAGTTTTCAAAGTGATGTCTTCTCGCAATAAAAATCCTCCCCCTTCCACTAGTCTGACAGACCTTATTTTTTTTCATCCACAGTCCAAAAGTTCCCCGTTCCAAAAAAAAAAAAAAAAAAAAGGGCAGCAAACGTCACCTCAGGAGAAGAGTTTTCAAAAGTGATGTTCTCAGCAATAAAATCCTCCCCTTCCACTATCACACTTCCACAACCAAAAGTCCCCGTTCCAATGACCCTAGACGCCTGCAACAAAAGAAAAAAGAAAAGAAAGAAAGAAAGAAAGAAAGAGAAATCAACAAATTTGCCAGCGAACGAGTCAAGCACTCAAGTGGCTCACAAAGACAGTATTGGTGGTGGATCAATACCTGGTGGTGGATCAATACCTGGTGGTGGTCGATTTTGGTGGCGGTATTGTTCCAGGTGAGGACAGTATCCTCTGGTCTTAGACCGGCGAGGGTAATAAGATTCTTAGTCTTGGGCAAGTACACCGGCTGCTTATACACTCCAGGCGACACACGAATAACCGTCCGGCAAGTATTGCAGAGTGGCACGGCATCTATTGCTTGCTGCACCGTGGTGTAGTCACCGCTTCCATCTTGTGCCACCGTCAGCACTCGACCGGCCATTGATCAATGTCCCCTTTCTCTAGCTTGTTTATGTCTTCTAAATGGCGATGGAATCGATTGCAGATAGCAGAAACGGAGCAAGAGAAAGGGCGAAGAGAGGATTTTGATTTTGAGTTTTGGAGTTCGAAAGGACTGTTCGATAATATTTGTAGTAATCGTTAATGCAAAAAGTAATCCCTTGCTTGAGCGAGTAGAGCTATAACTAAGCTTACTTTACCGGACCAGGCAAAGAACATAATAGACACTTGTTTGAGGGGAAAAATGTTTTTCCTAATTTTATTCACAGACAACTTAATAAATTTTAATTAATATGCTAAAATTATCATTTTTATTTAAATTTTTTTTCAAAATTTTGCCGTATTTTCTGAATAAGTTTTACAGAATTGAAGATATTCTTAAATGTTTTTATAATTCTTTTTTTATGAACATAATATCACAAATAAAAATAATTTTTTTAGTTTCTAATAAATTAATTTAGAAAATATACATTTTTGTCGACATATGATAATATACAAATATTAAAATTAATTTAATTTAGAGTTACTTTGTTTGTATACATTAAATAAAAATACATAATGCATATACATTATACACGTAGAATACGTTCTTTTACAAAACTAACAAAATTTACTTTAATTAATTTATGAAGTTTTAAAATTTGGTCTAGTCATTGATCTAGCGAAATAAATGGTCAAGAGTTAAAAAGAATCACGGGTCGAACAAATACTTAATTGAATATTATACAAAATAGTTTAAAATTAATAAATTTTATTAAAAATAATCCATGCGAATTAAAATAAGTAGAATATAGTAAAATTTTATTTAAAAATATGAATTAAACACTCTATTAGTAATTTGTGAATAATTGAAAAAATAAAAATATTATATTATAATATTTGAATAAAATAAATAATCAAATAAAATAATAACAAAAAATTTAAATAATGACAATTATTTATGTATTAATAAATTCGAGCGATTCCAATAAATTTCACATATTGATAAATTTAATAAATATATTTTTTAATCTTACAAAAATTTGAGAGTATGAAATAAAATTATTTTTATAAATAAAAATAAAATATTTAATTTAAGAAAAATAAAATTTTATAAAAAAATAAATTTAATGAATAAATGAGTTATATTTTTTATTGGCTACGTAAATGTTGAATGAGAAATGATATAATAATTAAGAGAAAATAATAATCATTACTCAACAAGTTATATGTTTAACACAAATAAATTATATATTAAATAAATAATTTGTTTAAGTAGTTTAACACAAGTTATATGGCTTAGTGATTAGTACATCGCTATGATATATATTTTTCAAAAAGAAAGTTTAACAACTAAGTGGAATCCGTTAAAACCAAATGATCTATTTATGCATGTCGGATTCGGATCATTTAAAAATGATATTTTATATTTCAACTAGTTTAATTTAATTTATAACTTTTTATTTTCCTGATTAAATTGTTCAGATTTAGATTTATCCGGATCATAAAATCATCATACATGTTGAAAATGAAAAATAAAAATTAGTGTTTTCCTCAATAAATTTTGTTACTTTGCGTTTTTTATTACAACAAATTTAAGTGAATAATGTATAAATATTAATCTAAATTATTTATCTTTTATTGTGAAATTACTAGTATAAAAAGATTTTTTTAAACATTTACTAGCAATAGGGTTATAGATGAATGGAGCTATTTACGAACCCGATATGATAAAAATTCGGTTGGATCCTTTGAATAGAATTTTTCGTTTCATTTTTTAGGCGAGTCAAACTTACAGGGGCCCGGCCGACACAAACTACCAATTATAGACCGACACATTTTCAATGCATTTCACCTATCCATATGCACTTTTTTAAAGCCACCTGGCCCATGCCTATCAAGTCACAATGATTACTCCACTAAAACGACACCGTAAAACTCCGAGAATCCGTAACTAAACCACGTCGTTCGTTTCACCCCGAAACAAATGTCAACTATATAAACGCTCACCAAATCCTACTGCCTCCATTGCTTCAGAAAAAACCATCTTTGAACTGAAAGCCTGAAACGATGCCGTACTATTCAAGAGGCGATGACGAAGTTGATGATTTCGACGAGTATGATCCGACACCGTATGGTGGCGGATACGACATTGTCTTGACGTATGGACGCCCGATTCCACCATCCGAAGAGACATGCTACCCGCACAGCTCATCCGCCGATGAGATCGACTATGATCGCCCCAGCTACACCTCCTACGCTGAGCCATCAGCCTACGCCGACGATCATCTCCAGGAGGAGTACAGCAGCTATGGCCGTCCCAAGCCCCGACCCGGTCCTGCTCATGGATACACTCCTGGTGGAGAAGTATTTGTAGATGCTAAGCCTGAGCCTGCTTATGGTTTCCAGCCTGGAGTTACCATGCCTGGATCTGATTATGGATCTGGTGGATATGGCGGAAGGCCATCCGGTGAGGAATATGGTTCTGGTTATGGCCAGAGACCCGATTCAGAATATGGATCTGGTGGCTATGGAAGGAGGCCAGAATCAGAATATGGGACTGGATATGAGAGGCCACCAGGTGGGGAGTATGGATCCGGGTATGGCAGGAGACCTGAGCCTGGGTATGAGAGGCCACCAGGTGGGGAGTATGGATCCGGGTATGGCAGGAGACCTGAGCCTGGGTATGAGAGGCCACCAGGTGGGGAGTATGGATCCGGGTATGGCAGGAGACCTGAGCCTGGGTATGAGAGGCCACGGAGTCCTGCTCATGGGATACCACTCCGGGTGGAAGAAGTATTTGAATATGGGAGGTGGCTAAGCCTGAGCCTGCTTAATGGTTTCCAGCTGGAGTTACGCGTGCCCTGGATCTGATTATGGATTCTGGTGGATATGTGCGGAAGGCCCATCCCCGGTGAAGGAATATGGGTGTTTGGTTGATGGAGCCAAAGACCCGAAATTCAGAAAATATTGGATCTGGTGGCTATGGAAGGAGGCACAGAATCAGAATATGGGACTTGGAATATGAGCAGGAGACCTGAGCCTGGGTATGAGAGGCCACCAGGTGGGGAGTATGGATCCGGGTATGGCAGGAGACCTGAGCCTGGGTATGAGAGGCCACCAGGTGGGGAGTATGGATCCGGGTATGGCAGGAGACCTGAGCCTGGGTATGAGAGGCCACCAGGTGGGGAGTATGGATCCGGGTATGGCAGGAGACCTGAGCCTGGGTATGAGAGGCCTAGTTCGGAATATGGATCCGGATATGGAGGTAGGCCACAGTCTGAATACGAAGGTGGTGGGTCAGGATATGGCGAAGGTTATGGGCGGAAGCCTAGTTATGGGGAGGAAGCGTATGGAGGAAGGCCCGAATACGAGAGACCGAGTTATGGAGATGACCCACCAAGGAGGCCTAGTTATGGGAGGCAAGAGGAGGAGTATGTGAGACCAGCTTATGAGAGTCGCGATGTTGATGACGATGAGTCTCGTAAGAACTATGGTTATGGTGGTGAAGAGGGCTATGGCCGCAAGAAATATGTAAGCATTTTCTAAACTTTGGACTCTTTTACCGCTTTTTGTTTATTAATCCATTTTGGCTATGGTTTGTGAGTGAAATGAAATGTTGTTCTTATGTTTTGGCTAACAAGATTTACATCAAATCTGATTCATTGATTTGTATTATCTACTTTATTTGCTATTATGTGGTTTAAACAAACGATTGATACCCATTCTACTTTGCATTTTCATTTGAGGATTATCATGCGTATATGATTTTCTAGCTGTATTTTGTTTTCCTGTTTTTGGCATAACTTGATATGAATAATTGTATTTCGAAAATTGGTAGGAAAAGTTTAGTACACAGTACATTACACAATGTGTACTGAGAATTTGGATATTTTGAAATTTGGGTCAATTAGTTTGCATCAACTGAGGTTAGTGCACAAGTTGAAATGGTTGGCATTTGATAAATGTTATATGAAAATGGAATTGTCTGCCGGAATTGTGTTCTTTTTTTTTAAGTAGCAAATCACCATTAAAAGGCACTCGTTTTTTTCTTTTCTGTTCTTTGTATCCGTTTGCTACTGAAATGCTCTGGGTTCTATTGTTTCAGTTATAAATGCCTTAGGTTCTAGGGTTTCAGTTATATATGAACCATTATTTCCTGTTCAGTCCATGGTGCACAATACTTCTAATTTCAAACAGACTTAAATTCTGTGATTGTTGGTTCTTGTTTATAAATGTCTTAGTCATTCTAAGTTCAAACTCAGGAGTCGGCAGATATGCCAAAAGTGTTGTTGTCATCTTTATAGCTACTTATCCTGTATGCAACTCATGCTTTCTGTTATTACAAGGTATTTTACTCCATATTTGAATGTTATGGGGCATAGACCTAATTTGACTTCAGCATTTAGTACCTCATAGCTGGTCTTCCATGGAAAACACAAAACAGAATTGAATTACTTTTAATCTTTTTTCATGGAAAAGGATAAAGTTTAAAACACATGGATACCAATTTGTTTAGGATCACCTGTTGTCAAAAAAAATAGGAGAAGAATGCGTTGTCAGTACTCTGTTTAAATAAAGTTGCTCTTTAAATTGCTCATTTATGTCGAATATGAATTTCCAATTACCATGTATGACCATGAGTTAAATCAGCAGGGAGATAATGACTCTGATGATGATGATGATGAGGAGAAGAAGCATCGTCGCCATCACAAGCACCACTATCGCAAGCGCTCTGACGATGATGAGTGATGCAGCCATTGTTAATGGGATTCATGCCATTGTTAGCTATACTAAATAAAAGATCAAGGCATGTTTCCTTTATGATAATGCTTTTGTTGAAGAGCTCTTTATGTATTTATACAATGTTAATTGGACTCATGCCTTCTCTACCTATGTGGCATGTTTCCTTTTTTTATTGTGCTTCTGTGCTTCTGCGGGGGGTGCTATGTTAACTCTCTGCTACATGTGTTTTATATCTGCTACTAAATAAAATCCAACTTATGAGTTTGGTCTGTTTTTAAAGATTTCTTTGTTCATTGATGAATTGTTCACTGTCACAATCACATGGGTTTGAATGTATAACAATCAAAAGCATTTCTTATAAAGGCATTGATGTGAAATGCAAAATATATGCAAACATCACTCTGAGATTTTTCCTTCTAGTAAAACAACTAGCAAGTGATGCGACAATAATAATTTATGAGAATGTTGAGAGGAATGACGAGAGCTAGCCTTTGCACTGGAAGAACGGGCAATATGAGCGCGCCAGTCCCAGGCGGGAAAGCTCGCTGTTTGAGGGCGTAACAAGGCCACTTCAGTATCTTGCAGTGTTCTTGAAACAGAAAGAAGTGAAGTTTATGCTCCAACCCAACTGCAGCCTGGATTTTTCGTTGCTCCACTTTCCTCTATCGCTTGTCGCATACTATTAGCTTCAGCCGTACGACTTGAAGCAACATATATATCACGAAGGAGAATGTAGTACCCTCCTTCATCTGGTTTTAACTCTAACAACTTTTTAACAACCGTCTCCCCCATATCGACATTTCCATATATTCTGCAAGCTGCAAGCAAAGCTCCCCAAATAACATCGTTACTTGGTATTGGCATGGTAACTATTAATTCGTATGCCTCTTCTAACCGACCTGCCCGGCCTAACATGTCTACAACACACCCATAATGCTCGATGCTTGCCTGAATTCCAAAGTCTCGCTGCATGCTTTGAAAAAGCCTGTACCCTTCATCGACCAAGCCCTTATGCGTGTAAGTGGTCAAAAGAGCTAAGAATGTTACTCCATCTGGTGCAACCCCAGAATTTAACATGCAACTAAACAATCCAAATGCATCTTCAACATATCCATGGTTAGCACAGGCAGAAATCATTGAATTCCATGTAATCAAGCTTTTCCTGCTCATATTATTGAAAACCTGCCATGCTCTTTCCATAGAACCACACTTTGCATACATATCAATTAATGCATTACAAAGTGAAACCATCCACCCAAACCCATTCTCATCAATATAAGAATGCACTCCAATTCCTGTTTCTAGATCACCCAAATTTGTACACGCTGAAATAACACTGACAATAGTTACCTCATCTGGTCTTACTCCTGCATCTCTCATGTCCCAAAATAACTCTAATGCCTCCCTTGAACGCTTAGCTTGTGAATACCCAGAAACCATAGCTGTCCAAGAAACTACATCCTTCTCTGGCATAACATCAAAAACTTGCCTACCAAGCTCCAATTCTCCAGCCCTCAAATGCGCTGAAACCAAACCAGACCATGATACAACATCCACTCCCACTGTCTCATCAAAGACTTTCCAAGCTGCCGGCGGATTCCCCTTCACGGCATATAAATGAATCAATGCATTTTGAACGAATAAATGCGAACGAAACCCATATTTCAATGCCGCCCCATGTATCTCGTCACACTCCATGCCCAAAGGCAAGCTGCAAATTTTATGCACTCTAGACCGCGCTTTTATCAGGAAATTGAAAGTAAATTCATCCGGGTCAACACAGTTTTGCCTCATTTGATTATATAAATAAACGGAATAAGAAGGATAAAAGCTTTTAGCATAGCCACGAATAATGGTATTGTAGAAGAAAGTTTTTGGTTGGGGCATTTGATCAAACATGCGGTGAGCGTAAGGTAAATCACCGGACGGTGAGACCGCAGCAAAACGGAGCATTTTACCAAAGATAATGGGGTTGTTATGGAGGTTTGTGAGAATGACATGGGCGTGAATTTGTTTTAGGTGGTTCATGGACTGGCAGGTCTCTGCCATGGAAGCTAGTGTGGCAGCGAGGGTGACAATTGGCTTGCATTGTTGTTGTAGTGGTGGGAACATTTAGGTAACGGATTATTGCTCGTAACTGTGTTTTGTATTTAGGTGGAGGTGACCGTTGTTTGATGGTCAAGGTTATCGTCCTTAAGCCCTGCACATGGCATAAATAATTTAGTTTTTCATTATATTTTGCTTACACTGAATTTTTCTTTTTTTGATAATTAATTATTTTTTATATTTGCACGAGGTGTTTAGACTAAGTCCATTTTAATGTTCCCGTTAAACCTGACTAATCCCCAGTATAATAAGTTGGAAGCATGTTCTAAACTATGCAACAAAGAGATTTTCATCTCATAGGTTCACAAAATTGGTAAAATGAAAAATAAATTAATCCCACACTCTGTAGATTGCAGTATTGCACTAATCCAACTTATATTGTCTTCGTACTTTTTATCTCTTTTCAATGTGGGATTCTTTGTTCCTTTATATTCTCCAACAAAAAAGCTAATAATAATCAGGCTAAAGGCCAACATGAAATGAATTCCTTCAATAAATTAACATTTAACTTTCAAATTACAAAGCAAAAATGAGAAAATGAGAACTCTGAGGATATTATCTGCACTACTACCAAAAACAACCAATTAATACATCAATCTGTAACATCAGCCTTCAAAAATGTAAAACTGAAGATACAAATTGTAAGCATAAGAAGTTAAAAATAAAAGAAAAGTGGATACTGTCAGGGCAAAACTAGAGGAGCTTCTTCCTCTCAAAATATGTCTTCAGATGCCATAATTGCAAACCAGCCACTGATAGGCAAACCAGAATCGAAAGGAGACTAAGGCCAGCCATTTTATAGTTCGTTGATCTATTCAGTTTTTGCATTTCTTCCTCTCTGAAATACCAATAAACAAACGTTAAAGATTAGAAAGAAAATGAACAATAAGCTTCACCCCATGTCAAAGCAATCTTTAGAACAAAATCTAAGCGTGGTTCTTTTAACCCAGGTTCTGGAATATACAAACATTTAGGCTACGTTTTAGTATATGATGTAATGGAATGTTAGATGATGCATTTTTAGTGCCAACAAAGAACAGTAGAAGTAGAAGTACAACAGGCCTGTAAAGAAAGTATCCTGTTGGAATTATTTATATCTGAACAAAATCTAACCAAAGAATTCCCCTTTTCAAGAGTTAAAGGTCCTTTAGACAGGCTGATTCTTGCTCCTATATTTGCCGTTTTAGAAGCAAAAATAACACTAGAAAGTTGCAGTTATCATGACAACCACACATTGTGATAGGAATGAGCAGCCCATTACCACTACCAAGCCTTTCAAAGTTTATTCAAGAAGGCCCAAGTTTGTGACAGCAGACAAGGAGAACGGATGAAGTTTATGCACAGAGATTCAAGCAATGAGGTGGCATTATTAGTTACAACAAAGGTGACACCAACGCTATATAACATCATGAGGGTTTTGTTGTGCGACATCTTTGGAGAATATTTCTGTTTTTGGCAGATTGTGATTTCTGTAAAGAAACTTCAGTTTCTGGGCTTGATTCTTGCATATGAAGTTCATTTCTTCTTGTTATTTCCTTCATCTGATTTTGTAATCCAGAGATATTACTGGCCTATTTTTCTTCCTTGAGTATCAATCAAAAGAAATCCATTCAAGTTCTTATTCTATTTGTTTCTGCTGTTATTATTATTTTTATCTGAAATCTCTGTTTGAAACTCTGTCCTCGTTCCTTGCTCTATCACATTGCCTAAACACAAAACATTCATGGTAATAGTTGCAGTTATCATTGAAAAAAAAAAAAAAAAAAAAAAATATTTGTTTCTGCTGTTATTATTATTTTTATCTTGAATCTCTGTTTTGAACTCTGTCCTCGTTCTTGGCCTCTAATCACATTGCTAACACAAAACATTCATGGTAATAGTTGCAGTTATATTGAAAAAAAAAAAAAAAAAAAAAAAAAAAAAAAAGACAAAAAAACAAAAAAGAAGAAGAAGAAGAAGAAGAAGACAGGAGGGGCTGGAGAAGAGGGCGTAATGCAGATTAATAAATTCATACCTTTCACGAAGATAAAACATCTCGTCATGAATAGATGTGACTGTGTCATGCAATTTCTTCAACTCCAGTTCCATAACCTAGCAAAGAGATGAAAATTATACATTGACCAAACCTCAAAGAATTCAAAACTAAGTTCACATGGGAAGTTGAAAGATAAAAGTAGGAATTCCATCTCAAGCGCAGGAACTTCCAGCATTCATTGGAAGATTAGATTATTTCTATTCAAAAATAAACAATCCTTCCATTACGAAAATCAGAACTCATTATTAGCTAGCATCTAATATTCTGGGCAGGGAAAATTTACCTCATATAAAAGAGCAGAACCAATTTAAATAAACACAAGCAAAGGGATTAGACTTCAGAATATGATGTCAAATCCACAAACTAAATCAATGGCTTAACTAAAATTCAAAAATTCAAAACTTTCGTTGTTAGTTAACTATCTTGGATACTGTGTTGTCCTAATGCTGTATTGACCATTATAAATAATAATAGTAGCAGATTTAGAAAGCAGCAAGCATCTAACACAAAAAGGAAAAAAAAGATGCTGAAAAGAACAAAATGCAAACCATAACAATATTATTGGCATCCACGTGAAAATGAATTTTATTTCATTACTTAAAACCATCCAAAAAGACACAAATATTCATAGAGCAAATAAGGAGTAACTTTTACAAGCAATAGATGAAGGCAACTGCTTAGTATAAAACACCGCCAATGACACAAATATAAATATAAAAAATAAAAAAAGATCAAACTATAACTCACATCGATTTGTCCTTTCCTAGCCACCTGAGACCAGTCCTTAGCAGCAACACCAGTTCTCCACTCAAAATCAACCGTCAAGTTAATTTCTGGTCTCTGTTCTTTGACCCAAAAGCAAGTTGCATAATCACCATCCTCACCTGTTGTAAATGCAAAATTACCAGATTCCACACGATCCTCATGATGATAAAGGCTCCCATGCGACGACGACACCTTATATCAAACCAAATTAAACTCAAAAAGGAAAAAGAAAAAATTATATTTCAAAAAAGATAACGTCTTTATATTCAACTTTTTGCCATTTCCATTAGGTGATTATAGAAACAGACCCAGATATTAATAATGCATAAAATGTACATGAAAGGATAAACCCAGATAAAAGAAAATGGAAATTTGACATTTTTTTGAGAGTAGAATCAGGGATTACCTTAACAATGAGCTTGTGGCTATCGGGAAGTGGGAAACCCTCGTTAGGATTAACAATGCTGTACTTTCCCACAGTCATTGAATTGCTTTTTATGTCCTCTGATATGCATTTGGTGAGGCCTGACTTCATCTCGAATCGCATTGATTCAGCAATAGAAAAAATGAATAGGAGGGTTGTTATTGTTATAATTAGGAGATTTAGTTTTCCCATTTTGTAATTCAATTATTTTGAAAAATTTAAGGTTTAGAGATTCGAAGAGGACGAGAGTTTGAATACTTTAATGGTTTTTTTGGATTGTATTCGGAGATCTGTTTTCTGGGTATTGTTTGTGTTCTGTCCGACAGCAACAGGACGAAACGGAAAGTTCGTTCACGACGGTGTATTTGGTTAAAAAAATCACCGGCAAAGGCGCGCATTACCCCCGAAAGAACGTCGTCGTTTAGAAGTTTAATAAAAGACATAGACATTTCTGGCCCAAAAGAAAAGATTGGAACGGTGAGGTTTAGGCTTTTGCTTTCTATTATAAGTTGGAGTAAACATATTTCTTTTAGAGCTAGGCCCATTATATTTTATGTAAATTATTTTTTAAAGCAGCGATTAGACAGAGTAAAATATTTTTTAAAAAAAAAAATTATTTTTTAAAGCAGCGATTAGACAGAGTAAAATATTTTTTAAAAAAAATTTTGATAATAATTATTTTAGCTAAAAAGAAACATATAGAACAACAATTTATACAAAATTAATTACAATTATATACAACAACAATCATACACTTTGAACGTGATTGAATCAATATTGATAAAAATTATTGATTACCACCGATAGAACGATAAGGTTCATTCTCTTTTAACTAGAGGTTTCGAATTTAAACTTTAAATATAGAGCACTTTTTAAACTTGCAAGGAGCACGTTACCTCCTTCATGAGCCTTTTCAGCGCAAATCCAAAGTAATCGGATCAGTAAAATTTGGATATGGTTTAAAAAATAAATATTATCTCAATGTAGAGAAAGATTATGATTGGGTCCTTTCTTAATATATTCTATGACATTAATTAATCTGGTGTAGCTGATAATAGATACCAACTTGACAATTCACAATTTCAATTTTGGTTTCTACTTTACATAAAAGCATTATAGTTAGGACACAGTCCTTGAAATTTGACTTTCACTCTTAGGGCCTAAAGTAGTTTTTATTAATCATGTGTGAAATTTGTGGTTCCTGGTTAGGGAGTATGTATATTTTGCTAACCATTAGCAGTTATAGTTGCTAGCCATTAATTAAGATTTGACAATTCTAGTTCTATGCATGAGAAACTAAATTCAAAAATATTGGAATTGGTATTTCACTCTCTCTCCCACCCTTTTTTTTTTTTTTTCTGAATAAAAATTGGTCTCTAAATTAGATTTAAAGTAGATTTATTTTCACTTGTTGTCGCTCGTTATCGTATCTAAAATTTAATTTGTAACTCAAAAATCCTCAAATTATTATTATGAAATAGAAAAACCCCTACAATTACTTTTCGGGCAAAACTCGACCGGAATGCTGACATGGACAGCACGATTATCAATTATAATAATTTTTTTTTGCCATACAGGTTTGCTCAGTCAGCTATATCTCTTTTTAACTTTCTCCCTCGCCAGGTAGCTCTCCCTCTCCTTAGGCATGGCCGGTTCAATAAACCGCCGGTTCAAGATGTTTAAAATTTTAAACCGGAACCGGTCCTTGAACCTCCGGTTCCGATTTCGGTACGGTTCATCACGGTTCCGGCGAACCGACGGTTCAAATTACGGTTCCGATTCGGTTCCGACATTACGCAAATTTTTAAAAAAATAATAAGATTTTGATTTCGAATAGATTTTGATTTCGAAATTCATGATAAATATAATTTTTAAATTTTTCAAATTTTACTTAACTAATAAACTTATATATAAAATTTTAAAACAAAAACTTCTAATTTAATTTAGAATGTTATCATATATTTAAATAGAAGTATGTTTAGGATCACCATACCTTGATGACGATAATTGAGTTTGAGTTACAATCCATTTCCTACCTCACTTGGATTGAATGTGAATTTAAATGCCTATTGAGAGTGCATATCTCCTCCAAGCTTGGATGCATATTCTTTTTTTGCCCAATAATTTTACACGAACCGCATTGGATTTCTCCATTTCTTTAAAATTTTTTGCAAAGGCTTTCTTGAAATGTCTGATTTGGTGGTTTACCTATGAAAATATTAGGAGATATTGCTTTCTTGTGGTGAAAAATAAATCAATGGGTCATTTGAATCAATTTCTCTCCACGCTTTGAGCAACTCGCTTTTCCCCTTGGAGCTTTGTGGAAGTTGTTGCCTAATTTAAAATAGAATTATGGAAAAAGCAAAATGAAAAAAATGAATAAATGGAATATGAAATTAATGGAATTTAGAATTGGATGTATGAAAATAAAGCAATATTAAGAAGATATAATTGGTTGTGAAAAAAAAAATAATCAACTCATCATATTTATACATATTTTTCATTTATGTAGTTTCTCAAATTGTCCCTTACAACAAAAAAAAACAATTATATTTTTGGATAATTTAGTAAATTATAATAAATAAATAAATAATTAAATTATAATAAAATAATTATAGCCTTTTGAACTTTGTTTGAACTTTAAGTTTAACGTTGTGTGAATTTAATGTATATTATATTCATGATGATGATTACATAGGTCAAAAGGTATTTGTAAAAAAAATTTAAACGTTGATGATGTTAAAAAAACAAAAAAAGGTGAATGATGATGTTTTTACTTCCTTTTTTTTAAACCAAAATGATGATATTTTTTTTTCACTATTTTTGATTATTGCAATGCAATAAATAATTTTGTTTGTAAATTCGGTTCGAACAGGACCGAAACCGCCGGTTCCGGGCCAATTCAGGTTCATTTTTTAACATTCACATGAACTTTAACCGGCCCTTGAACCGCCGGTTCCGGTTCAAAATTTTAAACCGCCGATTTCGATCCGGTTTTGATTCATCTACAGTACGATTCGGTTTCGGTTAGAACCGAACCGATGGCCATGCTTACCTCTCCTCCTTTGCTTTCCCTCTCATGCATCTCTTTCCTCCTTACCATCATGATTCTAATTAACTTATGAAGCACAAATAGCTTATGATCCTTCACGCTAAAATAACTATTTGCGGATATCTTGAATGATGAAAAATCGCATAAATGAAAATGAATATGGACATCAAATAAAGGAAAATAGTTAATTTGGTTATTTCAGATTTTTCTTAAAACTCTATTAATTTTTTTTTGATTGGTATTGTAATTATAATTCTAATACTGAACTGGTTTTCTAGAGTAATTGAAAAGATGTTGTCTTTTTCTAAAGAAAAGACTTTCTTTTTTTTTTAATTTTCAACTCAACAATCTGACAGTATTCTAAAAACAATTATTATAGCTGACTAAGCATCTTACGTAATAAAAAATGTTGTTATTGTTGATGATTGTGCTGTCTATGTCAGTATTTTGGTCGAGTTTTATTGGTTGTGGGGATTTTTCTATTACACTAATAATAATTTGAGGATTTTTACGTTATAAATTAAATTTTAGGTACCATAGTATAATAGGTGTTACAACTGAAAGACTAGGGGTGAAAATAAACCATTTGAAGCATCGAAATCTAATTAAAACATTATTAGATTTAAATTCCACTCATATTGAATTATGGATATTATTTTCTAATGTTCATTAATTGTTTGTACTTGTTGGTTGAAAGTATTTAATGCTCAAATCACTTTTTCCTTTTCTTTTTTAAGAAAAAGTTGAAATCACTTTACTATCAAATAATCAAGAAAATAACTATTTATAAATTTTAGATGATAAAAATAATATGAATTTTTCAATTTGAATTTTAGATGATAAAAATATTTATAAATTACCCATGTTGAGAACACCAAGTTTTATAAGAATTCAATTTGAAAAAACCATTATTTTAATATTAAAAGCTAGAATTTTAAGTTTAATGAAATTAAATTAACTAGATTGGTTATTATTAAATTATATAAAATATCTTATATCTTAAATTGTATAATCCTAAAGTTTTAAATATCATAAGTTATTTTACAAACCAAAGTATGACCTAGTGTTAAGTGTATACATGGCCTGCTAATAGATTTAAGTTCGAATTCCCTTCCTCAATACTCAAATATATATATATATATATCATAAGTTATTTTAAAAATAATTAAAAAAAACAAAATAAAATGAATTCGTTATTACTTTATATGATATTTGAAATAATTTGTATGTAAAAAGTGGATGCAACTGTTTCAATGTAATTGAATTAAATTGAATGTTTCACCTAAAATTTTCATTTCTAAGATGTTTAGGTATTGCATATGAATGCTTATTATTATTATTTAACAATGGACAGATACATTAGGTTGACAAAGTAGCTAACAAAATCATTTCGCTTCTCTCGTAAGTAATGTACTTATATTTTGAATGCCACCTAATTAGATTTCACCTATATATATATTTAATTATGATAAAAAGTTAAAATGTTATTAGCAAATATAGTTTTCATATCTAAAAAAAAAAAGATACCAAAACAGTTTTTCTATATATATATATATTGAAAATTTAAGACGAACATGAAAATTTAGGTGTTAAAATTAAAGAGATTAATAGATTGCAAGAAGATTTTAAAATTTTTGAGTCATGTCATAAAAAATGAAAAATAAAAAAATAAATACCAAAAGGATAATTAGAAAAAAAAAAGAAGAAAGAATAGTATAAGTGTAAAAATGGGCCGTCGTATACATTAAAAGACAAAGGCTCCTTTGATTAGATATGGGTCCCATGCTAATTAATACAGTTATGAGTCTGTAACCAAACCACCTAACACGTTGGAAATTCAGATAACACATATTTGTACTTCTGTTGACAAGCTCAAGACGCGTCTCATTGGATGAGTTGTGTAATTCCTTCCATTCCGTTTTCCCTTATTGACCGGTTTGTCAAATATTTTATATATAAAAAAAAAAATTTTATATATAAAAAAAAAAAGTGGCAACACGACTGTCCGGGCCTTCAGATAACGTCTTTTATATTCAACTTTTTTGCCATTTTCCCTTAGGTGATTATATAGAAACAGACCAGATAATTAATATGCATAAAATGTCATGAAAGGATAACCCAGATAAAAAGAAAATGGAAATTTGACATTTTTCTTGAGAGAGAATCAGGGGATTACCTTAACAATGAGCTGTGCTATCGGGGAAGTGGGAAACCCTCGTTAGGATTAACAACTGCTGTACTTTCCACAGTATTGAATTGCTTTTTTAAAATGTCCTCTGTAATGCATTTGGTGAGGCCTGACTCATCTCGAATCGGCATTGAATTCAGCAATAGAAAAAATGAATAGGAGGGTTGTTATTGTTATACATTAGGAGAATTTAGTTTTCCCATTTTGTAATTCAAATTAATTTTTGAAAAAATTTAGGTTTAGAGATTCGAAGAGGACGAAGAGTTTGAAATACTTTAAATGGTTCTTTGGATTTGTATTTTGGATTGTATTCGGAGATCTGTTTTCTGGGTATTGTTTGTGTTCTGTCCGACAGCAACAGGACGAAACGGAAAGTTCGTTCACGACGGTGTATTTGGTTAAAAAAATCACCGGCAAAGGCGCGCATTACCCCCGAAAGAACGTCGTCGTTTAGAAGTTTAATAAAAGACATAGACATTTCTGGCCCAAAAGAAAAGATTGGAACGGTGAGGTTTAGGCTTTTGCTTTCTATTATAAGTTGGAGTAAACATATTTCTTTTAGAGCTAGGCCCATTATATTTTATGTAAATTATTTTTTAAAGCAGCGATTAGACAGAGTAAAATATTTTTTAAAAAAAATTTTGATAATAATTATTTTAGCTAAAAAGAAACATATAGAACAACAATTTATACAAAATTAATTACAATTATATACAACAACAATCATACACTTTGAACGTGATTGAATCAATATTGATAAAAATTATTGATTACCACCGATAGAACGATAAGGTTCATTCTCTTTTAACTAGAGGTTTCGAATTTAAACTTTAAATATAGAGCACTTTTTAAACTTGCAAGGAGCACGTTACCTCCTTCATGAGCCTTTTCAGCGCAAATCCAAAGTAATCGGATCAGTAAAATTTGGATATGGTTTAAAAAATAAATATTATCTCAATGTAGAGAAAGATTATGATTGGGTCCTTTCTTAATATATTCTATGACATTAATTAATCTGGTGTAGCTGATAATAGATACCAACTTGACAATTCACAATTTCAATTTTGGTTTCTACTTTACATAAAAGCATTATAGTTAGGACACAGTCCTTGAAATTTGACTTTCACTCTTAGGGCCTAAAGTAGTTTTTATTAATCATGTGTGAAATTTGTGGTTCCTGGTTAGGGAGTATGTATATTTTGCTAACCATTAGCAGTTATAGTTGCTAGCCATTAATTAAGATTTGACAATTCTAGTTCTATGCATGAGAAACTAAATTCAAAAATATTGGAATTGGTATTTCACTCTCTCTCCCACCCTTTTTTTTTTTTTTTCTGAATAAAAATTGGTCTCTAAATTAGATTTAAAGTAGATTTATTTTCACTTGTTGTCGCTCGTTATCGTATCTAAAATTTAATTTGTAACTCAAAAATCCTCAAATTATTATTATGAAATAGAAAAACCCCTACAATTACTTTTCGGGCAAAACTCGACCGGAATGCTGACATGGACAGCACGATTATCAATTATAATAATTTTTTTTTGCCATACAGGTTTGCTCAGTCAGCTATATCTCTTTTTAACTTTCTCCCTCGCCAGGTAGCTCTCCCTCTCCTTAGGCATGGCCGGTTCAATAAACCGCCGGTTCAAGATGTTTAAAATTTTAAACCGGAACCGGTCCTTGAACCTCCGGTTCCGATTTCGGTACGGTTCATCACGGTTCCGGCGAACCGACGGTTCAAATTACGGTTCCGATTCGGTTCCGACATTACGCAAATTTTTAAAAAAATAATAAGATTTTGATTTCGAATTTTTAATTTATTACTAATAAATTATTATAAAATTGTAAAAACAAAATCTCTATTAATTTTTGAATGTTATCATATATTTAAATAGAAGTAGATTTGGTAGATCACTACTTTGATGAACGATAAATTGAGGTTTGAGTTACATCCATTCCTACCTCACTTGATGATTGATCTTTAAATGCCTATCTTGAAGTGCCATATCCTCCTCCAAGCTGATGCAATATTTTCTTTCAATAATTTACATCGAACGCACTTGATGTCTCCAATTATCTTAAGTTTTGCCAAAGTTGCGCTTAAATGTCATGTTTTGTGATTTACCTATTGAAATTTATGAGTTTGCTTTTGGGGTAAAAAATCAATCAATGGTCATTTGAATCATTTCTTCCACGCTTTGAGCCAAATCGAATTGCCTGGGAGCTTTGTGAATTGTTGGCATAATTTTAAAGTAGATTATGGAAAAAAAAATAAATGGAATATGAAAACTTAATGGAATATAGAATTGCATGTATGAAAATTAAAGCGAAATATTAGAAGAGAAGAGAGAGATGAATATATTGGTTGTGAAAAAAATTAATCAACGTCATTAATACATTTTTCATTTATGTAGTTTCTCAATTCCTTAGAACAAATATAACAGAAAAAAAATAGATTATATTTTTGGATAATTTAGTAAATTATAATAACTAAAAAAAAATAATTAAATAATTAAATATAATTATAAACAATATCTATCCGTTTGAATGTCATTTAACATTGCTATAAAATTGTTAATTGTATAGTTTAAAAGAAAATAGTGTATTTGATAAATAAGTTCAAACGGTCTAAAAAGTGAAATGATGATGCTTCCTTTTTTTTAAACCAAAATGATGATGTTTTTTTTTTCACTATTTTTGATTATTGCAATAAATAATTTTGTTTGTAAATTCGGTTCGAACAGGACCGAAACCGCCGGTTCCGGGCCAATTCAGGTTCATTTTTTAACATTCACATGAACTTTAACCGGCCCTTGAACCGCCGGTTCCGGTTCAAAATTTTAAACCGCCGATTTCGATCCGGTTTTGATTCATCTACAGTACGATTCGGTTTCGGTTAGAACCGAACCGATGGCCATGCTTACCTCTCCTCCTTTGCTTTCCCTCTCATGCATCTCTTTCCTCCTTACCATCATGATTCTAATTAACTTATGAAGCACAAATAGCTTATGATCCTTCACGCTAAAATAACTATTTGCGGATATCTTGAATGATGAAAAATCGCATAAATGAAAATGAATATGGACATCAAATAAAGGAAAATAGTTAATTTGGTTATTTCAGATTTTTCTTAAAACTCTATTAATTTTTTTTTGATTGGTATTGTAATTATAATTCTAATACTGAACTGGTTTTCTAGAGTAATTGAAAAGATGTTGTCTTTTTCTAAAGAAAAGACTTTCTTTTTTTTTTAATTTTCAACTCAACAATCTGACAGTATTCTAAAAACAATTATTATAGCTGACTAAGCATCTTACGTAATAAAAAATGTTGTTATTGTTGATGATTGTGCTGTCTATGTCAGTATTTTGGTCGAGTTTTATTGGTTGTGGGGATTTTTCTATTACACTAATAATAATTTGAGGATTTTTACGTTATAAATTAAATTTTAGGTACCATAGTATAATAGGTGTTACAACTGAAAGACTAGGGGTGAAAATAAACCATTTGAAGCATCGAAATCTAATTAAAACATTATTAGATTTAAATTCCACTCATATTGAATTATGGATATTATTTTCTAATGTTCATTAATTGTTTGTACTTGTTGGTTGAAAGTATTTAATGCTCAAATCACTTTTTCCTTTTCTTTTTTAAGAAAAAGTTGAAATCACTTTACTATCAAATAATCAAGAAAATAACTATTTATAAATTTTAGATGATAAAAATAATATGAATTTTTCAATTTGAATTTTAGATGATAAAAATATTTATAAATTACCCATGTTGAGAACACCAAGTTTTATAAGAATTCAATTTGAAAAAACCATTATTTTAATATTAAAAGCTAGAATTTTAAGTTTAATGAAATTAAATTAACTAGATTGGTTATTATTAAATTATATAAAATATCTTATATCTTAAATTGTATAATCCTAAAGTTTTAAATATCATAAGTTATTTTACAAACCAAAGTATGACCTAGTGTTAAGTGTATACATGGCCTGCTAATAGATTTAAGTTCGAATTCCCTTCCTCAATACTCAAATATATATATATATATATCATAAGTTATTTTAAAAATAATTAAAAAAAACAAAATAAAATGAATTCGTTATTACTTTATATGATATTTGAAATAATTTGTATGTAAAAAGTGGATGCAACTGTTTCAATGTAATTGAATTAAATTGAATGTTTCACCTAAAATTTTCATTTCTAAGATGTTTAGGTATTGCATATGAATGCTTATTATTATTATTTAACAATGGACAGATACATTAGGTTGACAAAGTAGCTAACAAAATCATTTCGCTTCTCTCGTAAGTAATGTACTTATATTTTGAATGCCACCTAATTAGATTTCACCTATATATATATTTAATTATGATAAAAAGTTAAAATGTTATTAGCAAATATAGTTTTCATATCTAAAAAAAAAAAGATACCAAAACAGTTTTTCTATATATATATATATTGAAAATTTAAGACGAACATGAAAATTTAGGTGTTAAAATTAAAGAGATTAATAGATTGCAAGAAGATTTTAAAATTTTTGAGTCATGTCATAAAAAATGAAAAATAAAAAAATAAATACCAAAAGGATAATTAGAAAAAAAAAAGAAGAAAGAATAGTATAAGTGTAAAAATGGGCCGTCGTATACATTAAAAGACAAAGGCTCCTTTGATTAGATATGGGTCCCATGCTAATTAATACAGTTATGAGTCTGTAACCAAACCACCTAACACGTTGGAAATTCAGATAACACATATTTGTACTTCTGTTGACAAGCTCAAGACGCGTCTCATTGGATGAGTTGTGTAATTCCTTCCATTCCGTTTTCCCTTATTGACCGGTTTGTCAAATATTTTATATATAAAAAAAAAAATCAGAACATGAATTTTCTATTCCCCATCGGAAAATCACTATCTATAATGCAAATCACGTCTATAGATCTTGCATCTAGTCAAACTAGATGTGTAAGATTTTGAGATTTATTTCCATTTATGCAAACATTTTATATAAATTTCTCTTAATTATTTCCAAATTTTCCAAAATCTCAAAAAAAGGTTTAGGAAATTTAGAAACTTTACTCTGGCTGGGTGCTGACATGATATTTATTGTCCTTCACATACAATTGGAAAGTTAACACAGTATTTCTTTCTTTCTTTCTTTCTTTCTTTTTTCCAGCTTGGAATTACAGAAAAAGACAGGCAACAATTGGCCACTATTGCTGAAATTTCAGAGATCAAGCAGCTTTTATTTTCAAACACAACCGCAATCTAAGGCTACGATATATATGTTTTTACTGTTAGAAAATCAGGAAAGAAAAGGAAAGGAAAGGAAAGGAACAGGAAGATGCTTATTAAGTGATACACTTCCTTATAAGTAGTTTCTTGATCATTATACAAGACTCAAGAACAAGTCTTGATTCAATTATATTTGACAGGTCTTTATATTCAGAAAGATTTTGTATAAATCAGCGGAAATTTGTTTGTTTTTGTTTCTTGACGTAGAAAATGAAGTTTGGGAAAGAATTTGCAGCACAAATGGTTCAAGAATGGCAGGAAGCATATATGGATTATAACCATTTGAAGAAAATCTTGAAAGAAATTTTACATTTCAAGCAAAGAAACATACCATCTTCAATGGCAGCAGCAGAACCATCAAAAACTATTTCTTTAAAGAGAAGGGTATCTCTTTATAGAGCCTTTAGTGGGCTAATATCTTCTCCGAGAAATAGTATAAGTGATGAAGATGAACCGATACTAATAACTGCATCTCAAGAAGATGAAGGAGGAGGTCATTATCGTACTACATTTCTAAATACATCAGAAGAAGGAGGAGAATATGAGCTTGAGTTCTTTAGAAAACTCGATGATCAGTTTAATAAGGTGGTTAAGTTCTATAAAGAAAAGGTTGAGGAAGTCACAGCAGAGGCTGAGGATTTAAGCAAGCAAATGGATGCTTTGATCGCGCTAAGGATCAAGGTTCATAATCCAGATCTTGGAGGTGCTTTTTTAGGGAATCTTCATGCTGATCGAGTCGGTAATCCCATCAATTGTAAAAGTGGAAGTCCTAGAAGCCAAGGTTTGGACAATTTTTATTGTTTCCAGTTATTTTCTTTACTATACAAACTATTTGAGACTAAATAAATAAACTTTTCTTTTTAAAGGAAGTTCACAAATGGAAGTGATTCAAGAAGTAGAGATGAGCAACGAAGTAAATGTAGAAGATGAGGAGAAAAGAGATAGTGACAACAATATTAAGGGCTTTAGAGCAGCCTCATTAGAAGTTTTGGATCATGTAAAGATCATTGTTGAACCTGAAACTCCTATATCTACAATGAAGAATATTATCTCTTCCTCAAAAGCAGACTTGTCGTATAGCAAGGAAGAACTGAGGAAGGTAGAGGAACTTATGGCTCGGGCTTTTACTGAATTCTACAATAAGCTTGGACTCCTTAAAAGCTACTGGTAATGCAATGTAATGTGCTTGCATTCTGAAAATTTGTGTTTTATTTTAGTATGTAACTAAGCATGTTATTGAATAATGCTGCAGTTTCTTAAATCAATTAGCATTCTCCAAGATCATGAAAAAATATGACAAGGTAATATACTACACAAATCGTAGTTATAATAATAAACTTCAACCTGCAAATTTGGATTCTATAGTACTAATTTGTGTTAAAATGCAGATAACTTCGCGGAATGCATCGAAAGCTTATCTAAAAATGGTGGATACTTCTTATCTTGGAAGTTCTGAAGAGGTGAGACTATTGATTCACTGTAATGCTGTTCTATTTGCTAGAGCGAATGTCTAATTTTAGGCACTAACTTTGCCTTTTTTGTTTTTTTTTTTTTGGTCAAAATGTTCGTTTTGCAGGTTGCTAAACTTGTAGAAAGAGTGGAGGCTATCTTCATTAAGCACTTTGCAAATGGGAATCATAGAAAAGGAATGAAGATTTTAAGACCAAGACCTAAAAGGGAAAAGCACAGAATTACCTTTATACTTGGTAAGATCTGTCTGCAACTAAAGGTTCAAGTTCAAGCATTATTAACTAGAAAATGTTAAAAATTTACTCGAAACAATCCACAATTTTCCGGTTTTGCTTACAGTTCTATACCTGCAGGTCTCTTCTCTGGTTGCTCTGCAGCACTTGCGGTAGCAGTTATTGTACTTGTACATGCTAGAGATATCCTAAATGATCCAGAAGGTCCAAAGTATATGGAAAATATATTTCCACTTTACACGTAAGTACTTGGAAATTACTTCCTTATCAGATTCTTGAATATTCCTCCCCCCCCCCCCATTACCCTCCCCCCCCCCAAAAAAAATTTTTTTAAAAGAAATTGTCCCCCCCCCCCCCAAAAAAAAATTTTTTTTAAAGAAAATGTGTTATTAATTTCAGATTCTTTGGGTATATAAGTCTGCACTTGCTCATGTTTGCTGCTGCCATATACTTTTGGAAACGCTACCGGGTTAATTATGCCTTCATATTTGGTTTGAAGAGAGGAACAGAATTGGGTTATAGAGAAGTCTTACTTCTAAGTTCAGGTCTTTTATTACTCACGCTTAGTGGTGTCCTCTCAAATTTGGATATGGAGATGGAACCAAAAACAAAAAGCTACAAAGCACTTACTGAACTAGTACCTCTAGGCCTGCTCGCTGTAATCTTTCTATATTCAATTCTTGAATTCATCATTCCAATCTTATATATTATCAAATGCATATAATGTTTTTTCAATGCAGGTTGTGCTTTTTATAACATTCTGTCCATTCAATATCATTTACCGGTCGAGTCGCTTCTTTCTGATCCAATGTTTTATTCATTGTCTCCTTGCTCCTCTTTATAAGGTAAAAGGATTAAGGAGTTGCAAACACAAAACAGAAAATTTCATAAATAAAGAAATTTAATGTTTGTTCCATTATGTGTTTATAGGTTACCCTTGCAGATTTTTTCTTGGGTGATCAGCTTACTAGCCAGGTTTGAAATGGTTGATGTTTTAATAACTGAATAAAGATATCAGACATTTTCTGTTGTCTCTGAATATGTTCAATTATTTGTTATTTTCAGGTGCAAGCTTTCAGGAATTTGGAATTCTATATTTGCTATTATGGTTGGGGAGATTTTAAAAGGAGGTCAAATAAATGCCTTGAAAGTCAAGTTTTTGAAACTTTTTATTTTGTTGTAGCAATCGTTCCATACTGGGTTCGCTTTCTTCAGGTTAATTTCTGATGTAAACAAACTTTTATTGCAACTGCAAGCATCTTCTTTCATATATATATATATAGTGTACTCATACAGTAGTTTATATCAATGTTCTTAGTGTCTCCGTCGATTGTTTGAAGAGAAAGATACAATGCAAGCATATAATTCAGTAAAATACTTTTCGATAATTATCGCGGTTGCATTGAAGACATATCATGATCTGAAAGTCGGAAAAACAAATCTGGAAATCATTTGGAAGATTATGGTTGCAGTGACCTCAGGTTTTGCAACCATTTTTGGTACATATTGGGACATTGTAATAGATTGGGGACTTCTGCAGAGAAATTCTAGAAATCCTTGGTTGAGAGATAAACTTCTTATACCCAACAAAAATGTTTACTTTGTTGCAATGGTAAGAGAATCTATCAATTTTCCTCAGTATTAGTCAGTGTTTATGTTTTTTTTTTTTTTTTAATTTTATTTGCTAGAAGTAACAGTAACTTGTGATAAATTGCAGGGTTTGAATATTGTGTTAAGACTTGCTTGGTTACAGACTGTGTTAGGTTTTACAGAAGCACCTTATCTGCATAAATCTGCATTAACTGCAATTGTTGCCTGCTTGGAGATAATTCGCCGAGGCATCTGGAATTTTTTCAGGTACAACACAGCTCTTCCAGTTGCGGGTTGGAGTGACTTGCAAAAATAAGTAATATTCAATTAAATGTGTAAAAACTGGATACTGAGTTCTTCATTTTATTGATCAGGCTGGAGAATGAGCACTTGAACAATGTCGGCAAGTATCGCGCTTTTAAATCAGTACCTTTACCCTTCTACTATGGTGTATGATGAAGAAGATGGTGAAAACAAGATGTTAGAATCACAATGACAAATAGGAAATTTTGTTTATTATTTTGTTGTGATGTGAGTGAGAGAGCAGCTTTTTATATACCAAATGCTGAAGCGTTTCAAGTTCTTCTTTCTTGACTAAAATTGACAAGCAACTAAATTTTGAATCATCTGCTTAAAACCATCTATACTTTCAAAAATTAAAGGCCACTTTTGACCTAATTCAACAATAAAGAGTGAACAGAGAATATTACTATCCATAAGAAGTTGGCGGGAACGTTATTAAACAAAATTATCCATGAGAAAAAGCTTCAGCAATGCTACAACTTACAGCTTAAGTTGACCAATAATACAAACTACTGCAAGAGACATTTTATTCAGTTTCCTACTGTTTGATTAACCTTTGGTTCATAAAAAAGAAGACGGTGAATTAGAGACTGGATATGGTACTGCACCATCTATAAGAAAGTTGTTAGACAGAATCCACATCTTCTTGATCTGACTCCTCTCTGTTATGCAGCGTGTCTGAAGAGTTTGAAGCTGAGTTTTCAGCTGTTACTGCCCCATTACTTTCATCATCCTGGTTCTTGAAGACAGATGAAAATGACAGCGGATTGTAGGTAGAGCTTGCTTTCTGAAGGCCTCGTATGGCTTTCATAGCAGCAAGGGTGCTGCGATATATATCCATGGTGTCATCCCCAAGAGTTGATGATGCCTCGGGTGAGATATTTGCTGGGTTATTTGGCTCTGGATTTGGCTGCTTTTGTGTAGCATTAGTAGATTCAATAACTTCAGCATATAATGGAAATAAGAGCTCGAGATTCGCCTCACATTCATGGACTAGCCTTGTTAGAGGTTCTGTTGTAAAAAAAGGCTGGCGAACAGCAAGCTGGGTGAAAGGTAGACAAAGCAATCCTCCAGTTCGTTTATCATACTTCTTCAAAATCTTTACTACTCCTGTCAAAGCGGAAAAATAAATATTGTTAGGAAAAGAGAGAAACTATATCTCACTGACTGACATATGATTGGGGAACATGAAATTACTCATGTAGCTACCTTACATAATTTTCAGCTAGGTAGCTAAAATTTTTGAGAAGCACCATCCTCCATGAAAAGTGAGAAAGCCCTTAACCACAAAAGCGAGATGTAGAAGGGAAAAAATTAAATTAAGTAGCTAGAGTACCTGCAAAATTTAAGGAGCTATAATTTTTTAGGAGGACCATCTGCCCATGAATGGTGACCAAATCTTTACGAATGTCCATCATTTCTTCACTAAATTCACTCTCCGATGTAAAAACTCCTCTATTGCTGCTCTGTTCCTTTAGATGCTCAATTCTTTCTTTCAGTTCCTACATGATTGTAAACAATAGTTACTTGAAAAAGAAAAAAGAGTACATTAACGGAGGCACAGGATTTGTAGCATGATAAAATTCATTCTTCTACAAGCAGAAATTATGAAAAGATTCAATTGGAAAATTAGAAAATACAGGTTATTTATGCCTTACAGCCCTATCTCCAATATATTTGATCCCACCCCACTTGAATGTGAACATAACCTTTGTACTAGCTTGGAGCATTCTGCTATGAAAAAATGTACTGTACTGATCAATATTCAAGATACCCTTAACATCTGGATAGCAACTTGCTTGGTCTACTGCATACTAATATAATCCAATGCAGAGTAAGCATCGATCATGTCCATTTATGGTTCTGCTAATGAAGATTTTCTAGCCAAATAATTAACAGGATGCAGCAAACAACTCGATACTTCCAAGTGTGAAAACCTAAACCACTACGAAAGACGCATTCTGTGGGCATACAGACCAGATTTGTGAGAGGTGTTCTTATATTCACATTTTACTTTAACCAAAGGCAACTAGAACTTGCTGATTAACAGAGAGATAAAGCATGAATCAGAATAAAGAATTAAGATAAGAAAAGAAGATTCTGCGATATCAAATAACACTAGAGGAAAAGAAAACTCCTATAGGCGTGTTCCTCGTCAGTTCCAACTTTTATTACCAAACATTTAGAAATAGAGGCAAGGCCACTTGTAATTATCACTTGCCATGAAAATTATTTATTTTTTCTTCACTTATTATCTTAGTTCCAACGGATGCATAATCAACATTGAAGTTTTTAGTCCCGATTAAAATCAAGAACAAAAAAATTCTATACAATCACACAAAAACCCAATAGTCTTTCCATATCGCGTATCAAATCACAGTAACTTGAATTAGCCAATAGATTACAAACTGTATATAAATCAAATTTCAGAAACCCACATGAAACATAAAATGAGATATGTAAATGAAAATACCATTAACTATTGGCATGTCAAATAACAAAGAATTAGTGATTGCAAAGGGAACCTGAAAACGGATAATGAACTCTTCTTCTTTATCAACATAAAAGTCATTGAACTTATCAAACTCCTCATTTAAAATTCTAATAAACCAATCCTCGAAGAGCATCAAGGACCTGTTTGCATCACCCTCAGGATGATGATGGGTATGATCATCAAGAACATCAAAGGGCGGTGGTGGAAGGAGAACAGCAGGATGAAGGGAGAGAGAAACGCCATCAGAGGTTGCATGGAACTGTTTGAGAAGCTTTTTGAGAGGCTTATAGCAAAGAAATTTGTCTCTCCACTCTGGTAGGGTTTCTTCCAGGTGGGTCTTGAATTCTTTTCCAAATTTCATTGCTTCTGGATTATCTTATCAGATGTTTGTTTGTTTTGTTTAGGTAGAAAAACAAATTCGAAAAGGGTAAGGAGGAATTTGGAATCTTTTGTTAGTGGGCAAAGAAGATTGGATTGGATTGGATAGACTCTAATTTAATTTGACAATATTAATGTCCAGATGCAGTCCTTTGTATTAGTATCATCGTTAGATTGAATTGGCAATGCATCTTCTCCTTATTTTCGTTTTTTATTTTTTTAATTTTGCATCAGTCGGTTATTTAAATTGCATTTCGGGAGGTCAACCCCGTAATGATCTTTTTTTTTTATTTATTTTTACACATGGTGTCCATACTCGGCCGGCCGATGACATAAATTGCCTGTCAGTGACCCATTTGCAATTTTTACAGACTCCTTTCCTCTGATGAAAACGGGTAAATTGTTGATTCAAAAAAGATTATAAATTCAAAAATTATACAAATTACGGTTTAAAGATTTAAGAAATTAAATCCGAACAAGTCTAATGTATTGGAAAACAATATAACTTGTTATTGAAAATGATTGTTAATGCTGAAAATGTGGAATTCTTCTATTTGCCGAACTACAGTCCTAGGTCTTTTTTGCTTATGCCTTTTTATTCACTGTCTTATAGAATATTCTCAGAACAAATCGTGCAAATATAAAAATACCAATCTGTAATTAGATCATGCGCACTAAAAGCTCAAAAATGGAACATAATACAACATTACACATTTCTATTCAAGCCCGAGAAACATGTCGAAACCAGGTAAAACACGATTCCATTGTGAGTTCAAATTCAAAGTAATGGGTCTTTCGATTAATCAGACATAAATGTTTATTATGCCTACAGACTAATTTATCTCGAGATTCTCCTCCACTCGTTATAATTATATCCCTTTTTTAAACTATCCATCGATCTATTATTATTGTCAAACCATGACAATTGAAAGCGAGTGACTGGCCAAAAATCATAATCCAACCTCCAACCATTCAGAGCATAAACCAGCAGAATGACATTGATTAAAGATTACCAAATTAAAGTTTCATGTTCAAGAATCATCACTTGAAAGTAATGTCTGTCAAACTGAAACAAAAAAACTTGTTGATCAAACGTCGTTTGAACCACCAAATAACAGCCACAATTGAGCATACAAAGGAGGAAAAAAAAAGAAGACAGGATAGATGCTGCGCGTAATGCAGTCTCCAAGCTTTATAATATTCATCCTCCAGAATCCCAAAACACGGACTTTGAAGTCTCCCACATCCACCACCCTATATGGCCTCCAGAGCTTGAAGTACATCAGCTTTCAAATCTTCAAAGGCTTCAACTCCAAAGCTGAACCGAACCAAGTTATCTTTAATCCCATAACTTTCCCTCTGTGATTGTGTAAGATCCCTGTAGCAAAATTCGAAAGAAAAATAATTAAAACAATGAATTGAACTCATACAAAGCGAAACTGCATTTTTACATTATTCCAGCAAAATGAAAAATTTTACAGAATGATATAGCAGATGACTAGTGTATTGGAGTATGACCATAAGACTAAACAGGTCATCACATTTAGAATCTCTTTTAAGCTAACAATTAAGTGGATTAATGCAATCAGGTGTGGAAAATTATCATTTTAACACTCAACAAAGAGGAAATTTAAGTAGATTCAATGAGCCCAAAGCAAGTAAAACCATAATCAAAGTATTTAAGCTTCAATATACCAGTAAGACATTATAGCAGGCTGATCTACAATGCTTTCAACACCACCAAATGATGGGGCAATATATGGGATTTTCAATGAATCCACAAATTTTATGGTGGTCTTCAAGTCTCCATCAACCTGCACCATTATACATATATGAGCTTAAAAATTTTATACAAAATCCAAGACGTTATAAACAAGCGAATTGCAATACCAGCTATCAGCATTTTGTAGTCCAAACTACTAACCTCAAAACTGACGACACCACCAAAGCCAGTCATTTGCTGCTTGGCAATGTGATGTTCAGGATGACTAGGCAAGCCAGGATAATAAACGCACCTCACCTGCCGAAATCATCCCAAAAATTCTCATTAGATGGATGTGATAGCTTAATATCATGAAGGAAAAAAGTAATGATATATCATGTATATTTCATGCAGCCTTAAATCTCACCAACAGCAAATTATCATGGAATATGAGACTGGTAATCCAGCCCACAATTCCAGAATGTGATACATCTGGAAAAATTTTGCCTGCTTGACTTTATGGTTCACAGGTAATTTGCTCTATCATCACTAAGTCCAATACAACTAAGTTATCCAATAGTAAAAAATGATTTTCACATTATTTAACTTGATTCTATGGCTCCTAATTCGCCAATTAGTGTTTTTACTATCAATTTTCTAAGTATGTAACTTCCTATTTTATTTTTTGCAATTTTTTTTTTTAAATTTCTTAATTTTATAATTATAAATCTTAAAATGTATTGTTTAATTATAACCGAATGTGCCCCCAAATTCCAACCCTTGATCCTTCACTGCTTCCTAAGACAGCAAACTATAGATTAAGGTAAATATGCCTCTGCTCATGGTGAGCATCAGGTGCTAACAGTGATTCATGCTACAAGGTTCTTTAAACTGCAGTTAGGAAGCAATGCATAGGATAAGTTTAGCATGAAATATAGCATTTAGACAACCTCCTCTCATATTAGACAAGCTCCTGGAGCTGCACCAATTGCGGTGAAATGTAGAACTACTAAGGTTCAGTTTGACAACTATGGGAAACAATATTGCAACAAGTACATAAAATCATATTGCTGTAATATGAAATATTACACACACCTTAGGATGTGCCTCTAAAACTTCGGCCATCCTCATTGCTGTTGAATTCTGTTGCTGTACACGAAGATGCAGTGTCTTCATGCCTCGGATGATCAGATAAGCAGCATTCTGTACATTGGAAAAGAGGAAAGGAAAAAGTTTTCAGTTAAAAGCTTGAATTGCATATAGGAAATCAAACAATCATCTCATTGGAAATCAATCTAAACATTTTTCAAGAGTCAAGACCAAATGTTTAAACATCAATATATCAACTTAAAAACCCTCAAAGTTAAAAAGATTACTGATACCAAAGATCCATTGAAGACTGAACGGATATAAGGAAATTTGGAGAGAAAAAAAACCTAGAAGCCAAATTAGTCAAGAAAACTCACCGGGTTAAGAGTGCCACCCAAAATATGGTGCAAATTACGAATTTCTGAAATTATCTTTGTGGAACCACTTATGCATCCTCCAAGGACCTGGAATGGGTATTTGTGTTTAATTCTTAGGCTTGTAAACAAGCTGGTGGCTCAAGTGTTGTTGCCTTTTAACTAACTAATAAAACAATGAACTCAAACTTACATCATTATGGCCACCAATGAACTTTGTTACAGAGTGCAGAGTAAGATCAGCACCTAGAGCAAGGGCCTTCTGATTAAGAGGTGTTGCAAACGTACCATCTATGCAAACTAATGCTCCTTTTCTATGGCAGAGGTCTGAAACTAACTTGATGTCAACACATCTGAATAATGGATTGGTAGGAGACTCAGTAAAGAAAAGAGAAACCTGCATGGAATTAGAACCAATCAACTTAGAATAATGTATCATTACATTAAACTCAAAACTTTCAAAAGCATTCTGAATTATTTTCATTACTAACTTTGTTGTTATCAAGTGCAGATTCAAGACCTTTAATATCTGCAGGGTCAATCACGGAGGCCTGCATTATCAATAATAATCAAAATCATAAAAACAAATTTAAAAATAAATCCATAATACAGAATATTTGAGAGAAAGCAAGTGCTTCACTAACCACATATAGATTTGAACACCAGATTTTTAAAGAAATAAAGCAAGCAATTTCCTCAAATATATAGAAATAAAATAGGAACCATTTGCATCAATATACTAACGGCTCCAGACCCACAAAGACATTAAACAATACATCAACATTCTGCAATTACTGTGTTATTTTCTTCCCATCATACACATTAGTATATTTAGGAGAAAATTAGAAAAACAAAATACATTTATTTCTTAGAAAATATGAGAAATGAAAGGGGAAAAAGCTACTTGGTTTGTCTTTTCATCCTTAATGTGTTAAAACCAGTGAAATACATCATTGCAACTACTGAAGTTATTTAACTATTTCAGGATTTGCACCATAATTTATAAGCAAGGAAGGCTTCAATCTTTTCACGAGGAATCAAAGATGCAAGAAAGTTTTCAGCAACATCAAGCAGCGAAAGAAAATACCGTGATTCCCATTTTAGGAAGAATATTCTCAATGAAGATCCTTGTCTTTCTATAGCAATCTGTGGTTGTCACAATATGCCCACCAGCTGGAACCAATGCCATCAGCATGACTGTACTAGCACACATCCCAGATGCCATAATCAAAGTCGATTCAGCCCCCTCAAGTGCGCTGATTCAGAGCAAATTTATCAATCATGCAGGCACAAAAGTCAAAAGATCATAAGCACACAAATGCAAAGACAAACCTTATCTTCTCTTCTGCGACCACTGTGGTTGGATTTCCATAGCGGCCATATTCAAAACTTGCACTGCGTTTCTCCTGCAACAAGGATCATATACATATATATAATCCATTAGTATCATCAAACTTACATATAAATGTCTCTCTAAGTTGTTAATAGATGAATATTCAAATATACCATCAACAATACTAATACATGCATCAATTTGTTATCAGATTTCATAAATTTTGAAAACATGTATTACGCATAATAAATAATTATTATCAATGCGAACCTTGAAGTCAATAAGGTCAGCAGTTTTCTTAAAGAAATATGCAGAAGTATTAACCACTGGAGTCGGAATTGCATCTGTAACTATACCGCGACCTAATCTTTCTCCTGCAGTAACCAACCACAAAATACCCAATTATTAATCCCGTATTACAATAAGAAATCAAGTAAGACCTGATTAAATAAATCACAAACAGAAAAGGCGAATCTAATATATACTTTAACACTAATTAGGCATTAAAGTATAAATATAAAAAACTTAACAAAATAATTTTGACGATATTTGAATAATTTTACCGGCATGAACTGCAAGGCTTCCATCGGAGCCCAAAAACGAATTCTCGGTAGTTAGATCCTTCAACTGTACACTTTCATTCTCGTTAAGCTCCTCAACTACCACCACCTTATCGCCGATAACTGGCTCGGCAGTGGGGATTGCAGAGGCGGCGGCGGCGGCAGCGTTGGCCGCCGCCGAGGGAACACTGGAGGCGGAGTTGTTGGACCACGAAGCCGCGACTACTTGTGCGACGCCGATGTTGCTGCAGTTCCTGCGAGCCTTAGTGCTGAGCTGGCGGACAAAGTTAGGAGGGAACTTCAAGATCAGAGATGACATTCCACCTCCGAAAAATGATGCCGTTCCATGACGAACCGAATTGACTCGAGGAGAAAACCGGCTGTAGCTCGGCTGGTCCGTGCCGGACGGATCGGAACGGCATTCGAAGGAAGGGGAGAAGACGGCAAGGGACTTGGGACATGGACACGAGGAGACGGCCATTTTTGCGACGTAGCTCAGGATACTGCCTTCTATGAGATTCGGGAAGGAGAGGCGCGTTTGGTATGTATGGCTCTACGAGGATTCAAGTGGTCAAATAAAAGCGTTGGTTTTCTTGTCGTATTTGGTGTTTGGCATATAGAGGTGACGTGTATTTTTTTTTTTTTAAATTATAATCGTACATTAAATTTTATTAAAAAAATTTACTTTATCCTTGTCTTTTACAAGAATAGCCCATCATACCATCATATTTTTATACCTTATAATCCATTTTTTTGCTAATTTGTGATCAAAATAATTTAAAGAGGTTAGGTTAATTTTACTGACCAAACACGTGAGAGAAAATTTCATGAGTTAAAGATCTCTAAATGGAATCAGCAGCATCAACATGATCTCTAACAATAGCTTTTTTGGCCAATCATAGCTCATCAGAATATGAATGCATCGAATTTTTTTTCACCCTCTTTAATCTTTTTATCAAAATTCAGTTGGGTGTCAAATTTGAGAAAACACGACCATTCTGATTAAAACCATTTTCGGTGTTTGGTGCTTGTTATTTTTTCATGGGTATGGTGATGAGATGGATTATTGAGTGGTTAAGCAAATTGAAATTAATAGAATCGAATAGTTGAATAGAGCAGTGAATTGAAATTTCAAGAAATATTAAATAGTTAAAATAATAGAGTAGAAATTGAAAAATTAGAAAAAAAAAAACAAAGAGAAAATAAATTTCTGTTCCCTTCTTGTTCTGTTACCCTTTGTTTATTAGTTTTGGTTTCTGATACCTCTTCAAATAAAGCAAAAAAAACATGGCCTTTTTGGAAATTAATTCCAACAATGGCGAAAACAAATAAATCTTTATTTTTCATTAGAGGCAAAGGATATCCATAAAAATATTTATTTCCTTCAAACGATGTAGCATTGAATATTGGCAAATGAAGCTGGAAAAAGAAAACAAATTCAACCTATTCACAAAAAGAGTCTTTAAAATCAGAAATCTTCATTATCTTCACCCTTCGTTTCTTCATCTTCCTCGTTATCATTGCTTTAGGCCTGTGAATTGGACACAATGATGATAATAAAACCATAAGAATTTTCTATTTTAATGTGATAAATAAGAGTTATCAAATAATCGATGGTTATTTTATTTCTATTTTCTATTTTATTTCTATATAGAAAGAGAAAAGGAAAAGACAAAAACGCCCAGATCATGTGAAACTATAACAATTGCCAATTTTTGGAACTCCAATAAATAAATTTTAATTTGTTATCTTTGGTTCGTCTTGTCAAAGATTAGCATCAAATTACATATAATTTAATATTAATAGAAAAATGAAAATATAAAATTCAAGCAATGTGCTAACACTTGAAAAAGACATTTATAGAATCATTTGAATAATATACCGATGTGCGAAATGCAAATTATTAATTTATATGCAAAGTCCTTAAATTGAGTAGAAATAATAAAAATTATTAATACAAAAGAGGAATTAATAATTATTGAAATGAAAAAAAAAATAAAAGAAAAAAAGGACTTTTTAGGAGAAGATCCCATGTTAGCGATTTGGGCATCTAGGATTTGAAGCCACTTGAATAAAGCAAGATTTTGAACTGTCCTAGTGTCCACCATTGTCTTCTGGCTCTGATTCTTCGACTAAAATGGGAAATGGAATAGGGAATACAACTTGAGCTAAAAGATAAACAAATCAAAATGATTTTTTAATGTCTCCTTTGAAAACTTGGAGCATCATCACAAAACAAATGGTATTTTTTTTTATTGATTGTGCCTCTTCAAATGCTAAAGAGAGCAATTTTAGTATATATATATATATATATATATATAATATATATATATATATATGGGAACAACAAATTATCTACATTGTAATTAAATAAATTTGCCATAAATTCAATTTCATCCTTATATTACTCCAGGTGTATAGTCGTGCTAAGATATATATATATATATATATATGGGACAAACAAATTATCTACATTGTAATTAATAAATTTGCCATAAATTCAATTTCATCCTTATATTACTCCAGGTGTATAGTCGTGCTAAATGGCTCAACTTAGATCTGACACAACTTTCATTATAATAAAGTAAACTGTCTAAATGCTTTCAACAAATTTAATGCTATGGATTTTGCCTGCAATATACACACGAGACATTTTACCTTGTCATAGTAAAAGTCGTGTCAGGTCTAAATTGACCAATTATATTTTCTTACATATACAAACACAAATTCAGCTCAAAGGAATATTCAAGTAAAACTCTTTTAATTCATAATGTTGCGGTAAACTCTGAACTTTATTTAGAAAATTGGTAAGTATATCTTTTAAATATATCTAATAAAATCACATATTTTATTGATATTCTTTGTTGGGAAATGTCCACTTGCTAGTTAAAGTATTCATACTAATAATTGTGTTTAAGGAGATTAAGTAAAGAAAGTTTTGTTAGTAAGCAACAATCTTTCTTTGGGTTCTTGGCTGCATTAGGTCACTCTCTCCATTACATATTTTTGTTTTTTCTATCTTTCTAATTTCTAAGGTTGCTACCACATATGATAGTGGCAAAAATAAATATTCTATTAATTAAAAAAAGAATCAAGGAGGCGTTTGGATGGCAAAAATCGCAAGCAGCATGGGCGTCTAGACTAGACTAGGAGGAGTTGAAACATTTGTGATTCAATGTATTCCTCCTTGTTTGAAAGTCTTACTCATTGGGACTTGCTGCCCAATTTCTTTACTCATCGTATGTCTTATCAGTTACTGTATTATAAAAAATTAATATTTAATCAACACGTTGATTACGGTAGCATTGAAATTAATTCCTAAAATAATGCAAAATTGAAGTAATTTGAATACTGCTGGAAATTCAAAAGCTTCATCGTGACCGTTGATCTTTACAAGACAAAACTTTTGCAGACCAATAAAGCAAACCCTAATTCCGAACGCAATTCTGATATAAAAGGGTCTCTTTCTCCATCAAGTTATGCTCCATTCTCTAATCCACGGCGACCAAATTCAAGTTTTAAGGTAAAAATTAGATTATTCTGGAAATGAATTAGGTATTTGTGTCGACGCACTGGTACTGAGGCTCCGTTTCGCAATTGAAGAATCGGTAGTCTAATCTTAAGAGTGCAAAATCGAATTCAAAAACAGGGATCCGCTTTGCAGCTTAAAATTATTTCTGTGTTTTTGCTGCCAGTAATCCCCTGACATCGTTCTTACAGATTAGATTCCCACTTTTTTATTTTCTTCAAATGGGTCAAGAATCTATTGCCTTCAGCTGTTTGTTGCTTTTTTCTTGAGCTGATTTTGTGTTTATTGCAATATGTTGAGCTAAAATCAATACAGGGAATTTGAGTCTCAGTTTGATATTTGATTGGTAAAAACTAGTTGAAGAATGATAATATTATATAGACAAGCTTTGCTGTAGCAGAGGAAATATGTCATAAAGATGATAACTTTACATAAGTTTCATCCTCGAAATACATTCAATTGGTCAAAATATACCCATTTCTTCCAGCTCATAATATGGACCAAACCCAAAGTGAGCCAACAATTTTTACCTGCAAGGTTAGAAATTTAAAAGGATTTTTCTAAAAATGACTATTTAAAAGAAAAAGAAGTTCAAATGGAACTCGATACAGTGAGCTACATTCTCAAACCAACTAAAACACCATATGATTGGGACTGTGTGGTATATAGAACAGACATGGTTAAATATTTAGAAGAAGAAGAAGAAGGTCATTTAATAAGCACAGTTGGGTACAGTTAATCAATTGGAGGCCCATGTGCGGTGCATTATACACAGAAATAAATGTTATTGTACTGGACAAGGAAAATTGGAATAGAAAAAAGATATACTCACTCCATATTGTATCTTTCCAATCAAAAGTGTGGTCAAACTTTCACCATTGCTCTCTACACACAGCCTGGCTTCTTCTTCATCATCCATTTCAATTAATTGGAAAATAACCCTTTACCATAAACTTTCATTTTTGCTATAACTATTTGGAGATGACATGTCGTGGCTTGCTACTTCTGGGCTCCCCCCAGCTTATCTCACCGCTCGCGGGACAAGTCGGGTTCCAAAATATTAAGTTTATCCTCTTGAAATGTAAAACGTAAAACTTTATAGCTCTCCAAGCAAAGTGAACTTTTTGAATTGTGTTTTGGTTAGGATGAAACTTACCTTACTTAATTGAAAGCAAAAGTGACAATTCAAGTTGGTGACCCCAAGCTTGTCTCGGTCTCTATACATAATCATCATGTCTTTAAACAAATCCCATTATACTATTCCACCAATATCATTACAAATTTATAATAAAGCTAAATAAGAAGAGATGAGGTTTAAAAAATGAAAGAGAATGCAATACTTCTATAGAAAACATTCATGAAATCTCAATAAGAAAAAAAAAAAAAAAAAAAAATTCATGAAATCTCAATTAAGAAAAAAGAAAAAAAAAAAAAAGAGACAACTGCCAACTAGTGAAAAATATATTTTTTTGGTACAAATGTCGAATTTAAATTAAATTAAAATTAAAAAAAAAAAAAAAAAAAAAAGAGACAACTGCCAACTAGTGAAAAATAATTTTTTTGGTACATGATCGAATTTAATTAATTAAATTATGTGATAAGATTTCATTTGATAAATCATAATAGAATATATCGCAATGAAATGTAACATAGTCAAATGTATTTATAAAGTAATATTTATATTACATTTTATTATAGCTTATGGATGAAAAAAAAAAAAAAATCCTCTTCTCGAAAATAATGGGGCCAGTAGAAAAATGGGTTTTAGTTGAAAGAAAAATGACACAAAAATGAAAGAGAGAAATCAATTATGGGGACCATATTGGTAATTATGATTTTGTGACATCAGACGTGGCGTGCGCTTGGCGTTTGAGGCAAAAATAAAAGCTGCCTTTTACATTGGCCTTAAAATAATTATACTTTTAGACTATATATAGACCATCCTAAACTTGAATGAAACAGAAAGGCTACCATCCGGGATTTGGTTTGGACGAAAGATACTTACATTTTTTAATTAGGGTTTAATTCTTTTATAGATATGAGATGTGGCATAAGCAGGATTAAGTTTAATCCAATCGGCTAAGAACTCATATAGTATAAGAGAAATGTTGCTATTTAACCCATAACCACCTGTTCTTTTTGATTAATTATAATGCTAAAAGGTGTTTTCTATTAATGACGTAGTGTGCACTAAAGTAATTAGCTGAATCTGAAGCTTATCTTATTATTTGAGTCGCTCCTTTTAAATAATATGGTATGAGTTATTTGAGAATATGGATGAAACTTCAATTAAATTGTAAGTTCACTAAATGTATCCTTTTCTAGTGAGATACTCTACCTAAAATGATGCTTTGTTTAGTGTTAAAGAAAATGGAGTAGAACAAATGAGATTGATTTAAATAGAAATGATTCAGGTTCATTAAATAACCGTTGAGTGTTTCATCTTTATAAATAGAGAAAAATATCTATTAAGAGTACTTCTCCTTTATAAGCCTGATATAATATGAACAAAATTAAACTTAGTTAAACGAACTAAAGATACATGTAATACATATTAAAAAGAAAACGGAATAGACCTGATACGGAGTACTTCCCCTTACAGACCTGACACGCTGTTAATGAGATGAAGTTTAATTTAATGGGCTTCGGTTGAAAAATCAGAATTAAATTTACCTTTCCTTCAATTCAAATCGAGGAATAGTCTCATGCATTTATTTCGATTATGTCATATCATCAGCTGAAACAGACAAATTAGATTGCATTTTTCTTTTTCCTTTCTATTTTAATTTCGCAACAAAAGGATATCTGAATATGATATTATATTGGAGTTTAATGATTTTAATTTTGAAAAATTCATGAAATATACATTCATCAGATTAATTATTATTTATTCAGTTAGACAAATTTTCTCTTATCTACTGGCCTGGACTCCATTCCTTCTCATGTCTTCTAGTACTAAATAATTTTTCTTGCTCTTCATTGGTAGGAATGTGACGTGAAACCAACAGCAATAAATCTCATAAATACGTATATTATTGAACAAGTTCATAATGTACACATTGTCTCATATTTATACAGATAAATATTAAATATCCATCCTGTTAAATCGGATTAATTTACTAGTCATCTAACAGTTTCAAACTATGAAAAAATATATTTCATTCTAAAAATCGAAAATTTAAATCCCCGCAACTATATATTTTAATTTTCATAATACATACTTGAATTTCTCTTCTCTAAAATATTGAAAATACGTGGAATCATTTTGAAAACATCGCGTCGAAACAAATCAAATTTGAATTAAATTAATGATAAATAAAGGATATGAGAGGACTCATAGGAAACATGTCAAGATGTCATCAAGCTTGACACACAAGTTGAATTGTATTCCACTTGAACATAATTAATTGTGATGGAACCAATAGCCCTAACTGAGATATTAACATTTCAATTTGCACATAGGAAAAAAAATAATAGTCATAATAATAAATCAGTTTCACTACATTTAATAAGTTGAGAAGAGCTCATTGTTTGTACATGATACTTCTCTTAGAGAACATGATCAAGAACAATTAATTTTGTAGCAAATTTTACATATAAATATACATATATATATTTTAGAACATGGGTGAATCAGAAGGAGAAGAATTCACCAAATTAAGAATGCTATTCCAATAATTCTTGTTATCTTCGTAATAATCACTACCACCACCACTATTATCGGAGTCTTTACCGCTATCGGATAAACTCCGGTCACCAGAATCACTAAGCAAGAGATTAGTAAACCCTTCTTCCATAGCATGTCCTACATGAATATTACTGCAACTATTTATTCTTGAAGATTCTGCACTCCATGGCCCTTCCATTGAAAATGTAAAAGAAACAGAATTTGAATTTTCAATTCCTTTCCAATTATGTTCACCTTCTTCCTTAATAATTCCGGTCTCTGATGAGCCTGAAGTATCTACCAACTCAATAATAGGAATTGAATTCTCTCCTCCAATTCCCGAGGAATTCAAGATTTGAGATGCTGCTGATGGTGGCGGTTGTGGCAGTGCATTTTCCGAAAAAGTAAGAGTAGACGTCGGAGATTCAAGGCCGCCTCCAATTCCATTGCTGCTTAGAGCATTTCCTCCATTATTCCAAGCTTTAGGTGGCGGAGCCTGACCAGAAACTGAACCAGAACCAGAACAAGAAACGGAAACATAGCCAGTAGGGCTAAGTTGGTGTTGAAGTGAATGTGAACGCAGCTTAGATTCTCGTACCAGCCTAGCCTCAGCTTCGAGCCGAGCACTTTCCCATTGAGCCATGTGGCTAAGATTTGCTGCATTCTTGGTTTGACCATCACTAGAAAGTAAAGCATCATTTTTTGGCTTGTGGGTAACTGGATCAATCCCCATTTTTGCTAATCTTTTCTTTAAATGTGTATTCCAGTAGTTCTTGATTTCATTATCAGTTCTTTTTGGTAAATGAGTTGCTATAGCTGACCACCTAGGGGGAAAAACACAAAAAAACAAAAGAACACATAATAGAGACAGACCTTAATTATAAAAGATAAATTAAAAGACTATCAACCATATTAAAAGGAAGCATTTTTTTAGTAATTTTTCTGAGACAAAAAAGAAAAAAAAAAAAAGAACCCTATGCATTTTATATGTATATGAATTTAATCCCATTAAATGAAATTGGATATTGGGCATATGTCAGAAAACCAGTAAAGATATTCATAATACAGCATAAACTATTAGTTCAAAATGAATGTCGGTTAAAAAAGAAAGATTAATTATGGGTTAGTGGGAGGTTGAGTGTAATTAATTAAGAAAAGCACCAACGAACTTGTAGTTTCTTTTCTTGGTCTGATCTTGTAATCTTTTAAAATCAAGAAAACAAGAAACAAGACCAAAACTCCAGAAATACTTGAGATTTCAAGTTTTGGTCAATAGAGAAGATGAAAACCATCATTAAAGAAAAAGAATTAGTACACAATTAATTAAATTAAATTAAAGTTAACCTGTTGCCTAAAAGGGCATGAAGTTGAATAATGGTTTGTTCTTCTTGTAAACTGAACTTTCCTCTCTTAATATCTGGTCTTAAGTAATTAGTCCATCTAAGCCTGCAACTCTTTCCACATCTTTGAAGACCTAAAGCATAAGAAAAGAAACTTAGTTATACTTATACGCAAAGAATCACTGAACTGGAGTTATAAATTAGTGGTTCTTCTTGTATAATAATATAGCAGACCTGCTTTTGCCGGTAAAGCTCTCCAGCTTCCATGGCCATGCTCATCGATATAAGCTAAGAGTTTTTGATCTTCTTCAGGTGTCCAAGGTCCTTTCTTCAAACCTACTTTGTCACAGCAAGGAGACCTACCCATTTTGCTAGTGAAGTCAATAATGAAGTTACTTGTGCTCTCTATATAAAGCAAGAAAAATGAAAGAAAGAGATTTAGAAAGGATTTTGTGCTTGTAAATGAGGAGATGGGCAGAGAAGAAAGGTCAGCGAAATAAATGGGATAAAGAAATTAACTACTACCCACATGACACTACTACCCCTTTAATTTAACCTAATTAAGCTCTCCTCTATGGAGTAATTTGCTACTGTTGCTTTACTTGTTACTTGTTTAATAGGGCACATTCAAAAAAGAAAAAAAAAAAACCCACATGGAATATAATATTTTGAAGGTGTTCTTTTGTCATTTCATGTGGGTTTAAATAGTTATTAATGACTTAAGGTTAGATCTATATGTATTTCACTCTTGATGTCTCTTTCATATATTTCACAAACTTCTCTATTTTTGACCATGATAATTTTCTAGTTGTTCTCTTTGTTTCCTTTTTCAACTTAAGTTATGAATCTTCCATGTAAGCTTAGAGTTAGTAATTTTAAAATCCCATATGTTTTTTTTTCCCCTATCATTTATATTTCATTTACACCTTTTCTCTTTCCTCAGTTTACTAGATATTCTTAAAAAAGTTTCATTACTAGAGAGTTTCTTGAATTCTAGACAGTCTATCAACGGCTCATGTCTATTCTATTAGTATTGCACACTGTTGTGGGAAGTTGATTTGCATTAACTTTAGCCTGATTAGTCAACAACAAACAGCATATCCACTAATGGTAGCGTTTGGCTAATTAATTAAATTGATAGGTATAATTTATTTTCTATTTTAGTAACAAGAGTTGATCTTTGCAATCAAACCTTAAATAGAATTTTCTTTTCTCATTTATAAATTCCCTAATTTCAGAATAAGTAGTTAGTTTGATTTATCTTATGCTGGAAATTTAATTATAGATTGTAGGGTGCCCCTCTTCAGTATGGCCTCTATGGGAATTTGTTTTGTCAAAAAATCAGCAAATCAGGTAGCTCAAGTATTAGCACGGGCTTCTGTTTCTATGATTGATCCTTAATTGACGAAGTTATTCAATTTAATTTAAATAATATATAACCATTTGAATTTTCAAAAGATAAACCTAATTAAATAAAATAAATTGTCAACAGACGTGTATGAAATTAATAGAAAGTGTATTGCATTCCCAAATAAGTTTTACCTACAAAATAAGAATTCAAAATTTGAAATTATCATTATTACGAAAGTTTTAATTAAATATTACTTCGATTTGTTCATGGAAATGTATCCCAACCACTACTTATATAATAATACTAAATTACTTGAATCTTTTATAGAATTATAAGGTAACTACACATATAAAACCCTAATTAGACAGTTGGATGTGTTGGGTCCCGGCAATAAGATTACGAGAAAAATAACACAGCGGAAAAATAAAAATATGACACAGATATTTACGTGGTTCACCCTTTAACTAAGTTGGGATGTGTTGGGTCGCAATAAGATTACGAGAAAAATAACACAGCGGAAAAATAAAAATATGACACAGATATTTACGTGGTTCACCCTTTAACTGTTAGGGCTACGTCCACGGGATAAAAACTGAATAATTCTTCCACTATTAAAAATAGTAGGCTTACAAAGAGAGTAATACAAAATAGTGGCACTCACACCGTGTTTTCCAAATTATCCTCACTATTCTCTCGACCCGAGTTTTAGAACCCAATTCTAAAACTCAAATTCTCTCAAAAAAAAACTCTCTTCACTCTTTTGGTCTGTGTTTTATGAAGCGTTGTGCAATCTCCTATTTATAGGAGGGATGGACGCGGGATTAGGAGAGGTGGACGCGTTAATTACGCGTCCACCGAAAAACGGATCACCTACCAAGAAGAAAATTACAAGAAAGAAAATTCCTAATTTTTCTTAAATTTCAATTTTCAACTACGTGTGGGTTACCACGTTTTCTTTTTTTTTTTTTTTATTTGTTTCAAATTGGGTCCCATTGCAAAGTGGCAACGCACAAACAAATCTCCCCCTGGCACACTCAAGACGGGACGTTAGCCATACCGGCTAGCTTTCTGCAAGTGAAAGCTTCTCAGTGGCAGAGCCTTAAGTCATCAATATCAGCTCCATTATCATCAGGAATCTTTTTCAATCTGAAATAACTTCATCTCCAGCGGCAATCGCGTATCAAGAATACCTCACATCAAATGTGCTTTGACCTTGAAATGAGAGGTCGAATTCTGCTGAGATGTATAGCGCTTTGAATAATCACATAGGGCTAGAATGTACTTCTCTTGTTCTCCACCGAATTCTTGTAGGAATTTCCTTTCATCCATAAGAGTTCTTTGCTAGCTTCTGTAATGGCGGATATATTCCGCCTCAGTGGATGAGAGTGCAACGCATTTTGCAATATTTTTGATTGCCAAGAAACTTGCTGCTCTGGAAAAGTCAATCAGATATCCAAGAAGTTGAGTTTGCGCGAATCAACATCACACCCATAATCTGCATCTGTGTAACTACTAACACAAAAGGTCTATTATGACCAAAACATAAGCACATTTTGGAAGTGGCCCATTTTGGAAGTGCCCTTAAGATACCTGAGAATCCACTTTACCGCATTCCAGTGTTCTTTACCTGGATTTGAAAGAAATCGGCTAACAACACCAACAGCATGAGCAATATCTGGTCTTGTGCATACCATGGCGTACATCAAGCTGCCAACGGTGGATGCATAAGGAATCCTCTTCACTTCTTCTTTTTCTTTCTCACTTGAAGGACATTGACTAAGATTTAATTTGAAATGACCTGCAAGCGGAGTAGAAACTAGTTTTGCATTGCTCATATTGAATCTGCTGAGAACTTTCTCGATGTACTTCTCTTGAGACAGCCACAACTTTCTCTTTTTCCTGTCTCTGGAGATCTTCATTCTTCCGAAGTATCTGTTTTTGGCGAATCCCAAATCCTTCATGGCAAAGGATTTCCAAGTTCCTTTTCAAGCTCCAATTTTCTTAGCATCTTGGCCCAACAATAAGCATATCATCCACATATAACAAGAGGAATAATAAAGTTCGCCTCTATGAACTTTTCACAAATAACATCAGTGATCAAGAAGTAGTTTCTTTCAAATACCCGTGGATATACCATGAAAGAAGTCAAACTTTTGTAACCATTGTCTGGAGCTTGTTTTGAGGCCATACTAAGCTTTTCGAATTTACACACCAAGTGTGCTTTGCCTTGACCTGACGCCTTCTGGTGCTCCATATAAATTTCCTCCTCTAAGGTCACCATGGAGGAAAGGCGGTCTTACATCAATTCTCGACTCCAAATTCAGGCTAAGCTGCTAAACCTGACGCACAACTCTGATAGAAACATCCTTGACTAACGTGGGAGAAAATTTCTTCAAAGTCAACTTCCTTTCTTCTGACCGAATCCTCACGAACCATCCGCTTGGTACCTTGGTCTGTATTTGTTTCAGTCTTCACCTGAACACCATTTGTTTTCTTCAATGTTCCTTACCTTGAGCAGTTTTCTAACCAACTCATAATCTGGTTTTTTTTTTTTTTTTTTTTTTTTTTTTTGTTTTTTATTTTTTTTTTTTTTTTTTTTTTTTTTTTTTTTTTTTTTTTTTTTTTTTTTTTTTTTTTTTTTTTTTTTCTCATGTAAGGAACTCCATCCTCATCTTGCATGGCTTCAGCCACTCATCTTTTAAACAAATCTTCCATTGCCTCCTGGTAGTTCTCCTGGTTCTCCCCTGAGTCAAACAAGTCATATTCAATTAGGAGAAATACTTTGGAAGGTAATCCTGCCTCTCGCAGATCTTCTCAATTGAGGCAACGTTTCTTCATATGGAGCGGTTCAGCATCATTCTGAACAGGTTCATCATCATCCTCACATTTGTGTGTTCATATGAGTCTTGCATCAAAACTAACAGAAACCATTGATAGACTTGGCTTTTCATTTTTCTCAAAAGTCTTCAAATGGTTTTGTCTTCCAGGAATACTACAGTTTCTTGCCCCCTTTTTCCCCCCCTGAAAAAAAAAAAAAAAGAGCTTCTTTCAACTGGATCCCATAATCTGTTACCCAAAATCATGCATGTTCCATAACCCAAGAAGATACAATCGTTTTGACTTTTCGAATCAAGTGGATCTTTCATCTTTTTGGAACATGAGCAAAAGCCCTGCACGCCAAATATCTAAGATGAATCCGTAAGAAATAAATTTTTCCTTGACAAAACTTTCTGGAACCATCTCCTTGAGGAGGTTGAAGTGAAGGTGATCAAGTAAACTGGCAGTTTCATTGCTTCAACCCAAAAGTTAGGAAGTTTAGCATTATGAGAAGAGCATGCATCGAACCCCTTTCAACAATGGTCCTGTTCATTCTCTCTGCAACTGCCATTCGCTTGTGGAGTTTGGGAACTGTCTTCTGAAGTCTGATGCCCGTGTTCTTGAGCAGATACTCACAAATGGACCTCTTTGTACTCCACCACCATTATCCAGCTCTAACACATTTTAGCTTTCTTCCCGTTTGTTCTTTCACACTGACACATGAAAGACTTAAACATAAATTCCAGCACCTGGTCTTTTGACTTTATTGGAAAGCCCCACACCTTTTCCTTAGAATGGTCATCAATAAAGCTAACATAATAAAGCAGCCACTCAAAGATTTGTCACCCATTGAGCAAAACATCAGTTGTACCTAATCTAGAATAAACCAGGTTTTCTAAGATGGAGAAGAGATCTTTGAAAGGAAACTCCTAATGTTGTTACACAACAAACAATCAGTGCAAATTTTCAGAGGCAAAACTTTCAAAAATAGCATCTTTCTTCTTAGTGAGGAGTCTCCATCCTTCCTCACCAACCCAAGTCCGTTTGTTGCCATACATCAGCAAGAATGAAACTTCAACTGCAATTTCACTACTGCCTGTGCAAACTTAGCCTGGGTGTAGTAAGGGAGTTGAACTTTCTTCCTCGCCAGAACACCAAGTTTGCCTTGGAGAAGCTTCCAGCGTTCCTGTTGACAAAACAATTTGGATAGCCCAATTCATGCTAGACAGTGAACTGAGCATCAGATTGAAGGTTTGCTGTAGGAGTGTATCTCAAATCTTTCCAACCAGAGAGATCATATCCAGCATTGGTTTTGAATGCAATACTTTCAATGCCCGCAATTTTTCCCACATAGGCCATTCAAAGTCTGACATGGCCGAATCTCGAGGGAAAGTGATGAGAATATTCCTTATTTGAAGAAATATTGATAAGACATGCAGAGTCATATTAACCCATAAAAGATTGTTGACTTATGGAACACTTCACTCAGACCGAGCATGAGAAATCAGCGCACCTACCATCACCACAGTGCGTCAAGCATCAAATAGCTACTGAAGCTACCTCCGATCGTCTTTTTCTTCCATCACTTCTTTGGCCTTCGTTCCTTCTCCACTTCCTATCATAATGCCTTTTGGATGTGGACCGGCCTTGCCATCAATGATAGCAAGTGAAACAACCTTTCTTTGACTTGGATCTTCTCCGTGAATTGTTCACGTTTGTCCTGGATTGGGGGAGATATCTGCGCCTCACCCTCCTTCTTAACTGTATACGATGCATCTGAGTTGCTAACTCGTAGCACTCCTTACGGTCTGGTTCTTCATTCAGAATGCTTTCCTTCGACTGTGGTTAAGGTTCAGATTCCTCGCACATTACAGAGCGAAGCAGTCAGTGTCCCCAACTTGTCTGGCAAGGAAACTCAATAAGAATAGGGCCTGCACCTGTTCGTTCAAAACGACAATCTTTGACGTCGTCAGTTGGTTCACTATTTCTTCGAAATTTGCCTCAAGTTGATCTGAAGCACTTTCGCCAATCTTTTTGTACTTTAGATTTACAAGCCTTTTTAATAAAAAGGCTTTGTTCTGGGCATCTTCTTCCGCCGTAAACATGTCCAACTTCTCCAAATTGTGAATAGGCATCTTCTTCTCAATGAGCGATATGATTTATGAACGCTCATTTTCCAACAGACTGCCTAATAGTTGCGACTGCTTTTCTGTAATGACTTCCAATCGCTTTCATTATGAAGCTGCCTGATACCTCCCTTTCAACGCCATATTCGTTTCAAAACAGATCTTTACAGCATAGAAAGCTTTCCCATAAATATCTTCCATACTGCAATAGTTTGATGCAGTTGAGTCTAACCATTGTCGCTTGTTTGTTTCTGTCGTCCATGTTTTAACGTTGTGCAGATTATCACCAGCAAAAAACCGTAATACGGTGAAATAGTTAAGTATACGTGGAATAGTGACCTGAATATATTGAAATAGTAACAGTAAAATCGTAAAACAGTAGCCTGTATGTCGTGAAATAGGTAACTGTATATGTGAATAATTACTATGCGTGAATAGTGCTGGCTTATTCTGAGAAACGGACTTAGCAACAGGTAACTGCCAATAGTACTGTTTCACCATCAAGCTTTGAGTTACTAATTTACTATTCATCATTAAGTCCGATTCTGCACGTCTTTTCGAACTGGACTGCACTAATGGACTGCCGGCGTAAATTTTCTCGTCGTCGTGGTAGTAATTAAATTTTTAAAAATATATCCTACGGATGGTAAAAAGCCTTCGGCCTGGATACACTTTTGGGTTCCGGCAATAAGATACGAGAAAAATAACAGCGAAGGAGATAGAAATTTTTTCAGTGGTATCATTTATTTAATTTGATTTTTAATGGTATCAATTTGATTAAAATTTTCAAAATTTTTCATTTAATATATATTTTTAATATTTTTTATCAATTTAACTCTATTTTATAAATATTTTTTAACAATAGTACTGTTCACTATCAACTTTCAGTTACTATTTTACTATTCTCTCGACCCGAGTTTTAGAACCCAATTCTAAAACTCCAATTCTCTCAAAACAAACTCTCTTTGCTCTCTTGGTCTGTATGTATTATGAAGCGTTGTGCCATCTCCTATTTATAGGAGGGATGGACGCGGGATTAGGAGAGGTGGACGTGGGACCGCGTTAATTACGCCGTCCACCGAAACGGTATCACCTACCAAGGAAAGAAAATTCTATTTTCTTATTTCCATTTTCAACTACGTGTGGGTCCTACTTATTTCCATTTTCAACTACGTGTGGGTCCTACCACGTTTTCTTTTTTTTTTATTTGTTTCAAATGTGGGTCCCATTGAGTGGGCACCGCACAACAGGATGATGGTAATTTATTAATAAGGTAATTAATTAATTTCTCTGTGGCCATGATTGAGCCAACTTGAGTATGTAGGAGCATGTATTATAAGCATTATATGCTGCCAATAAGGACGATAATAACATATGATCGTGTAGCTTTAGATTGCCTAATAATGCCTACACTGCTCTACACTGAGAAGAACAACAAACGTGTTTTTGACAATTGATGTGTGTGTTTCTGTGTATTATTATAAATGTTTGATAGATCAGACAAATTGGTTACTCAAAATGGATAGAATTATGTGCAAGTTTCTCTCGTTAAAAACTCTTCTGTGATTAGTTTGCTTATTTTTGTTTTTGTATATCAGACAAACAATGATGCAAAAGGGCACTTTTGTTTTTGTATTTCTTTGTTTTTATTTGGTTGAATAAGAATAAGAACAATGAGAGGAAAAAAAAAAAACATTTTCGGATATATAACTTTGGTATTACCCCAAATATTTTCATACTTTTGAATAGGGTTATTTTCATTTCAGGTTTTCACGTATCAATCTTTTGAGTATAAAAGCTATTCTCATTTCAAGGTTCGTAGTTGCTTCTCTCTATTGATATTTTTTCACTTATCAATTTTCCATTGAAATTACGTATATTATACTACTTGAGTCACTCTCCAGTAAGTATTTATTTCATCCTATAAAAATCGAACCATCGACTTTACTTAAAAGAGAAAAATATCGAACTACTAA